GTGCGTAAATTTGCAAAACTAAATCGTATAATTTGCAGCAAAATGTTTGCAAAATCTCGCAAATTTCGTAAAGCTTAACAAGTAACGTTGCTAGGCTCAATTTGCTAGATATAAATACGAAATATGGAAAGGTTGAAGATGCGTTCGCAACTTTTTTTCAGGTCATTAATTTTTACGAACTTATTTTGTTAGTAACGTATCGAACTGGTAAAGATTAACTGGTTTTCACAAATCTAATTATGTAAAGATTTGCATACCTGGACAAACTGCTGTATTCTTTGACACTCCACACATCATAGAGTGCCACATTGTGGATCTTTTTGCACTCTGAATGACTTATGATTCGAAAACTGGAGACCTGCGAGGTCTCAGGATACTGGGAGCGACCGCCAGGATAGACTTTAGTTATGCCGAATCCGTAGAGTGAAGCCTGACCTAAAATTAAAAATAAGAAAAAACTAAAAACTTATATAAATACATATGGTTTTAAAGCAAAAGTTTTTCAAAAGTCTCGCAAATTTCGCAAAACTTTGCAAATTGCTCAATTTGCAAGATATGTATGTCAAGGCTGATTATAGAAATATGCACTCACATATTTCACAGATTTCACATGAAACGTTCTGCGAAATCTCGTAAATTTCGCAAAACTTATGTTGCTACGCTAAATTTGCGAGATGTGTAAGGTTGACTTGAGTACGCTAATTTACTCATTTTAAGTACCTTGCAAAATATAATTTGTCATCTTTAATTCAAGGGAAAATACTAACCAGTAAATTGTCGAAAGTCCATCGCCATCTGGATTGGTTGAACGTAGCGATTGAATTTCAAGGGGTGGCTGACCCTAACAAGTGCGATGTCGTGAGACCAGTAGTCATCGGTGTACTCCGGGTGTCCAATACTTTCCTGGATTTTGCGAGTCTGTTGGGTCTCGTCATACCCACTGGTCGTATACTTTCCGGCGACAACGAGAATTTCGGAGGGGTCTCGATAATCTTCCACCTCATACCTCGAACCTGGCCGAGTCAGGCAGTGTGCCGCGGTTAGGATGAAAAAAGCGTTGATGATCGCCCCACCGCAGTTGGGTTGATTGGTGCTACTGTACACCATTTGCACCTGGTACGGTGCATAACCTGGGACGCCGTCCGTTGCCCGTGGAATTCCTAGAAAAAAATCAATTAGAATATGTTGACATTTCTATTTTGTTTAAAATCCGGGGTGGGTAAATAATTTTCCACGCTTCGTTGGTCACAGAGAATACTTGATTCGAATTTCTACATAGGTGAGTCAGTTATGGAATCTTTGAGACATTATTTCTAGTAAAATTTCAATTTTTCATTAATAAAAATTTCCTGCAATAGGAATTTTTCAATTTTTCCTGACGCAACGCAGAAGTTCCTCAAATTTTATTAAGGTACAATTGTATGTTTTACATTCTACTTACTTATACTCATCGTACGAAATCTTGGACTTTCAAACGTCTCACTTTTTATTGGTGCCTAATTCGGCGTAGCTTTATGCTAAATTATGTAGCTGGATATGCTCCAAGGCGTATGCAGCTTGCGGGTCAATTGCGGACTGAGGGATCATCTCATTTAATCAATTGGCCTAAATGCTACATACAATGACTCACTCATGCCTAGTCGGCTTTCATCTCCATGAAAATTTGCATGCAAAAAGACTCTCCTTAAAAGAGTGTGCTGATCGTTATATAATAATCAAGACAGAAATATTTAGGTAAGTCACCCATGCCGGATACATTTCTACTTTAGATGGCTGTACCAAATTACCGCTGGATTATTTGCGTCAGAGTGGAGTCGAATGAGGGGTCGGGTCTTTAAACTCTGCTCGCCCTTTGGACCGTTGAAAACACTCTTAGAAAACTTGCATTATATTACTTATTACTGGTCGGAGTACAAATGTGACTCTACCGGCATGGTAATAACGAGCATTATGGTTTAGTAATGTCGTGGCAATGAAAAATTTACCACTCAGAAACCAACTACTACCAGTATGGTAAAGAATTACTACCAAATCAGTACCAGTACAGAGTATACATACATATATGTGATTCGGCCGGATTTTTAAGTGTACTTCGACAGATTTCATCAGAATTATTTTTTGTCCAATTTTTATTGATCTTAGCAGATGCGTGAAATTACGTAAGTACATACACCATGACTCAACTAAAGTAAATAAGCATGTACAAGAAATCATAATTTACGTCACGAAAAAAGAACATGGCACATTATCAGAATCCATTTTGTGAAGTTTACACAGTATATAGATTACTTCCTAAGACGGGGTTCATGTTACAGAATACGTCAACTGTTATAGATAGATATGTGTACCTAAGTAATGTAAAATAGAAATGGATCGTGCTTCTTACAGCAATATTTTTAGTTCTGAAAAGTAATTTCGCTTATACATACATATGAGCATGTCGTACGCATTACATGAGATATGATAAGCGACTTCTAAGTACATAAGTACCGATTTGGCTATTGACTCATTCTTGTTAAAACGACATCTTATACGACATAGAAGACACAAAAGGATAAAATGATGACAAAAGTAAAATAAAGGGTGTTAATAAAGTCCGATCCCATGAATTTTTTGGAGCGCGGTTGTTACAAATTCAGCTGGAACTTTTGAACCAGTGAAGTTATTTATTTCAAATTTTTACCATGGGAGGAACAACTAAACGTGTAAGTCATGAGCATCTTAGAGTTAAGATACAAACATTGCATCAGCAGGGGTTTAAACCTGCAGAAATTGTGCAAAAATTGGGCTGCAGCCGCAGAACTGTTTGGAAATGGAAGAACAAAAATTTTGTCCACGACAAAAAGCGACCCGGGCGACCCAGAAAGGTGTCACCTACCACAAAGAGAATGATTAAAAACAGACTTTACAAGAAAACCAGTAGTTCATTACGTAATTGTGCAAGGGAGTTAAATGACTCAAAACGCTATAAAGAGAAGAAGAAGCAAATTAACTATGTGACCGTGCAAAAATTTGTGAAATCTACGAGGTGGGGTCACACAGCTTACAAACTAACCAAAAAACCTCTCATGTCACAAAAAAATATCGATGACCGTCTGAAATTTGGAGAACTCCTTCAGAAAAGTGGCCATTTGAGTGAAAAAAGACTTGGTGAAGAATTGCGCAGTCACATCCTTTGGACTGACGAATCTATTATTGAGCTATATCCAAAATTGAACCAACAAAATGTTCGTTAAATATGGGAGAGGACAGAAAACAAATCGGATGTACCATCAAGAGCAGTCCCAAAATTCGGGCTTAAAGTTATGGTAGCGGGTGGATTTTGTGCACGTGGCGTGACTCCTCTACATATCATACCAAAAGGCCAAACAGTCAATGCAAAGTATTATATGGAAAAAATATTACCTATCTATTTCGATAGCATGGGGAACAAGGAAATATTTCCGAATGAAAGAAAAATAGTTTTCATGCAGGATGGTGCTACAGCCCATACAGCAAAAGCGAGTTTGAGTCTCATCAAGACGCAAGTTTCAACGGTCTGGAGCAAGGGGGTGTGGCCCGGAAACAGCCCAGATTTGAATCCCCTGGAGAACCTGTGGTCCATACTTAAGGAAAATGTATACAAAGAACCACAACCCCGGACGAGGGAAGAGCTAGTAAAAAAAGTTCAAGATGTATGGAATTCGATTCCCACAGACACATTGGAAAAATTAGCACAGAGCCTTAAACAAAGAGTTGAGGGCATGGTTAAAGTAAATGGTAACAAGACCAAATACTAAGGTAAATATGTCGAACATTTTTTGTAAGTATCACGGGTAGTTTTTTTTATACTAGCCTTCACTTTTTTATAGGAAAAATGGGATCGGACTTTATTAACACCCTTTATATAAATATTCAAAGATTTATTTTATTTCAGCGTCCAAGTCTAAGTTAACATAACGAAGGCACTAGTTTTTTGAGACACGAATTTGCTATTAATTAGTTATTATACATATTACATATTACATATTAGTTATTAATGAATGTGATTTGATAGCTGAATAAAAAAATATAATCAAAATAACTGTACATTATAAGCCACATAATTTTGTAATTACATATGAGCAATTACAATATTACGTAATTACAATTCCGATGTTGTATATTAAAATTAAGTAGTCAAAACCTTAATTATTTTCCACGTAAGAAATTACCTGTACCTGCAAAGAACGATTTCTTGCTGTACTTGGTTTCATGCAGGTGCATGGTTTTTTAACGGCAAGCATGATACATATATACATATGTGCGTATGTAAATCTAAATATGTAATTGTGACGTATTTATTTTTTCAGCAGAATTGCATAATTCTGTAAATGAATAGTTTTATTTCAAATTTAGGACGCATAGAAATTTTTGGCAGTTGCATTTTCATGCGAGGGTGAAATTTATAATAAAACAGCTTCCATACCGCATTTCACCTTAACCACCGAAATTTTGATTCACTCGTAAACTTTTTATAATGGCAGTGCAAATTGGTCATTTTCAGAGATTCATTCCCGCCGTTTAATCTAGATAAGCATTTAGTTGATGAACCAAAGTAGCAAAGTATAAGTAAAAAGAGTTGTCGGGGAAATGTCATTCCTACTTTTTCGAAAATTCTGGTCGGTTTGGACAAGACGATTCTTAATATTTCACTTACAAAAATTGTAACTGAATATGGGAGAAAATGTGTAAAAAAATATATACATAATTTTGGATAGAAATCACAAATTTGATGGTCCCCATGTTGCATCCCAACTGTGTAATTTGTGAGACGAAGATTTTAGCCAAAGATATGAATGTAGTAGAAATTAATTAAATTATCTATTAAATCTCCATAAATTTGACATAACTTTTATTTAGCGTTGCAATTCATTTGGTAAATAGATTGCGAAATCATCTCACAAAATACTAACATGCTAAATGTGTACATAAATTTAGAAACAAGAATAAATTATCCGTAAATATTGCAATGTGTCAACTTTAGTATTATAACTAGGTTTCAAAAATATTCATTAAATAATAATATTCAGGAAACAGGAATGAATGTACCAATACATTAAATCCATCTACATACATATTTACAAATAAACCGTGTTTCTTTAATTAGTTCCAATTTTAGCGCTTCACTACGTTACACACAATTCAGTAATTTTTTCTAAATATCTATTGTTTTATTTTTTATTTCATTTTGCTATAAGTACTTCCTCAAGAAATTTAGAAGGTTATTGTAAAATATAAATAATTAATTAATTCATAGAGATTTAGCCAAACCAGAAAGGCTGTCAGGAAAAATTTGATTCACCTCCATTAATTAGACTTGGGTTTAAATATATATGATTATAAATAAATGTCATGCCACAAATGTTTAGCACAACTTAATCTCTCCAATTAGAAAACGTGAGGTCAAAATCATCAAGATCGATTATCTCATATGCTGGCGTTGTTCGAGCCACATTTGTGGTGGTGGTGGCGAGGTCATCTTCAGTGACAGGTGTGTTCGTTGTGGGGTCATTTTTAGTAATCGGGGTGTTTGTTGTGGGGTCATTTTTAGTAATCGGGGTGGTTGTTGTGGGGTCATTTTTAGTAATCTGGGTGGTTGTTTTGAGGTAATTTTTAGTAATCGGGGTGGTTCTTGTGGGGTCATCTTCAGGGGCAGGGGTGGTCGTTGTGGGGTTATTTCCGGTGATGGTGGTCGTGGGGATTCTTTGTGTTGTTGTGGGGTTTTCAGTTACAGTCGAATTTGCGTCTCCAGTTTTATTTCCATCGTGCTGAAGATGAATTTTGCAATTCATCTCGTCTGACCCATCGTCACAATCCACGTACGAGTCGCACTTCTCAAATTTGTAGACGTACTGAAGCTCCGACTTGCAAAGAAAGTGGGATTTTATCTTTCTCCCCTGTATCGCACGAGAAACCCAATCTGAGAAATGTGAGACTTTTGTGAAGACTTGTGCCCATGGTTCTGAATGAAATGATCCATTCCAATGTGCCATACACTCTACTAAAGGTCCACCCCAGGACACGATTCCGCACAGGATATCTCGCGACGGTTGGCGTCCAAGGGGGAGTGACGAGATTGGAAGAGAGTCATCCTGACAGACCACGGGGGAACCAGAATCCCCTAAAAGTGTTCAATTTTATTTTAATGACTTGTAAATATTTGCTAAAAATTATAATTAATTTTCGTAAATCCTAGTTGCTCAGGAAACCACAAGCACGTAATTGTTTTGTATAAATTGGAGATACATTTGAATCGCAAATTTTTTTACACGTTATTTTTCGAAGGTTACTTATTTTTGGAGACAAATCGCAAATTACGCGATATAATTGCAAATAACTTCTCAGACCGCTTATTTTTTCGAAGGTTGTTTCATTACGATAATGCTAACCTTGCAAACTGGCAATGAACTGGTTTTCATAGATTGACATGAGTACATGTGCAGATACATACCTGGACAAAGCGCTGTTTTCTTTGACACTGCACACATCACGTCACTAATGATGGGTTGTGGAGCCTGGCACACTCGGAAGTACTTATAATTTGAAGGGTGGACACCTGCGATGTATCCGGATACTGGGATAAATGGCCAGGATAAGTTCGAGTTATGCCGAATCCATAGACTGAAACCTGACCTAAAATTACATACATACAGGTAAGAAAAAAGTAGTAACATTAAGCGTACTCACGACGACAGCGTCTAATTTAGCATTGCAGTCAAATTTAGCATATTTGCGACGCTAAAAAATTTGGGTCGTGAAGGGATTTGTAAATTTGTACTGTTATTAGGAATCCATTAATTATTTGATAGAGGGGATAGTGAGAAATTATCTTGCGAAATAAAAATCTGCGCAATTACTTTGTGAATTTGCGAAAAAAACAAGTTTTTCTAACAACAGTTTTCCGAAATCTAGCAAATTTCGCAAAATAACTTCATCCGCCACATACACATCTACATATGCTGCCTGCTCAATTTGCGAGATACTGGAGACATGTAAACGTAAACTCATTTTTACTTTTATGATTCTAATTTAATTAGTAGTCTTGAATTCTGTGAAAAGAAACACTAACCAGTAAATTGTCGAAAGTCCATCGCCATTCGGATTGGTTGCACGTACCGATTAAATCTTAGGGGGTGGCTAACTCTCAACAGCGCGATGTCATTTTACAACTCAACTTTGTCATAATGCGGGTGCGCAATAATTTCCTGTATTTTGCGAATTTGCTGGGTCTCGTCGTACCCATTCCTTTGATACTTTCCGGCGACGATGAGAATTTCGGAGGCGTTACGATACTCTTTGGACGAACCCGTACGTGGTCGAATCAGGCAGTGTGCCGCGGTCAAGATAAAGAAGGCGTTGATGATCGCCCCACAGCACATGTGATGATTTGTGGTACTGTTCAACATTTGCACCTGGTACGGTGCATAACCTGGGACGCCGTCCGTTGCCCGAGAAAATCCTGCAAATTTTAAACAAACTCAATTCAGATAGTGCTTTGATATTTGCATATATGCTATTAATGCTTCGGGGTACAGAATTTTGCACTTTTCGTTGGGAAAAGAAAATATCTACGTGAATTGCTAAAAAGGTAGAGTGTCAGTTGTGGAATCTTTCAGGGACATCATTTACATATTTATGCGAAATTGTCCATTTTTACTGGATACAAGATATGAAATTTTGTTCTCCTAGGTGTCTCAAATTTTTAAAATTGTACTTACTTTGTATTCCCATTGTAGGAAATTATACACTTTTAAACGTCTCACTTTTTATTAGGGCTTAATTCAGCGTAAATATATTAGTAAATTGGCTAGATTTGTATGCTGGAAGACGTGTTTAGATTGTGGTCAATTGCAGACTGAGGACTGGACTGAGGGATCATCTCAATTAAACTATTGGCCTAGAATGACTCACTTACAGTCGGCTATCATTTTTCCATGAAAATTTTAATGTAAAGAGACTGCTTAAGAGAGTGTGCTGATCATTACATAATAATCAAAACACAAATACGGCATACAAGCGGGATATGTACATACATTTCTACTTTATGTAGATTGTCTATACGAACAAAAGTTCGATTGTCTGCATTTGGGGGAGAGTCATAAATTATGTAACACGAGAGAGGGAAGGGGGTCTATGTAAAGCTCCTATGATATCATGGCTATGTGGCGCATATTAAAGGGGGAAGGGGTCTAGAAAATACATTATTTATGAACGTCCCCTCATCCTCAGTCGGATTAGCTCTTTAAACCCTTGTCGCCCTTTTGGACCGTTGAGAACACTAGTGCCGACAGGAGATGAGTTGGGTGTTGCTTTAAGTCGGGTTCCCGACCCGGTTGAGCATTAAAAATATCCACGAAGTTTTTTTCGATGCCTCAAATTTTTTTAGAAAAATAATCCGGACCTTTCACTAGGTTTTGACCTGAATGCGACATTAAAAATGACTGACGGGAAAATGGCTGACGGGAAAATGTTCGTAGATACATACTTCTGACACTTTTTGTACGGAGCTATATATTTTTAAAATTACGAGATCATGTTGATACAAAAATTGTATCATCGTTGCATTAAATAAGTTAGATATGTACATACGTAGATTGAAACCCGACTCATCTCTGGGCCGACCAGATCCACCTCGAAATATATCGATATATCTGTACTTCGATCTATATCAACCTCTGAAGGTTTCATCGGAATTATTTTTCTCCAAATTCTTATATGTAGATCAGTGTAATTATTTAAGTAAGTAGATATCTACGTACATATGCAATGACTCAACTTCATAAATATGTACAATCAATCATAGCTTGCATCATGAAAAAACATGTCACATTCTGTATCAAAATCCACTTTGTGAAGTTTACACTGTAGATTACTTCCTACTACTTCAGACAGGGAGTAAATAGAGACTTAGAGATTTTTTGTATTTTTACTTGTACTGTACTGTGACTACAGTACAATACAAAAATTAGTACAAAATTCAAAAGACCTAGAGAATTTCCATTATTTTGTACTCTGAAAAATTGTACTGTAAAACTCCGCGAAATAGATGCGTCAAAAATTGAGACAAATCAACTCATGATATACGAAATGAACCTCCTTCCACAAAGTGTGTTTAAAATTTCAAAACTTAAAATTCGATATTTTTGACCCTTGACCTCGTTTACAACAGTCACCAGGCTGATGTAATCCGAAATGATAGTGATTTTTGAACTCCTCGCCTCAAACTAAACACGTCTGCAACGGTGCAAATAAAAAATAAACATTTTTGACCTTTGACCTGGTCTACGTGGTCACGGGGTCTTCGTACGTTAAAACTGTGTCGATTTCTGAAATTCTCGCCCAAACCCAAGTCTAAAACAGTCGACACTTAAATTTTGACCTTTGACCTCGTCCTCTCGGTTATGGGTTGGTCGGAGGTCAAAAGTATTGGCGAATATGAATTTTTCGTTAAATTTCCTTTAAAATGATACCGCACATGAAAACTAAGGTAGAATTTTGCGTTTACTTCACGCCAGGGTGACCTTGACCTTGACCACAGGGCGCCCATCTTCGAACTCGACCTAGGGTCAAAAATTAGAAACAAAATGGCGAAAACGGCGTCTGATTATATTGAGGCGTTCTACTTGCCAACCCTTGACTCTTCCACAGTAGTACAAACTGAGCCCGTGTTTCAATTTGTCTACTGTAGACTGTAGAATTAGTACAAAAAGCTGATGACGTCATCATCTAGAGTCCACAGTACAGTCTACAGTCGAAGTACAAGGAATCTCTAACTCTCTAATGTCAACTGTTGTATCAACTGATTTTGCTGTGTATATAGGATCCTATGTATGGACGCATTCCTGCGCATTTTTCTTGTCATGTGTACATATATTTACGATGTCATGGGTGAAAATGCACAAAAAAATTGATTTTTAGCCCGAGTCAGGGCTTATGGAACCGTCATGTCCGTCCGTCCGTCTGTCTGTCTGTCTGTCTGTCTGTCTGTCTGTCCGGCACGATAGAGCCAAAACGGCTGAACCGATTGACCTGAAATTTTTACCATATGCATATTGGACAAAGTTAGGAAACGAGTTCGAAGATGGGCGAACTCGGTCCAGTGGTTGACCGGTGGGGGTCATCGGAGTGGGTGGGGTATTATGCACCAAAATTTCGAAATTGTTATAGAAAGCTGAAATTTGGTACAGAGGTTGCTAATGGCTCCTACGAGATAAAAATGACTTCAAGTTGAAAAATTTTTTATCTTAAGTGACCCTAGGGGGTGACCCATACCGATTTTTAAAAATCATCATATCGAACTGAAATTTGGTGGAGAGGTTGCTTATGGGTTTTAATGAAAGAATATGATGTGATATTGGTAAAATTGTTATCTGGAGCGACCCTATGGGGTGACCCATACCTATTTTTAGAAATTGTTTTAAAAAGATGAAATCCGGCACAATGATACTTAATGGCTTCTAATTAAAGAATATGAAGTTAAAAGTGCAACCAGAGTCACCCTATGGGGTGACCCATACTGATTTTTCAAAATCGTTATAACGAGCTGAAATTTGATATGGAGGCTGAAAAAGTGAAAACCACTGCTGGGTAGCAAATGCATACAGCTTAGAACTTCAGGATGTTAAAGAAGCCCACTGGTTATGGTGGTCAAGGCATATGATTTGTAACTAATTCAAAAATTTTGTACCAAATGGTAGAAACTATCTAACAAACTTTTGACCATCCACAATGCGGAAGTTTGTACTATTACTTATGTCGGTCAATTCGGAAAAAAATTAGAAGCGGGCTCGGACTTATTGAGTCAGGGACTATGTCCCTGACTCGGGCTATATGGAGTCTGCACTGTAGGTTTTTAAAATGTAAGAATTTAGAGATTTTATTTCTGCTTTAGAAGCATAGGGAACGTTCATAAAATACGTAACTCAAAATTGGCGATTTTGTACCCTCCCCCTACGTAACGGGTTACACCCAATTTTTAACATGTGGCGCAAGTTGACCTGTAACGCAATAGACCGAATCCTCCTTCCTCTCCGCTGATTTTTTATTTAGGATTTGCTGATTATACAATTTAATTATTTTGTAAGTATGCATTGACTACTCGTTTTTTACATGATATGGAAATAATGTGACTAAATTGGGATATGATCGCAAAATTATTTGCAAACTCATCCTTACCATCACCAGCCAGAGAAATTTATGGAAATCCAGGGAAACAGCATCAAAATATAATATGTAGGAGTTTCAGAAGTATGCAGAATTGTAAAGTCATATCCTACGAATCCTCTCACGATGCAAAATTTTTATACATCGCTACATGAGCTGCGATGCGAAATATCTAGATGTTATTGTAAGTATGATTAGGATTAATAGTATTTGTTGGGCGGTTTGGAAGGATACATGCTTAAATTAAATCTTCAAAATTTGAAATTCATATAGTGTTTATATTCAAAAGTAACAAAGAGTTCCTTAATACCTATACATAAATTATTTCTTTCACTGATCTTATCTATTTCTTTTAACGTAAATTAAGTAAAAAATTGTCCACCAGGCTAAGTCGTCTTAAACTAGGAAAATTCATAAAATTAAACAAAATACAAAACTGAGGTAGTTAAGCATCCCGTTTGTCTTTTTCTTGAAAATCATCCCTCTTCGACCTGGGTACTCTATCCTTCTTTGTCCTTTCCACTTCGATGCCATGAGCTCCGGTCAAATGCAGATTTAACGCCTGCTTAACAGCGAATCCTTTCCCGCATTGGTCGCAAGTGAAGGGTCTCTCGCCCGTGTGGACTTGGCGGATGTGTCCCTTCAGGAAGAACGGGGCACGGAAGGATTTCTCGCAGTGGGGGCATTTATGTGGGGTGGGGGCCACGTAGCCCGGGGTGTGGACACCCTTGATGTGAATGGCCAAGTGGCACTTGACCTTGAAAGCCTTTCCGCAATGTGAGCAGAGAAATGGACGCTCCGAGCTGTGAGCTGTCATGTGACTGACGAGTTCTGTCTTCCACCTAAAGCTGGCTCCACAGGTCTACGTACAAATCAATAAAAATGCAATGATTTATAAATGAATTAAAAAAAATAAAACTAAGGCGAGAGGCGTTATTATAAACAAGAAACAAGCCCTCCCACCAACACCCCCGTCTCGCCGTGGCCCCATTAATATTCTTATATCTTGGGGGTGTTACCACAATTTTATTTTTTGAAATTCTTTCCTGCATTGTATACGATTAAAAAAACCAATACTGTGATACTATGCCAAAATGGGTGCATGTCATTTTCATGAAAGTGTCATACAATTGTCACACAAATGTTGGAAATCAAAATACGAAATCTTGTTTATTTAACTCGTTTACCAGAGCAGCTAGTTCAATTCTGAAATTTCAGAATGCAAGTTTGGAATGTATTTAGTCACATGATTGCCTACATTAAAAGTTGGTTTTAAGAAGTAAATATTTCATTTTTTGTACGAAGGTTGATGAATAGAGTCAGGTTATGTATATGTTTCAAACTTTTTCAACAACAATACCGATTGACTTGAAACTTTAGGATCTTGGTTCTGGTATATAGATTTTCTTTAATCAAAAATCTTTAATTAAAAAAATGTTTTTATACATATTTGTCGATTTTATTAAACATTTTACATAAATGTTTCGGGGTTTTTAAGAATATATTTATCCGAACTCTGTTGATTAATGCTAGACGGCATGTTTAAATTGAAATTAATGTAAGAACTACAGGTAATAGGTTTTAAAAGTGCAGTGCAATATAAGATTGTACTATGTATCAATTTTAAATGCAGTTTACATTGGTAGTTAAAGGTTTGAATCGTAAATTGTGGTTACACCCCCAAGATATAAAAATATTAATGGGGCCACGGCGAGACGGGGGTGTTGGTGGGAGGGCTTGTTTCTTGTTTGTAATAACGCCTCTCGCCTTAGTTTTATTTTTTTTTAATTCATTTATTTTGTCGTTTTTAAGTGAATAATTTTTTAACTCCGTCATTAAAAAACCCACAGTGCAGACTTGATATAGCCCGAGTCAAAAAAAGGTTACAATTATCACCCAATCCGAAGTTTTGCACGAAATTTTTTCATAAATGCATATCAATATCTTGTAAATAAAAACTAATGGTTCTAATTTAAATTCACATTCTTGCATTACTGTTCGTTCAAAATTAATATGCAGTAAAGTCCTCAAAATTTTGTAAAAGGTCAAATGGTCGAAGTTGCTGGTTGACATTGACAACGATTTAATTAGGTACATTTTGTCTACTTTTTCAATGAATATTAGGTGAAATTTGGAAAATATAAACAAACTCAATCAATGGAAACCAATCATCCGCCAAATAACCTTTCAGACTTTTTACTGCATATTAATCTTGAATGAACAGTAGTAGCAATTGGCAGCATACGTAACAAATTGCGGTTTGATACGACGATTAAAATAAATCCTTTCGGGTCCCTCCAGATGAATATGTTTCCGATTTTCCTTAATTCATATTGTTCCATTACGAGCCATTACAAATTTACAGACAGACGGACCTGACGATTATATAAGCCCTGGCTCGGGCCATCATTTACACATACATACATATAAAGAATTTCTTTACTATAGTTGCTATGGATGTAACTGAATTTTAAAAATTTCAAACCTCCATAACTTCGTCATTTTGCATCCAATTTTCATGACCCTAAAGAATAATCTTAATAATTTTTTAAGCCCTTTCGATTCCCCTTTGCCGATTTTTCACTTTCAGCGGAATATTTTGAGATACAGAAAAAAAATCACTAAAACGAGAAATACACCATGAAGGTGTGAACCGATTAAGCCCAGAGATCTATAAACAATACTAGAAAGAATTTACTACCCATTGGTCGAAACCGCATGTCTCTACGACTTATGGTTCTCTCACAATCTTGTTTGACTGTTTTGAGGTGTCCACTTAACTGCATACTATGGCTTCGCCGTAACCATGTACGTATTTTTTTTGGGTGCATGGTTACGTTTGGGTCTCGCCTTAGAAAAAATATACATATGTGCTAAATTCGTGCCAAGTTTAATAAACTTTGCAAATTCCTACATATAATGTACAACTTTAATTTTTGTTTAAGTTTTGAATTTCATAATATCATAATGTCGGACTCTATGACCCATCACCAAAATGGTCAAAATCAACACGTTTTTAATTATTTCTCTATGCTGGGAATTTATTTTACAACTGCAGTCAATTAATTGATTAATATGACATAGGATGGCGGAGAGTCTTTTAAATTAAGATAATCCAGTCTCGATGGGTTTCAATTAGGGCATCCAAAATCGGTTTTTCCGATTTTGTAAAACGGGTTAAAAACCGGTTTTCGATTTACCCGAAAATCGGTTTTGTAATTTTCCAGAAAAACGGTTTTGTAAAAATCCGGTTTTATCACATTCGAAAACCGGTTTTCGATTTTTGATAAAAATTGTTTTAGAACAACTAAATATTTGTCACTTCTTGTTTTTCGTCCAAAAATAAATAGTTCTGATAAATGTGAATGACTTTAAATTTTACCACTTTATATTTATCAAATTTTTAAAATTTTGTAGAAAACCGGTTTCAAAAACCGGTTTAAAACCGGTTTTGGAGGAAATCGAAAACCGGTTTTGCGAAAATTTGAAAAACCAGAAAAATCGATAACCGGTTTTACGAAAGTTTGGCAAAATCGGAAAAATCGAAAACCGGTTTTTCAAAATTTTCCGATTCTGGATGCCCTAGTTTCAATTTTTCTGCAGGCTTCTTAAACTTGAGATCTCCTTTAAAACTTGTCAAAATCTGGAGTATATACACATTTATTTTACCTAATTAACAACCTAATTAACTCTACAAGTTTGTCGTCCAGAATTTTAAAATACATTTTCAGAGCAGAGAAATTATTAAAAATACGGAGTTATCGAATCCAACGTTAACTTATCGATAAATCTGTAGAATTACCTGACAGATGTGATCTTTTATCCCTCGGTGGATCTTCTTATGGTGACGTACCCCAGACTCTGAACTAAATGTTGCAGAACTAGAGTATATTTGAGAAATGAGTTTAGTTTGGTTAACTAATTTTTAATTGCTACAAAATTACTATTCGTTCATGTATGTATACCATTCATCACAAGGGTAGCGATCTTGTCCGTGCACTTTGATCTTATGCGATTGCAATGAGCTAATTTGCTGGAACGTTTCGTCGCACATGTCACATTTGCATTGACGCTTTCCCTCGTGCCGTCGCTCAATGTGATACTTGACATCTGTAGGAAGATAAAATGCTTTCGCACAAAGGTGGCACGAATACAACCGCCCCGTGGTGGAGTGGTTGACCGCGATGTGACGCTTCATGGTAATCTTGTCGAAAAAGGTTTCCTCGCAGTGGGGGCATTTTTCCGTTTTTTCGCGCGTGTGTGAGCGAATATGCCTGAAAGTTTCAAATATGTTAATTCAGATAGCTAACAATGCAGGTTTGTCAGGGTGTGCTCTACGATTTTGACCCGACTAGTGTCAATCAATCACAAATTTACTGATATCAATTTTCAAAAGGCTATGCTCAGGTTTGGAGACATTTGCATCCTAAGAGGAGAAAACGTACCTTAAAGTTGACAACTGTTATACTTTTCTAATGTACGTTTTCTCCTCTCTCCAAATATCTCCGCCAAAACTGGCATTGGCCGATAATGCTTTTGCAAATTTCACATGACTCTAATTTGTGATCGATTGACACTAGGGTCAAAATCTGAGAACATACGCTGGGAGACTTCCATCGAAATTCCAAGTTACTTATGTACCTATCAAGAGTTTGCCTATTCGCCAACGTCTTTCCACACTGGTCACACTTGAACCTTTTAACTTTCCTGGTGTGCGTCGTCCCATGTTGCTCGAGGCTGGCGGCGTCATAAAATCGTAGGTCGCACAAATCGCAAACGAACGGTTTGGTCGCGTCGAACCTGTGCAGGTTTACGTGTCTGTGGAAGTTCTCGATAAGGCAGAACTTCTTGGGGCACTTGCCGCAGGAATACTTTTTTTCGCCATCCTCGTGTTGAACGAACATGTGTATAGCAAGTCTGGTTTTTCGGAATTTCCTGCCGCAAAGTCTGCATTCAAAGGGGCCTTGGAGTTTTTGGGCAGAAGTGACTGAATGGGCCAGCTTCCAATGCGCCTCCATATCGACGATCGTGCGAAACTTGGCGTTGCACGAGGGCGCGCGGCAGGCGACAATGCCGTCGTGGTATTGATAGATGTGGGCATGCAAGGCTATTTCTGAGATGAAACGTTCCTTGCAAGAGGGGCAGTTGAAGGTTTTGGGGGGATTATTATCAATTGCTTTCCCCCAATAAATGTGGTCGTCGAGGTGGACGTTGGAAATGACAGGGCTTTTCCGGCTTTTACGAGGGGCTGGTTTCGTGGTGCGGCTATTTTTTGCTGGGGGTGGCCGATGTGGGATAGGAAGTGGATAGGACTGTTGTACAAGTACAATCTGTGTCAAATTTTGTTTACGTCGTCCTTGTTTTTCGGGTGGTGGAGATGCTTTTCGTTTCCGTTTAGTTCTACTAAGGATACTGAAAGAATATAGAAATAAAATTATTTAGATACATATTAAGTAAATACGTACTTTCAATTATTACGCTGGACGTACTCTGTCCCTTTTTGCATCGAATTGTAACATACTCACTATTAGAAAGTAGTTTGATAAATATAATACTAAATATCTACTGGGAACAACATGTTCACGATTTCACAGCAAAAGATTTGCAAAATTTGGCACATGCTAAGGTTTGACGTTAATAAGTTCAATAACTAAAAGGATTTTTGAATACCTTGGCCGTGGTGGTGAATTATTCAAGGTTAATTTAGAAGACGTCGCCCTCGGCCTCTCTTGGGGACAAGGAATGATTGGGGAGTCGTCCTCTTCGTCAACGTCCCTTAAGGGATCAGTCTCTTGATCACTAATGTTGTCGTCTTGGTAGTCGTCAAGATCGCCGAGAGGATCGACACTATCCTCTTCCTCCTCAGACTCATCGACTTCCTCCTTGATTTCGTCCTCGTCCTCAAATTCCTCCTTAATTTCGTCCTCCTCCTCAAACTCTTCAAATTCTTCCTTGATTTCGTCCTCCTCTTCAAATTCCTCTTTGACTTCATCCTCTTTTTCAAATTCATCTTTTACGTCGTCCTTCAAATCCTCATCCTCTTCATCACTGTCGCCTATTTTTTCAAAAATTAAAACCACAATTAATGTACAATTACATTTTTATTATTTTAATTAAATTGACCAACCAGTCACACGAATAATCTTGTCGCGAATTTCGACGAGTTGTTCTTCTCTCTCATTTCGTAACGATGAGGAAGACGACTCCAACATTGTGGCACGGATTTCTCTAATTTTCACCACCATTTGTTCCTCCAAGAGTGCGATTTGATTCCTAATTTCCTCCACCGTGCCGACGAGGGGGTAACAATCTGGGCAAAATTGGCACACCTCATCCTCTCCAAATTGGTATGGATGCAAATCTTTGTGATTATTGGATTGACGTGGTGCCAACAATTCGCAAAATATTTTAATTTGAATTGAATTCTGTGTTGCCGTGGTGTCGTTGTCGTCATCGTTGTCGAACGCTTGCAGACAGAGGAGGCAGAGATTGTTGGCCATCTAAAAAAATAGTTACCGATTAATATGTTTAAGATAAGGACTGCTTTAATGTACTTGCAATTTTTAGAAAAATGTAAAACAAAACCCATGCAAAATCAAATATTTTTTAGGTATTTAGGAAATTCTGGTATTATCGGTATTCGTTATTTAAATACCTCGAATCTCCTGAATTCTTATGCAGCTAAAATTAGTTAAATACAGAATGACCAATTGAGAATTAGCTGATGGGGTTAATTACACATTAAAAATCAAAATATTTACGACCTCAACTCAAATGTTTGAATGCTGATTGATTTTTTGTGGAGGAAAATTCGTGCCAAACATCGTCTCATTTTATGACGAGAGTGAATTGAACAAAGTACAGATACATATGTAAAATGCGTCCATGCAAATCATTCATTCTAAAATGATTAAATAACCATTTCATAAAGTTGTATTGCTAAATGTTCTTACGAAATTCTTAAATTTCAAAACTTATACGACAATACGGTCGTGATTTTAAACCTTTCGGAGGGCGTGGTCTCTTTTCATGCACAAAAATGTTAAAATCGAGTGGATGAAAACCATGAATTTATAACATAATAAATTCTAATATAAATTCATGATGAAAACGGTTCTTCAGTTATCTCGCGGACGGACGGACATATGTATCAATACTTATGCATAAGTTCATGTTATCAATGATCTTGTGGATTTTATCATAAATATTTATATTTATTTATAAATAAATAAAAACTCGATTTAAATCTTATTACACAATTTCATACTATAAAATGAAATACAAAATTTGAAGTACATATTTAAGTATCCCGTTTCTTTTTTTCTTGAAAATCATCCCTCTTCGACCTGGGTACCCTATCTTTCTTCGTCCTCTCCACAGTAATGCCATGAGCTCCGGTCAAATGCAGATTTAACGCCTGCTTAACAGCGAATCCTTTCCCGCATTGGTCGCAGGCGAAGGGTCGTTCTCCCGTGTGAACCTGACGGATGTGTCCCTTCAGGAAGAACGGGACGCGGAAGGATTTCTCGCAGTGGGGGCATTTATGCGGGGTGGGGGCCACGTAGCCCGGAGTGTGGACACCCTTAATGTGAATGGCCAAGTTGGACTTGACCTTGAAAGCCTTTCCGCAGTGTGAGCAGAGAAATGGACGCTCCGAGCTGTGACTTGCCATGTGACTGACGAGATCTTTCTTCCACATAAAGCTTGCTCCACAAGTCTGGTTACAAATCAATAAAAATAAATTCAATTATTTAAACATGTACATACATATGTATTAAATTCGTGCCATGTTTAATAAACTTTGCAAGCTCGTAGGTCCCATATATTTGTCTTGTACATATCAAAGGTGATTTAAATTTTGTAAGTTTTAAGCTCAAGCATCATTAGGATCCGTAGCGTAGGGCTCGACGAATCATCACCAAAATCGTCGAATTCAACACATTTTTATTAATTTCTCTGCTCCGGGGATATTAAATACTTTATTTTAAAGTTATCAACGATAAACTGTAGTTTTTTTTACTCAATTTAGACGAGTTCCAATTTGTCTGAAGGTATCGTAAACTTGAGATTTCCTGCTTCAAAATTGTCAAACTCTAGAGTGTAATTTTTTAATGGCAGCGACCTGCCAATCTCTTCGAATTTGTTGTCCCGAATTTTAAAACAAATTCCCAGAGCAAAGAAGTGCTTAAAAATGTGCTGATTTTGGTGATGAGTCATGATCATGTCCTACGTTAAATTATCGATAAATCTGTAGAATTACCTCACAGATCTGATCTTTTATCCCTTCATGGATTTTCTTATGGATACGTAGTCCATTCTTTGAATTAAATGTTGCAGAACTAGAGTTTATTTGAAAAATGCAGTTTGTGTTAACTAATTTTTAATTGGGATAGAAATTATTATTTATTTGTGCATACCATTCATCACAATGGTAAGGATCTTTCCCGTGCACTTTGATTTTATGCCTCTGCAATGTGCTACTTTGCTGGAACTTTTCGTCGCACATGTCACATTTGGCTTGACACTTGCCCTCGTGTGTCCGTTCAATGTGCCACTTGAGATCGGAAGCGAGATAAAACGCCTTCGCACAAAGGTGGCACGTGTGCGAGGGCCCAGTGGAGGAGTGGTTGACCGCGATGTGGCGTTGCAAGGTACTCTTGTCGAAAAAGGCTTTCTCACAGTGGGAACATTTTTCCGTTTTTTCGCCCGTGTGGATGCGAATATGCCTACAAGATATCAAATGGGTTTCACTCATATAACTAACAATGGAGCTGTCCCACCCAGCGTATGCTAACAGATTTTGGGCTAGTGTCTATCAAACTATAGGGTAAATCTAACACAAATTTGATTAATGACATTTTCAAAACCCGCTATCCGCCAATGCGCAGGTTTAACGGTGATATTTGCATCAAAAGAGGAGATGAACTTGACAAATTTTACATTTCTCAAATTTACTGTGCGTTTTCTCATATTCAGGATGAACCAGAGTATTGGCAGTGGCTACTGAAAATTTCACGTTAATCAAATTGATAATGACACTAATCTGGTTAAAATCGGAGAGCTAGGAGACCACCATTCTAAGTCTGGACAAGTAACTTACCTAGCAAGAGTTTTCCCATTCGAAACCGTCTTTCCACACTGGTCACACTTGAACTTGCTACTGTGCGTCGCCCCATGTTGTTCGAGACTCCCGGCGTCATAAAATCGTAAATCGCACACATCACAAATGAAGGGTTTTGTCGCGTCGAACCTGTGCAGGTTTACATGTCTGTGGAAGTTCTCCATGAGGCAAAACTTCTTGGGGCACTTGCCGCAAGAATACTTCTTTTCGCCAGTCTCGTGTTTAACGAACATGTGTACGGCAAGTTTCGATTTACTAAATTTCCTGCTGCAAAGTCTGCACACTAAGGGGACTCGGACCTTTGGAGCAGGAGCACGAGTGATTGCATGGGCCAGCTTCCAATGCGCCTCCATCTCGAAGACCGTGCGAAACTTGGAGTCGCACGAGGGCGCGTGGCACTCGATAATTCCGTTGTGGCGTTCAAGGATATGGCAATGCAGGGAGATTTCTGAGATGAAACGTTCGTAGCAAGAGGGGCAGTTATGGAATTGGGGGGGATTATTGTCAGGTACTTGCCCCCAATATATGTTGTCGTCGATGGGAACGTTAGAAATGGGAAGGCTTTTACGACTTTTACGAGGGGCTGGTTGTGTGACACGGCTATTTTTTGGTGGGGGTGGCCGATGTGTGATGGGAAGTTGAGAGGACTGTTGTACAATCTGTGCCAAATTTTGTTTACGTCGTCCTTGTTTTTCGGGTGGTGGAGATGCTTCTCGTTTCCGTTTGGTTCTGAGAATACTAAAGGGAATATAGAAATATAATTATTTAGATACAAACAAATAGCGTACGTATTTTCAATTTATAATTTGCAATTTAATTTACGCTGGACGTGCTCACAACAGTGTCCTATTTATTTCGCATTGAATTGCAATTTTAATATGACATTCAATTTTATTCAATGCAATTTTACATCGCCTGGGATCAAAATTTCATGATTTTACAGCAAAAAAGTTTGCAAAATTTGGCACATGCTAAGGTTTGACGTGAATAAGCTCAATAAATAAAATATGTTGGAATACCTTGGCCGGGGTGGTGAATTATTCACGGTTAATTTAGACGTCGGGCTCGGCTTCTCTTGGGGACCAGGAGTGATGGCGAAGTCGTCCTCCTCGTCATCCCCTAACGGATCAGTCTCGTGATCACCAATTCTGTCGTCATCGTAGTCAAGATCGCCGAGAGGATCAACATCAACATCGTCCTCCTCAGACTCAGATTCATCGACTTCCTCCTTAATTTCGTCCTCCTCCTTAAACTCTTCAAATTCTTCCTTGATTTCGCTTTCTTCTTCAAATTCCTCTTTAACTTCGTCCTCCTCCTGAAACTCATCTTTGATTTCGTCCTTAAAATCCTCATCCTCTTCGTCACTGTCGCCTAAATTTTTACAATTAATAAAAACCACAATTGAGTGTGGAAATATTTATCGCTTTAATTAACCTGTCACGCGAATAATCTTGTTGCGAATTTGCATCATTTGTTCTTCTCTCTCATTTCGTAACGAGGAGGAAGACGACTCCAACATTGTGGCTCGGATTTCTCTAATTTTCACCACCATTTGTTCCTCCAAGAGTGCGATTTGATTCCTAATTTCCTCCACCGTGCCGACGAGGGGGTAACAATCTGGGCAAAATTGGCACACCTCATCCTCTCCAAATTGGTATGGATGCAAATCTTTGTGATTATTGGATTGACGTGGAGCCAACAATTCACAAAAGATTTTGATTTGAATTGAATTCTCTGTTTTCACCGCGGTGTCGTCGCCGTCGTCGTCATCGTTGTCGAACGCTTGCAGACAGAGGAGGCAAAGGTTATTGGTCATCTGAAAAAAATGATTATCGGTTAATATGTTCAAGATAAGGACGACTTTAATGCATTTGCAATTTTTGGAAAAACAAAAATGAATATTTATTTGTGATTGAGGAAACAATATGGTTGGTATCACTCATTATTTATATACCTCGTATTTCTCGAGTTTTTATAGTGTAGTGAAAATTAGGTAAATAAAGAATGACAATTAACTAATGCGGTTAATTAAAAATCCAAATATTTACAACCTCAGTGAGGTTTCCTCACTCAACTCAAATGTTGATTGATTTCTTTGTGAATAAAATTCGTGCCAAACATCGTCTCATTTTGTTGCGAGAGGGAGAGTGAAGTGAACAAAGTACAGATAAAAACGCGTCCATGCAAAAAATCATTCATAGTTGCAGAAAATTAATTGCTGGAACATAAATACTTAAATACTTACATATTCCGATAATTGGGAAAATTTCCAGTACTGATTCCTGAATTTGATTTTAGGGTATACAATTAATTGATGATTTGTGAAAATGGATGAGCAACGTATGTGCGTATGTTATGTTTGCAAGTATCTACATAATATTTATATAGAAAGTGATAGCACTTTAGTGGGCAAAAAATACCCATTTTGTCCACATTTTGCATTTGGAGATTACTTAAAACTTAATTTATTAAATTAAATTAATTTGCATTCTAATTATTCACAAGACGTGAACATATTGAATATGAAGAGATAAACCTTTCCCGTGCATGTATGTACTATGTACATATGTATCCGTATGTATACCAATTCTTGAAATAAATAAAAAATAGATCAAAAATTTAAACAGCAAATGAGATTTACTTATGTCATTACTATTTCTTCCTTGACGTCTTATCACAAGGTTTGGCATCTTCGGGTTTTTTATAATTTTTCACTTTGTAATTTCTCCACGAAAAAATTATACTTTTATGTAAGGATGATTTTTAAAATAAAAAATAATGCTGCTGAAGTGCTGAATATACTTAATTTGGTGGAATGGGATTCTAGAACACGATAATGAATAAATATGAACTTATGTAAGATTTATCAGAATAAAAATCTTCTTTCTATACTTAAAGAGAATACTTTTCCAATAAAAATGCCCTAATTCAGCCCAAACCTTGAAAACAATTAAAGCACCCTAAATATGACCTCACCCTCCTTTCACTATTCAATTCACTCCACCCTTTAAACTCAATTAGCCTACCGTAAACAAAAACAACGCTGGAAAACAATGCATCACGGAACGAAAGGTGTATCTTAATTAAAAACCCAGCTGCTCTTCTGACCTCTTAAACTCCTCTCCTGACCTAGTGGCCATCCATTCACTCTGTGTGAAAGGAGTAAAAATGCACAATGCATTCTGCCCTCGGGAAAACAATACGACCCGGAAGGGAACCATCCAAACGCGGAAATCATAACAAACTGTCACCCTTCTTACCTACGTTTTACGAGAGGCATCACACCTTCACGACCTCCCGACCTGATAAGATCTTCGTCTAAAATAAGCCTAAACATGGTCAAGTCCTCCCTCCACTTGGTTCTGGTAGGGCTTCTCCTCCTCTCCTCGAGCTCCTTGGCCGATGACGAGACCGCCGTCGCCGCCGCGGACGCCATCTCTGACGCGCCGGAAAACCTCGTGAAGGAATTGGTCAACGAGGCTCCATCCGATGTGGGTAAATTGCAAGGAAATTTTAGATTTTTGAAAATTACCAAGGAATTTATTTGTGTTTCAGGTCGTTGCCGCGGTTGTTGCTGAAGCACCGGCGGAATCCGTCCATGCCGTCGTTGCCGAGGCTGGAAAGGATACTGCGGCCGATGTGATCGCTTCGGCGCCAGCTGGTTAGTGAAATCTCAGCGTGCCCCTTTAATTCGGCGGGTTGTGGGGAAATTATTAATTGATTTTAAATTTTTCAGAGAACCAGCAAGAGGTCGTTGCCTCCGCGCCGGAGCATCTTCAAGAAGAACTCGTGGCCGGAGCATCCGCCCCATTGCAGGATGCCCTTACCGAATCCGGTGGCACATCTGCGGATGCCCCAGCGTCCGAAATTATTGCGGCCGCTGATGCCGAGGTACTTTTAAAATAATTTGATAAATTTAACAAAGGGTGGTCATGAATTATGTGATCAATCTCTATTCACTTATTTGGGTAGGTTGTTGCCGCCGTTGTCGCTGATGCCCCTGCCCAAGTCGTTGCCGATATTGCGGCCGAAGCTGAACCACAAGCAGTTGCCGACGCGGTCGCCGAAGCGCATCCCGATGCCGTTGCCGCCGTTATGTCCGACGCACCGAAGGAAACCGTCAAGGAGGTTGTTGACTCTGCTCCATCTGATGTCAAGGAAGCCTTGACCGATGCTGCGCCTGAAGCCGCTGCCGAAGTCGTGAAGGATGCCGATGCCGCGGCTGCCGGTGCGCGAAGGAGGAGAGCTACCCACAAGTCCAAGGCGGGCAAGTCTGTCCACAAGGCTAAGGCTGGCAAGGGTATGAAGAAATCTAAGTCTGGCAAGTCATTCAAAAAGTCCAAGGCTGGTAAATCTGTCCACAAGTCAAAGGCCGGAAAATCTGTTCACAAATCTAAGGCTGGAAAGTCTGTCCACAAATCAAAGGCTGGTAAATCTGTCCACAAATCAAAGGCTGGAAAGTCCGTCCACAAGTCAAAGGCTGGTAAATCCGTCCACAAAGCCAAGGCTGGAAAGAGCGCGAAGAAAGCTAAGCACGGAAAGAGCGCGCACAGCAGCGGTTAAGAAAATTATGTTCGCTTCGGGGAGAGATGTGTTTTGTGAAATCAAAGAAATGGTGGAGGAAATAAAGACGTGTAATTTATTAATCATGAAAGCTGAACTTATTTCTCGCCTAGAAATACTTAGCACATTATACAAATATTTGTATTCCCTTCTGTAAATTATTCGTGAAACTTAATTGCATGGATGGTCATTCATGTGTGAGCATCTTTTATTCATCAGAAACATGTAGCGAGCTTATAGAATATGAAAAGCTGTAAAACAATTGTTTAAACAAGTTGAATTATACATAACTTCAAGTTGGAAACTTAATAAATCTTTCAATATTACTTGAGAGCATGGAATTTTTTGTAGTTTAAATATACATACGAATTTTTTTGCATATGTACGTATGAATGTAAACATGTACTGCATTAACTCGATAGGGAATGTACATACATATTTATACGGGTGGTAACCATGTGCTTAAACAATTATAACGCGAAACAATGAAACAATTGCTTACGAGCCTAAATGTTTCAGCGCATGAAAGTGAAATGAATTGATGAAAACAAAAGTGAGAAAGGAAAGCATTTAAACACGACTTTCACTTTCTTTAGATTTTGACATTTAACTAGTTTAACAAGCAGTACGATAAATGCATAAGCTTATTGTATGTGTACATATTTACATATGTAAGCCGGTTTATTTTAAATAATACCTTATTTATCTACATATGTGTGTACGTATGTACGTATGATAAATGTATCGAGGTTGTGGCACAAAATATGTATGTATATGTATGTACGCAATATATATATATATATGAACATATCTTTATGCAACCTTTCAGTTTATTTTTGTTTAGCTAAATTTGTCCAACAAAATGTAACGATGAATAATTGCTTATTTCTGGCAGAAGTATGTATAAATAGCATTGTCAAGTTATCTTCACCGCTATCTGTGTGCATATGTCTTGAGTGACGTGTTCTAATTCTAGCTATAAGATTTTAGTGACTTTGAAACCGGTATGACATACATGCATATGCTCATATATAGATACATAATTATATGTTTTCCTATGTATGTACATACATACTTAATTATCACCCATGAAACCCACAAGAGTTGAAAATTACTACTCATTAAATAAGACTTATCAGCATACAAGAAATTCGTCTTATGTACGAACTTACCCCACCTGTAATTATAATTAACTGTTAGCATTCGACAGGACTTCCTTCGTGCTGCTTGCCCCGAACTTCGGAGCCATTTAGCCTGGAAAGTTGAGCTACATAAAGCCAAGTCGAAATTTAATGAATATAAAATTTAATTAATTTGCGATTAAAATTTGAAAAGCTTCGTGGAGGCGTAAAACACGGAATAATAATTAAATGTCCACTTGTGGAAGAGATTATATTTAGAGATAACATTGACGACCACCTTGGACTCGTTGACTTTGAGCTGGATTTTAATTACACTGTGTAACTTACAAATGTACATGTGTACATTTTCAGTATGTAGATTCATGGCAAAGGGCAAATTACATTCATGCGTCAACCTTTTTCAAACCTCCCGCTGGCAAAAACTAGAAAACATATAAGTGGAAGAAAGCGTCCATTAATTATTCAAAATCCCTTCAGTCAATTAATTCCACGATATAGCTAATTATTCTGAAATCAATAAAGCATTCACATTACTGCCAAAACATGGACATCCTGAGTTTAATGTTACGCATAATTTGCAAGCGTTACTTTCGTCCGTACTAATACTCATTTTTTTGAAAACATGTAGATACATAAATACATACACCTCAGAAATATAAATCTTCCCAAAATGCTCATGTCCTCGATACAGCGACAAACCCGGAAACAAATAAATTTCATCGATTTATTCAGTCCGTGTCCGATTTCAATTTCTTCGAGTGAAAATACGCAAGCAGTTTATTCGTTAAAAACACAAAATTTAAACCAGAATTATTACAACTTATTAAAAAGACCGGATTTGCTCTGTGTTGGACTCTACGTGGCCTTTCTCAACGTCAATAGCGTCATTTGCATAATTTCTCCCTCCGTGGATGGGACCGTTAAAGTATTTTCCGCCCTTTTCGCCGTCGTCGCTACCTTCTGTTTTGTAACCATAGTGACCTCGTGGTACACGAATACGGGCGATTTTGTCACCCTGTTGAACATGTTACTCGCCTATGAGAGAAGTCGTTGGACAAAGGAGAGTGATTTGTTAGAATTAAAAAATTGTGCCTGTTTTTTGAAATATTTTTTGTGGTTGTTTGGTTACGGATTTTCCGTAATGTGCCCGATATTGCTTAGTCTGTTCAATGTTGCTGATTTGAAAAGACCGCCGTTTTTAGGATCAATAATTATCGGAGTGGGCTGGAAAGCGGGTGTTGCGCATGTGGGTGCGGTCGGATTTCAAACGTGGATTTACTTCGTTATCACGCCAACATATATTTTCGTTACAGCGAATATATTTATAGCGTCGGTTTTTAGCCTGTGTGCCTATTTGGATGAGATAAAAAGGTGAAGAGCATTTTTTAAATTGTTTTTTTCTTGTAAGTCTGCTTGTGAATGATCAGTGGAAGACTTTATGAAAATTATTTGCAAATCTTGGCCAATCGAATTTTTGTGGCAATTTTTGCGAACTTTTTGTTGCTAGTGATGCACATTCCCCCAATTACAGTTACAATTATAAATGTACATACTGTATAATATTAATAATACAACTTATATACATGTGGGCGCCGAAAAAATGTGCACGTAGCACGTCCCCTTCCTTTATAATTACAAAGTTTATATACACTGCAAACATATAATCTGCATAAATTTTGCAAACCAAGTTTACGTTTTTAAAAATATTTAAAATATGGATATTCAGTACGAGTTCACACCGTTAGCATCCTTACCAAATGATAAGGTTCGCAAGTTCGCTAAAAATTTCGTCTTGCAAATTCATTTACGAACTTGAGCATCTCTGCTAAAGCTACTATTTAGTTAACTTTTCTCATGCGATTCGATGCGAGCCATGAATTTGTCATTTCTAGACAAGAAACAATAGACTAAACCACCACGCCATTAAGTCCACGCCCCCTTAAAATATTGAGTCCCAACCTTTCAGAGTAGTCATTTGGATGAAAATGGTTGCATCAATGCGAAATGCAACAATGTCTTGTTTATTTGTCCTGCTGTGGCTTTTCATAGAAGGGAAAGTACTTAAGCCAACTGTGTTTCAATCGCTGTCCTCCTGATTCTTCTTGGGAGTAAAATTGACTTAAATTTTAGTACAAGTGTAGAATTATTATGGGACATTCGCTTAAGGTATGAAAAGTTGAGCATGGTTTGGTGAAATTCAGTATGTTCCTCCTCCGTTTCTCTGTTTGAAGACCCCCAGCATCGTTGGGTTAAAAATATGCTTATAAAATTATTCCCAAATTTTTCTAAAATACATTATTTTTCAGATCTGCAAAAACGTCTCCTAAATTTTGTCACTTATCCAGCCAACTAAAACTTTGGAGACAACTAAAAATCCTCGAAGCTCAAATAAACACATGCGTTCGGAAAATCTTCTTGCCGGGAACATTTTTCATTTTCTGTTATGGAAATGTCCTCTCAAACTTTTTGTGTGTCATGCATTCCTCCGACTTACTCCGCAGCGTGGAGAACGTGTTCTTCCTCTTGGCCTGTTTGGAGACCTTTGTGGGGATTCTGTGTCTCGGGACGTTGTCCGGGATGGTGAACAAGAAGAGCAAGCAGTTGTTGAGCCAGATGAAGAGGGGGTGCCACAGAGGGAGTGACTTTGAAGGGAGAATTTTCAGGAAAGAGTTGAGAGCCTGTGCCCCACTTAAGATCAGATTTGGGAGTAATTTTGTCGACATTTTGACACCTTTGGTCATGATGAGTTTCTGTGTAAAGTTGACGGTGAGGATGATTTTGTTCCATTAAAATTATTTTCTCGCGTAAATTAGTGCAATTTAATTTAGTGATAATATATTTTTTTTAAATTTATATAACCCTGATTGTTAAGTTAAACGATGAATAATTTTATAAATATATGCATATGTAAAGCCGTTATTTTTATAAGAATTAGATAGATAAGACCGATTTAAGTGCCTGTGGGACATTGGATGTGTGTACAAACTAAATAACTTGGAGAAAAATCGTCACCCGTGGAATTATCTACTTACATATATGGCTCTATTTTTGGTAATGATTAATGCAAACTTTTGTCACCAACGGAAATGTGTATGTAAGTCAAAAACTCGTGTGCAAAACAAAGTTTACGTCGTTATTTAAAAATTGAATATTTTTACTATCGGAATACATTTCTATCTATAAGATTTTTTAACACGAAATTTTGCTATATAAGATATGTAACATGCTTATGTATGTATGTAACAACTTGAACGGTATCATTTCAAAAATGTGTTACGTAAATATGTGGAAACTATAATAAATAAAAAATAAACACCGAAATTTTGATTTGTTATAAATAAATGACTGATGTTTTAATTCGACTTGAGTATTCACAATCTCTTACAAATCACTTGTATGTAAATATGTTACTCCTTGGTAACTTGCGCCCTATAATTAAAGTAAGAAATATTTGGATTTATCTTTACTTTGGCGCAAGTTGGTCAAGAATGAAACATGTACAACGGGACCATATCCTAATTAGGACACATTTAATTGTCTCATTAATTTTAACTCTGCATAATCGGATAGTACATAACGGAACTGTTAAATGTGGTAGTGGAGGACTGCAACAAAGCAGAACCACCCCCACCGTCTGGACTCTGTTGTATTTGTAGTTGGCCTGAACTTTGAGACGAATGTGCAAAATTGTCATGTGGGGATCGATCCGGATTCATGATTTTCCTAACACGTCCTGCCGCTGGATCGGGGGGATGATTGTGCACTCCCATTTCGACGATGAGGCGAAGGTCGCTAACTTCACTGGTGGAGTGGAGTCTAACCGGACATTTCGTCTTGGTCCGTTGGTCACACGTCCAGATGCGTCGCTTCGAAATGTCCCCGTTTGCAATGCAGTGGAAAAAGAAGCCGTTCATGGAAATCATAGGTTTTCCTCGAAGCGAGGTCACCGTGTCGACGCGGGGTCGTGTGGGGAAGTGTTTTGTGGGAAGCTGGAATTAATTAGGAAATAAATTAGTGGGGTAAATTTGCCTCAACTATATTATGGTATTGATTTCTAGATATGAAAGTTGCTACCGCTTGGTATTAAAATTATACCGGTTCGTAAAAATTTCCTACCAATACGTCTTTAATACCGTGCTGTCACTGTCACTACATGGTATTACATATCAATACCAGTAGTCATATATATATGTATGAATATGGCTGTTAATACTGGATTTTTAAGAGTATAAGAATTTGGTAATAATTTTGACAAGTGATTTTGAGGGTTAAAATTTTGTAGAATTTTAATGAATTATTTAGCTTAATTTGTTTTCCACTAACGGTTCGTTTTCCTGGCGAACTTGGTGGAGGTTCGAGATCCACGCCTGGTGGGACGACCCATTGAGGGGTGAATGTCTCCTCACATTTTTGACCTTTCTTACCACCTCGACATTTGGTGGTCTTTCTCCCCAGTTTTGATATCTCTTGGTCTGAAAAGTATATGGAGAAGTGATTACTTGTCAAATTGAACACATAGTAAAACAAATAATTTTGTTCAATTCGAAATTTCTGGTTATGTACAGGGTGGTTTAAATGTCAGGTTACTCAGGTTACAATGGAAAATTTTTCAATGGGAAAAATTCGTAAATTTCCATTAGTTACGGATAACGGATTTGGGATTGAATTTTTATTAATTTTTATCAAAACTTATGGAACACTGATGACAAAATTCTTAAAATATTGAATTTCAGAGGCAAAATTTCGGTAACTAATGGAGATTTGCGAATTTTTCCCATTGAAAAATTTCCCATTGTAACCTGGCATTTAAACCACCCTGTACTTAAGTCATAAACAATGTCATGCGTTATTTATGTACATACATACGTAATTTATTAATGTTTTAGTGCATACATTGTTTATTCTCTTGAGCATAATTTCTTAAGATTTCGGCCTCATCGATATCATAATGGTCTGGTCTTTGCTGATCTAGACGAAACCGAGTAACAGACATTATAAATTAGTTGTCAAATTTATGGAAAAGAGAATTTTCAGTTACATAAGAATGTAGTGTGTCAGCAGATTAAGTAAAAGATTCCATGCCAAGGAGTTAACAAACTCTGCTTCCATTCCTTAATATTAATTAATCAGCTAATTATTGCGACAATTCTCTATCGCTTTGCAATCCTACTAGGTTATTACATTTTGCCCTGATGATTGTTATTAATACTTACATCCGTTGTTAAGTTTATTTAATAGATGAACTTTTGTATAATAAATTCATTCCAATTTTAATTCTTGTACAATGTACAACTTCTGCTTTTACACGACGTAATTATTCTCATCCAGCACGATCCAAAATCGTACAAAATTAGTTGTATTTTGTATTTGGTAAAATCGTACAGTTTTTGCCACATGTTAAAAAAGTTTGATGTACGACTATGTTAACTCAATTATCAAATGAGCATATGTACAAATAGATATTGCATTTTGACACGTGTCAAAACTCGTATCTTTTTAAAACTCTTACGAAATTGTTTCCAGGTAAAATCCGTCCATTTTATTAGAGCCACGACAATTCTTTCCAAGTTGGAGATACGAGATGACAATAGATCCAATTCTGGCATTTTTGTATTTGCATTAATTAATGCACTTTATCGAGTTGGGATTTGTGTACAATTGCAATTGCTTGTAAATTATGGTCAGTACGTATTTTACGCAGTGTACGCAATAGATTAAATAATTTTCCGATACACGGGTAATGTAAAGGGGAAAGTTTGTGAAAGAACAAGTGGATGATTTTTGTTATGATTTCAAAATACACAAAAGCTGAACGGAAAATTTTGGTTGAGGGGAATGAAAGAAAGGACATGCATACATGTATGTACGTATGCAAGTGTATGTATGTACATAAATATGTACATAAATTCTTAGGTATGTACATCATCTTATGTACATAAATATGTACACACATGCAAATGTACGTTGCACACAACACTGACCAAAATATATAGCGTATATATATTGGTCGTTACCTATGAGTTATGTACGCAGAAATTTATCAGCATTATTCAATACTACATATGTGTACATAAATACATATGTACATACATACGTATATACATTTGTGCATACATATTCATTTACATATGTACATGTAATGTAAGCCTGAAGTCAATAAAGTAATTAATGAAATATTGCACGAAGCACATAAGTATTTAGTAAAGTTGCAGTATTTTATTTCCATCAATTTAATAAAATTAAGCATTTTTACAAATACAGATATTAGCCAAGCGAATAGATTTATTTTACGTGGCAGACCCTTAGAGCCGATAAGGTCTACATCTATGCAAACGATAGGAGGGATAGGCGAGATGAACATGTAACTGATTAATTTCATGACCTTTCAACAGCGACATGCCCATTTTATGTAGGTTTCAGCCTAATGAATTAAGTAACTTTGTGAATGTAAATTCAAAATATTTTAATTGATGTGTTTACTCGAAAGATAAATTACATAAATGTTCATGTAAATTCCAAAGAGACAAAGTAGCAGACTACATTTACATATTAATCCCAATAATTTCCATCAATTTAGTAATATCCATTTCACTTCCCAGAACAATGAGCTCCTTCATGACGGCACTTCTAAATTCTCGCATCCTATTTTCTGTGTAGCAGATTGCCCCAGTAGCTTTCAAAATATCAAGGGCTTCCTGAAGTACACCTTTGTCTTTGGTGTGCATTCGAATAATTTGGTAAAGTCGGCCGGCTTCCCTTTTATGGTCGGAATGTAGCGTGCGAATGACTGGAAGACTGAATTTTCCTTCGGTCAGATCCTCGCAAAATCCTTTCTTCTCTTCGTACTAAAAATATTTAAATTATGCAAATTATACGTGGGAACAGTAATTTTTTAATGAAACGTTTACCTGTTTTGACATAAGGTTTAAATAGTCGTCCCGAATTTGGAAATGGTGTCCGATTAGTTGTGCCAATGGAATTATGTCGACTTCTGTCGTACTTTTGGAACCAAGTAAGGTTGCCATCAGCATTAGTTGACCGGCCGTTTCTACAAGGATTGTAATTATGTGAGGGGGTCATGATCATGAATAAGTTGCAAAATTTTAAATATTTATCAGCTCATATCAAGTCAAATTCATTGATGAGATTTTTAGGGGATGCTAAAAGTGTAAATTATTTACGTGACCTCTGCCTGACCTTGACCTTGACATCATCAAACTCAAAGTTAACGTTAGGGTAATAACGTAACCATTTATAGAAATATGTGTAGAGGTAATTCACGTAGGACTTGGTAACATTGTAAAATCCGTAAGAATTTTACAATAACTTCGGTAGTGTAGTTACTTCATGACCATAGTTTGAAAGGTTTGGTAAAATTTCGAAAATTTAATACCCACAATTTTTTTGACTAAAATTTTGTGGATAATTCGTCTAAACTCTCATCTTTCTTTACCACTACTCCTTAATCAAATCATTAATATCTGTTTCCCAGAGCATGCAAATTTCTAAGATGGGAATATTGCATTTCATTTGACTCACTGTGCACCAAAATGTCATTGTAGTCTTTCTCGGTGGGAATCTTATCCTCTTCAAAGTCCTCGTTGTCTTGACACTGATAATCTCTGTAGTACAAATCCATCCCCTGCGAAATATGGAGGAATTTCATATACTTGCAAAATCTGTGGAGCAGCTCTTTATCGCGAAAGACCGTGTGGACCAGCTGCGTCGCTTTGAGCATCTTGTACGCCGACGCGTTCATGGTTAACGGATCACCGTAGATTAAATGTGCCGCGGTAACGCCGCGACGCAAATCGCTGTCATCTTGGATGTCGTCCACCCTAATGTTTAATTGTCATTATATTAATATGTACATGGTATTTTTCATTTCTAGCAAGTGGCCGCGGAAGCCATGGGGACATCTGGGGAGATTAACATTGTAGAATAGCGGAGGGAGGGGTTTATTTAACATGGACAGATGATAGGGACATCGAATAAATGTGGGAACATTGTCCCTCTGTCCCCACGCTTCCGCGGCCACTGATTTCTAAAATAATTTACTCACAAGAGTGACGACTGGTGCAACATGTTCGAAATATCGCCAACCGCGGTGACATATTTTTCTTCAACTTTTAACCACTGATTAAAAAATTGGCCCGTCTTTCTAGATAAATTTTTACTGCCGGAATTTTCCAAGTAGGTGTACGGCGAGAGGACCATATCCAACATGTTGGAATGTGTTACACCCATATTTTGGGCAAGGCTGGTGGAAGCCATGTTTTCTATGGAAATGTTACTTGATTGTTTAATGACAATTAAATAAAGCTTGGCTCTGGACGCTTCTTCTATTTATCCTGTTGTAATTTATATGGGTTGGGAATGGAAAGAGAATAATTTACTTTATTTAGGAGGAAAATAAAATGAAAAACAGAGAAATCTGATTGAAATCAATTAGCCAACTGAAGTGTAATCCGACAAAAGGTTTATCGAGATGCGCAACAAGTGTAATTCTTGTGTTACAATTACTTATTTATAATGAAACACAATATCTATTGAGCAAAAAATTCTTGATAGGTTTTTCCGTAAATATTGGATTTAGCTTTCCATGGAGAATTGAGCATTCCTAATTTTTAAGCTAGATTTACTGATCTATTTAATTGCCTATATTGTGCGCACTCATCCGAATATTTCACAAGGTGGTGTAATTTCACTGTACATGCATACAAACATATATACAGTAGCCGCAGAACCCGTGGGGACATTAACATGGTAGGATTGGGAAGGGATGGGTTCAAATAACATGTACAGATGATGGGAACATCGAATAACCGTGGGGACATTGTCCCTCTATTCCCACGCTTCCGAGGCTACTGCTACACATACAAATGCATAAGTTATGAAAAGACCAAACAACACTTCTAAGTACAAGTAAAATGTATCGTGACGAATGTAACATTCATTTGCTACATTGGTATTAAAATTATACCGGCCCGTAGAAATTTCTTACCAAACTGGTAACACTTTAATACCAAGTTATTACTACATAGTGTTGCTTACCAATACCGTTTTGATAGAGTCATATTTATATGAATACCGCTTGTAGTTATGTATTTTAATACTGGATTTTTAATAGCTGAAGAGCTTTTAGTCCGGGAATTTATCTTCATGTGCTACGAATTTAACAAATCTACATATTTATGCGAATTTATGAGGCAACTCACATTTTCAACCTTCATAACTGCGTAGGGTTACAAGCTTTTGCGAACCTTTACACACATATATGAAGAAGTTTGATTTTTAAACTTTTACGAAACTAGTTTTGGTTCGTAAACATAATCTCGTAACTGATTCGAGTGTTTAAAATTCAAATTTTCAGATGAAATCAAGGTTCGTATAGATTACGCATGGGAGGCTTTTTTAACAAAAAATGTATGCGAAGTTAATTTCCGTCGAAAGTGTGTAAACTTATAAACCTAACGCAGTTATGTACATACGTAGGTACAAACTTGACTTCAACCCCTCTACGTATATTCATGTGTAATTGAGATTTCGCGATTAATTTGGTAAGTAGCAAACAACGTACGAACCATAATTGCACCAAATTAGTTTTGCCTCCACGTGTGCACCATTATTGCACACGTGGAGTATTCAAAATACTACAGATACATACTTTAGGAAAAAACAAGCAATATTTTTTTCACGCAAAATTTATCGCAACGCGTGTGGAATTTTGTGCACAAGGTAACAGTAAATATATCACTTTCGCCACGCGTAAACAGGTTAAAAAACATGCGAAGTTTATTACGTAATTGTGTACTTCAGCGCATGCAGAACATGTGCAACGCGTCTGGCTAGAAGTTTGAATTTTTTTATATTTCTCTACCTGTATTCAATTACATACAAACTGGAATTTCCACACATCAAAAAGCGAATATTTATTATTATTTACTATACAACAAGTACTTTATCCGGTAAGTGCTTTGCTTTGATTATTGCTGTACAGAAATTGTGCCAGGGTTTCGCATAAATTGAAGGTGCTAAAAGCTTTATTTATCATTTAACAGTACCATCGATAGCATGGATTTGAACCTCCAAAGGCTGGGACTTTGTGTGGAAATGAAAAATTTTGAGTACATATTTTTGAAGTTGATTTTTCCGGTTTAGTACATACTTTAACAATTCGCTACACGTAGAGCTGAACAATTTGATACTGGGCCTCCTCAGACACACGAAAAAATCGTCGCTTCGAATTTCGCTTTGTTTTTCGCTTATCGATAGCAGAGCAGAAATTATGAAAATTGCAAACTTTGTTCCGACTTCAGCTAAGCGACCTTAACCCCACTTCTGAGTTGAATTTCTGGTCGCTTACCCCAGAGCTCGCTTATCAGGAAGCAAGCGAAAAACTAAGCGAAATTCGAAGCGACGATTTTTTCGTGTCTTAGGAGGCCCACTAATTTGCATTTTAAAATAATACCTAAGGTTTCGCTTGAAAATAGTTTGTAGCACTAATTTTATCGGTAGGCAATTAGCCTTTAATCACCGATGGTCTGACTGTCTCTATTAATGAATAGTCTAGCTACTCCATAAAGATATTATATGTATGTATGTACATATGTAACACAAATTTTATGTATAACTCCTCACCGGAATACCTTCGTATGAATATCAGGCACATGTATCTCACATTTCACACATATTTACACAAATGGCAAGCATTGTGACACTCTTACCCAGCCGGTCAAGAAGAATTGTATTATCATTTCAGGTAAAATGAATTTAGAATTCGACTCTAACATCCTGTTAACCCAATTGTTACCAATGTCAAACAACGGGCAAGATCCTGGTTGGAAAGAAACGGCGAGAATTGCACAAGAATTGGTCCAAATTTTGGGGAATAAAGGCGACACCTTTGTTCCGTCATGGTCAAGGAATTCCCAAGATTTTGAAAGTACTGCATCAGGTAAGAACTATTTCACCTAGAATCTTGGTTTTAATTTGTTGGGGGCATTCTGATAACAAATTTGAATTTCGTGGTAATTATTTAGAATACAATTTCTACCCGCAAGTCGACAACAATTCACCGAATTCCTCTGAATGTTCCGACTTCTCAACGAATTCGAGCTGTGAGACTCAAACTGTCAATTGTAAACCGACGGATGCAAAATATTTGGACAAACGACGTCGAAACAATGCAGCCGTGCGGAAGTTTCGACATTTGACGAAAAACCGGATTGCAAGTTTGGAGAGAAAAAACGACACCTTGACGAGGCAAAGGGCGTCATACCTGCCTGCATTGAAAGGGTTAATCACCAAGGCGAAGGGGGTAACTTACATTTTAGAGTGTGGAACCAAAATGGCGAAAGAATTGGTTAGAGATGCTGAAAATTTGGTGACAATGATTGATCAAGAATTAAATTAGGAGTGGAAACCTATTTAGTAAATCTTGAGGTATAAATAATTGTAATTATGTAATTAATTATTGTAATAAAGGCATAATAATTGATTGATTTAAATATTGATCGGGATTTCTTGAATGATTATAACGGGGTATGTATGAATTTGCGAATTATTTTTAGCAGATTTTGTTCGTTTCATAGTTATCTGGTCATCCAAGTCGTACCTTTAACTAGATATTTAATTCATCTGAATATATGTATATTTCTTGTAATTTTAAGTATAAACATTCCTGTAAAGTAAGATTCCAATCCCACAGGGAATTACCCTAAATAAATAAAAACATTAACTTAATCGGATTGCACCTAGTTGGAAAAGCTAAACATTTCTTTGCAAGACTACACAGATGATAAAGTCAAGACGACCAAAGTCCGTAAACAGCACTATCCAGACTAATTCAAATAATGTGTTTATAAAAAAATGGGAATAACACAGCCAGGTAATTTTCAGGAATGGTCCCCATAAACTATTATCAGATTTGGAAAAGGTATTTCTAATTAGAATAAAGACTGCAGTGACGTTAATGATTTAATTCGCATGCATATTCATAAAGATCGGATAGTGATTGCATGTAAAATTGCGATGCAAAAATGAGTATTTCCATTGCACTCATTTATAGCCAATTTACAAATTCGTAATAAAATTCTTGAATTTATTGCACATTTTGTGCTGCTTCATAATTACGCGAATATTTGCTATGTATGTACTTTTCATACGTATTTACATATGTATTTACATTTTGCACATAAATATGTACATACGTCACAGTACACACACAGTATGGTATGCGTATGTATGTTGGCAATTAACATGAAATTGTAGGTGCTATAAAAAAATCACAAACTCTCATCTATTCGTGTTCAATAACAATTGAAACCGCCACTAATAATGAGAATTTTTAAAATCCCATACCAGCAAGAAACCAGGATTAAATCAATTCTCAGTGAAAATTGCTTTACGTAATTCTGTATCAAGATCAGGTCATCAATTTTATTACGCTTTAAATGTCCATATTTATGTTAGTTTGGTGTTCAATATTGAAAATATCAGATTTGGATTCCCCTTAATTAATTATAAGGTATGCAGACAAAACAATATTTTTTCATATTTAGTCAAGGTTAAATTAAACCTCGGTTCGAGATGCACGTGGAATTCGGTAATTTAGTGGAAATTTTGTGTAATGGGTAGTTCTGACATATGTGCGTATTGACTAAAGTATGGAAATCTTATAAAAGTAGGCGCACAATCTATCATTTTATTTATTGCGACTCAAATTCTGAGCCTTGAGCGTGTAAAAAACTCAGTCCAAAGTTTTTGATAATAAATTTCCTAATCATGATTCCTCAACTCCCCAAAATAGTTGAAGATGCCGACAAATTCACTGATAAGATCCTTCTCCCGTACTCATACCTTGTCGGGAATCCGGGTAAAGATATCCGTGCGAAGATGATCAGGGTTTTGAACTACTGGATCCAAGCGTCGGAGGAGGATTGCGAAAAAATTTGCGAAATATTAGACCTTCTTCACAATGCGAGTTTAATGTAAGGATTTTAACCATTATTATATAAAAATATTCAATTTTTAAATGTTTGTTACGAAGGATTGACGATATTGAAGATCGAAGCGCAATTCGGAGGGGAAAGGAAGCTGCGCATGTCGTTTACGGCGTCCCTCTCACGATGAATGCTGCCCACTTCATTTATTTCAAAGCGATCGACAAACTTTTAGATTTTTGTGATGATTTCGACGTACGTATTTGAATTTTGTGTTTAAATATTTAATTAACTTGGGAAACTAATTTTATTTTTAGGTAATTCACGAATTCCTTGAATTAATGAAAACCGTTCACTTCGGGCAAGGAGCTGAGCTTTATTGGCGAGATTGTGCTAAAGAGGATGAACTCCCGTCAGAGCGAGATTATCAAGATATCATTGCGAAAAGTATGAAATAATTGCATGAAAAGTGTATATTTCTGATTAAATCTGGATGATTGTCCAATTCAAATTTTAGAAACGACGAGCCTGGCATTAATGGCGATCTCTTTGCTGAAATATAAGGGAACTAATAAGACCATCAATTTGACAAAGTTTGTCACCATGATGGGTTTAAATGGGCAAATATTGGACGATTTGAGAAATTTGACGTGTCCCGAGGTATGTAAAATCCGAAAATTTAGAAATCTTAAACAAATGAATTATATCAGCTAATTCAGTGAGGGAGCAATTACGAGTTCGCATAATTATTCGCATTACAAAATAATTTAAATTAATTAATAGTTACAAAAGGAGAAAGGTTTCTGTGAAGATCTTACCGAAGGAAAGCTAAGTTATCCAATCATCCACCTCATCAACAACAAGAAAATTCCCAACCATCCCGAAAAAAAGAGGAGAGTGTTGGAAATTTTGAAAATGAAAACGTCCAACGTTTCCTTAAAGGAGGAAGTGCTGATCATCCTGGAAGAATCGGGATGTCTCAATTACACGAAAAAACGATTGCAACAGTTCCAACTCGACATCATCGTTGAAGCCGCCCAACTTGGACCAAACCCAGAATTGGCGAAATTGATTGAAGCCGTTAAAACGAATATGGTCCAGAAACCGGCCATGGCATAATTTTTGAGGGAATTTATCAAGTGTTATCATAAGTATTGCATACCTATTTTAGCCCAAATTATAAAATTGGCAGGGTAAAAAAATTGAAATTAATATTTAGTGTTACTAGAGGTTAGATGATTGTTATATTAACTAAAAATGGATATTGAGGAAGTGTTTTAATCGTGAATAAATATTGATGTTTATCTAGATACAAGCTTTCTTCATAAATATTTCATGGGATTTGTAGTTTTTCAGTGTAACCTTTTACGTTTTATAAAGCCTTAAATCAACGTTTCCATACCTACCCGCATAAAGTTTATATTACGTAAATCCTTAAATTTGTAAACCCATTTAAAGAAATGTGTTTATTATCCTAATCAAGGGGCGGATGCTGTTAAACCGATTAAGCACAGTAATGACACGTCTTCCAGATTTTACTTTTACAGAAATACCATGCTTATTATTCCGTGCCGTATCTTCTTGACATCCTGTTAAAAACTGATAATCTTAATTGGTATCGCCTTAATGGGACAAACCTAATTTACGAGATGTAACAAATAATTTATCGAATTTGCCATGCACCCGTTAGTATCAATCCATAAATTACATAAGTGGAAGTTTTACAAAAAATAAGTCATTTTTACCAAACGTAAGTTGTGTTACGTTACACATTTATACATACATCTCATGCTGGTTAAAAATGCAGGAAAAAGTTGGACAATATTTTTATTAGTGTAACCTGTTATCAATTAAATACATTTTTTATTGGGACCATATTTAACGTATTTATATTGAGCCAATTCAAGCAGTCCTTGGTAACATTGTAAGTAAAATCCATACATTCTGTAAACTTTGAAAGTATTGGTATTACACAATTTTACAAATATTTGTAAAGAAAATTAGGTTACAATTTTATTAAAATTATCTCCGATCAAAGGGGTCTTTTTTGGTTTGCAAAGTCTGTAAATATATTTTTCAAATAGTACGGATTTTATTTTAGTTACCCATGAATTGTCTCATTACAAAGGATTGATCTGTGTATGTACAGTGTCGGACAGATGTCTACGTCCACATAGTCGCGTCAATTTCATTTTCAAATTGTCACTGAACTACTGAACCAATTTTCATCATTGATATATCAAATTCTCACAAATTTAACGTAATTTCATAAAACATATGAGTTATTTCTGAAAATTCTGGGAAAACTGAGAATCATAGTGCAGAGCGAGAGAGGATGAAATTTGAGCGGACAAAAGTCTACGTCCACTTCACTTTAATTGTCAACAACAAAAATCTCTCCAATTTATAAAATCAGGTAACTTAATAAATCTATCAATAACATATGCCGCATTAATTTTTAAATAATTTTCTTCAAGAAAAATATGATGGCGTCGACACGCAAGGAAATTCCTATCGCTATTCGAGATCTTGTCATTCAGGACTGGAAGGGTGGACAAAAAGGGGGCTGTCGCAGAGACAAATATGGACCAAGTATAAATTAGCAAGGACAACCATCCAGACAATCATTAAGAACTTTAAAGCTAATGGTTCAGTCCAAAACAAGGTCAGAAGTGGTCGAAAACCGATTTTGGCTCACCGAGAAGTACGCCACGTGCTCAACAAAGTCAACGTTACACCCTCACTTAGTGCTCCAAAGCTATCTACCGAGATCAAGGAGATGTTCGGCAAACAGGTTAGTCCTATGACCATCCAAAGAACACTGAATAAGGGAAATTTGAAATCCCACAGAGCAGTCCGGAAGCCTCTTATTGTACCGAGGAATGCAACCAAACGAGTGAAGTTTGCCAGAGACCACATTTCCAAGCCACAAACATTCTGGGACATATTTTATGGACTGACGAGTCAAAGTTCAATGTCTTTGGGTCAGATGGGCGTCGTAGAGTGTGGAGATATCCAAAAGAAGCTTTGAATCCAAAAAATCTCAACCCCACAGTTAAGCACGGCGGCGGGTCGGTAATGGTGTGGGGATGCATGGCTTCAAGTGGGGCAGGAAAAATGGAATTTATTGACGGAATTATGGACCAATACAAGTACCAGGGAATACTTGACCGTAATATCCAGGAATCTGTTCGAAAACTTGGACTTGGACGACGATTTGCCTTCCAACAAGACAACGATCCGAAACACTCTGCCAAGTCCACCATGGAATACTTCAAGAAAAAAAAATTCCGAAGCTAGAATGGCCTCCCCAATCTCCAGACTTGAATCCCATTGAGCATCTGTGCGACCACATTGAAAGAGAAATAAGAAAACAATCTTTTTCAGGAATTCCGGGCCTTAAATCCAGAATTCGTGAAGTTTGGGAAACCATTTCTGAAGATGTGACCAAGAATTTGGTAAACTCAATGACTCGACGCCTTGAAGCCGTCCTTAAAGCGAACGGAGGCCCAACCAAATATTAAAAATTAATTGTTATAACATTCCTTATAAATTACAGTTTTTTTTGTATGTTTTCTCTGACTGGACGTTGACTTTTGTCCATCCAATTGTTTTCATTTTGAATTAAAATACATCTCTGGCCTAAAATAAATTTTTTAGCGGAAAACTAATAATGTGCTATGAAATTACGTTAAATTTGTGAGAATTTGATATATCAATGATGAAAATTGGTTCAGTAGTTCAGTGACAATTTGAAAATGAAATTGACGCGACTATGTGGACGTAGACATCTGTCCGACACTGTATGTAAATATCTACGAGCTTAACATGAGATACATACATACATACGAACCTGCAATATGTACCATTTTACTTGTAATACAAATACCATTTTACATTCATTTGTACCAAATAAGCCCTTTTCAACTTGTACAGTAAAAGTATTTATGTATGAAATACAAAAAACTTTAATCTTTTATTCACTCCAAAACTATATTAATCTTCCCCTCTAATCTCCATTCTGGACATACATATGTAAACAGGGTTTCTGACACCGTGGTTTTTTTTCTGTGTATTCCAGTGTTTTACTTCATTGCACATTTAACAAGCTTCAGGAAGCAAACATTTAAGGAAACAAGTCTTCAGCAAAAACACCATCCTAAGAAAAAGACTTACAACACAGTGTTAAATTTACTTTGACCCTAGTTTTGGGCAACACTGTCCTACTGAACTTGTTACATCACAAGTTGTTATCCAGTCTGCAGACTGTGGGCATAAGGTCGGTCCTGTCTTAATAAATAAAGATACTATATGCTCGTATGTAAGTGTGCATGCATTGCATATCCCGTAGAAAAATACATACATACACATAAATATTTACTAATACTGTACTGACTTGTCCCTTCCTGGAATCCGGAAAGGCCAAGGGTTCGTCCTTGGTAGGCAGTTGTTATTCAGTACTCTTCATTCATCGACCCGTTAGCTTGAAGGAGGACAGGGAAAATTACCCACCGTTATTCCTAAAGATTTGGGTGGTTTGCTAATTTTTAAAATCGGACATAAAATATAACAAGATACAATCTGAAAAGTAACCACTACACCATGGCGCCTGGTCGGCTAACCCCTTCGCACAAATCTCCAATTAAGGATGCCACCTGTCTCTCGCGACTTTTCTTCATGTAAGTAACTTGCACTAATTTAATCGATTTAGCACTCTAGATTATTTATAATGAAGACATTCATTGTTCCTTCATATCTTCTCGTATCGTAAAATATGTCACGACGGTTACGACATTTTGCATGCGTTGTAAGATTTTGTCATAAAAAACGCGTTACGATTTTTACAAAGCTTGACCCTTTGCTTTTCTTCGTAAACTATGTATTTTACGGTAATAATATGTAAGAATACAAAGGAATAATGAATACCCTAATTATGTACCCAGATGGCTAACTCCTCTGCTTTACAAGGGGTGGAAACGTGACTTGGAATTTAGCGACTTGTACCAAATCTCGCAATCGGATCGGGCCGAAGACTTGGGCCGAATATTGGAAACTTCCTGGGCTAAGGAGAAAAAGACGAGGAAAAGTCCTAAAATTCTATCCGCACTGGGAAAAGTTTTCTGGAAAGATTACGCCATTTCTGGAAGTATTATTTTTGTGAGGGAAGTTCCACTAAGGTAAAAAAAAATAAGAAAATTTGTGTAAATAAAGATTTTTATACATAAAAACAATTGCAATATTTTGCACATATTTTTTCCAGAATTATTCAAGCCTTACTGGTCGGTGCATTGGTGCGTGCGTTAAAACAAGGGGATAGAGATGATGATGCCAATATGAATTGTATTCTACTCGGCGGAGGGATTATAGTCGTAACATGTAATTCTTTGTGCTATTTTTTTGTGCAAAAAACCGTGAACATTTTTGGATTTGGAAAAAAATATTAAGTTTTACGCTCCTAGAAATCCCGTATTAAAATACTACCAAGCGGTATTAAAACAAATATGACTCTACTAACGAGATACTTACATATAAGGAATAGGTTGTAGTAATTCATAGCTCGGTATTGAAGTTGAACAATACATATCGGTAGCAAAATTTTACGGAATGGTATAATTTTAACACTTAGCGGTAGCAACTTTAATACTGGGAAATCAATACCTGCAAGACTACACCAGATTTCGAACAATGTAGAATTTATATTTAACAAAAATTAAATTTAATAATTACAGTGCTTGGCTCCATAACTGCCCATCTCGGCTACTTTATCGCTGACCGAACCGGGATGCGGGCACGAGTCGCGTGTTCATCTCTGATTTACGGGAAAATGTTGAGACTGGGACAAACGTCGTTGTCATTTGGTCATGTCGTCAATTTGATGTCGAACGACTTATCCCGTCTCGATATTGGAGCCAGTTTCCTGCAATACTTGTGGATAGCTCCGATCCAACTGGGTGTTATGTGCTACATCTTGTGGGGCTATTTGGGGTGGACCTGCCTCGTTGGGATGGTCTTCTTAACGATGCTAATTCCTGTTCAATGTAAGATTTTTTAAATTATGTAATACTAAGAAATATTGGGGGGTATTCATTACGAGTTTGAATCTTAGCAAAAAAACAAAGTTGCAAATTTGCAAAAATTTATTAGCTTAAAAATTTAGCATCTCGAAGACTGCTACTTACAATTAGTTCGAGTTTTTTTTTAAAATTATGTCAAACTCGTGATGAATACTCTCAGTATATTACAATACTAAATTACATATTAGAAAAATTATGAAACTTGAAAGAAATCGGCTTCGCTTTTTTATGTAAATATTTTTATCTTTTAAAAATTACTTAACATAATTCCACCCGCCTTTATTTGCAGTGTTGTTCAAAAAATTGTTCGCCAAACTGCGAAGGAATGTGACAGTCTGCACGGATAAAAAGTCTCGTCTCTTATCGGAGGTTATTTCAGGATTGAAAGTTATCAAGATGTACACCTGGGAAAACGCTTTCACCAAGCGGGTGGAAGAGGCGAGAAAGTAAGGATTTTTTGAGAGAACAAATTAAGTTTTATGTAAACTAACTGTCACGGTATTCACTACGAGTTCGCATCGTTAGCAAAAAACAAAAGTTCACAAACGTGCAAAAAAATTAGCTTGAAAGTTTATTTGCCAAGTTGCCCATCTCCAGGGCAAATTTTGGTTCACATTTTTTTAAATTATGTTGCGAACTCGAAATTAATACCCCCTGTGTTTTATTAAATTTCACAGGGATGAGATGGCCTACATAAAGAAGACAACATATCTTTTGTCTGTTAATCAATGTTTTTTCGCAATCTCTGCAAAATTCACGATATTCTTGACCCTCGTGGCGTTCATCTTGGTGGGAAATGAGCTAACGGCGGATGCGGTATGAATTGATCTGCAGAAAAAAAAACAACGCGATATTAAATCTTATCTACTATTCAGTATTTAAATAATTTCAGGCCTTCGTCACCCTAATTTTGTACACCGTGGTCAACGTGTCCATCACCAACTACTTTCCGACCGGGTTAAACAATTTGGCCGAGATATCCGTGGCGATGAAGCGACTGCAGGATTTCCTCTCGATGGAAGAACTACCCCCAAAGAAGGGCGATTCCAATGGGGGTCATGATGTCCACGTTCATCTGGACCGTGCTGGAGGCAGTTGGACGACTGGAAAGGAAAAAGTTTGCTGCGAAAATGAATTTTCCCTTGCAAATATTTCCTGTCGGATAGGAAATGGGGGATTTTTAGGGATTTTAGGTCCCGTTGGATGTGGAAAGGTTAGAAGTTATTAAAGAAAACTTCTTTTCCTCTACTATATACTGCTAAGCCAATATTAATACTGGACAATTTTCTGAGAGGTTATTTGGTTGCTAATTGTCATTATAAAATAATATGCCAGGCAACCTCTCAGATTTTTTATGACTTTTAATTTTGGCTTTTACCCAGGCAGTACTTACTGGGTAAGAAGGAAAGTAAGTTGAGAGGTAGTGGAACCTTATTTTCCTCATGAATTTCAGAGCTCACTGTTACAACTAATTCTTGGCGAGTTGTCCGACATGAAAGGTGGTGTCCACGTGGCGGGAGGAGTGGCATATGCTTCGCAGCAAGCCTGGATATTTGGGGGCACGTTGAGAGACAACATCCTTCTCGGGAGAGAGTACAAAGAGGCAAAATATCGAGAAACAATACGGGTTTGTGCTTTGGAAAAGGACATTTCCATCCTACCCGAGGGTGACCTTAGTTCCGTGGGGGAAACCGGGTTTTCCTTGTCCGGAGGGCAAAAGGCGAGGGTGGGGTTGGCCAGGTAAAAGATATTTTAGACTTTTTTTCATTTTGTGAACTTTGTACATACTCTAAATGGAAATCAGTACATATATATATCGGGTGCAAGAAGGTGATTTATTGCACCTGTTTGACCGCAAAAAATGAAAGGTGGGAAAAACTATTTCCCGCCGCTATAGTTCGTAAGACGCGTCCCTAGATGGCGCAAATTGCTTTAAGTTTCTTGCACATTGAATTTGTGAGTTTTGCAGTTCGAGAAATGTAGTAAGCCAACAAGAAAAGAAAAACTGATGAAAATGATAATTCTGAAATTGTAGATTTTCTAGAAATTTAGTGTTAAATATTTTAAAATTGTATTCCAGGGCTGTATACTCCGACGCGGAAATTTACATTTTAGACGATCCATTTTCCGCCGTGGACGCATCCGTTGGTCGTCACATTTATGAAAATTGTATCATGGGCTTTCTTTCCAACAAGGCGCGTATCCTGGTAACCCATCAACCCAGCTTTGTAAAAGGTGCCACTCAAATTCTTCTCCTGGATGGGGGAAGAGTTCAGTTTTCCGGAAATTATGATCAGTTAGTCAGCTCTGGACTTGAATTTGTCCACTCGGCCATCCAAGAAAAAGAGGGAACTGGAGATCAAGCAAATGATGAAGAGGTACAAGTTCCCACCAAAAATCTGGAAGAAATTTCCCCAAAAAATGTGGAACCTGCCATAAAATTGGATAAATCCTGCCAAAAAGATGAATCAATCCCCAAAAAACCAGACAGGAAACAAATATCGATGCAACTTTACTGGAAATACTTCCGATTTGGGGAATCCGTTCTTGCCTTAATCTTATTACTTGAAATGTTCATCCTTGTACAAATCTTGTTCACGGCGTGTGACTATTTTCCAAAATATTTGACACAAGTTGCAGAAACTAAATGGAGTAACCCGACCGAAATGCGGGATACGATTTGGATTTACACGGCCTTAATTGGAGTAATTTTTGTTGCCGTTTTTGTGAGAATGTTCGCATTTTCGTTGGCATGCATTCGCTCATCCGACAACTTGCATAAGGTCGTGTTCAACCGCGTCGTCAGGACGGGGATTCAATTCATCGAGGAAAATTCGATGGGTGGGTTGCGCAATTGTACAGAAAATATTGTATTATTTGATTTAAAATTCACATTTTATTTATTTTGATAGGTCAAATTCTCAACAGATTTACCAAAGATTTCGGCATTTTGGATCAGCTCTTGCCCACCGTGCTTTTTCAAGGCGTCGATGTGAGTGGTTACGTAATTGATTTTAATATTAATGGCGTAAAGGTAAATATTCATAAATTAATGACGCATGATTATTCCAGATATTTTTCAAGCTTGTTGGTGCCCTTGCCATAATTTGCGTCATGAATGTCATCCTTATCGCCCCGTCGGCCCTTTTGTTGGTGTGTTTTTACCTCGTACGAAAATTTTATTTACCACCCGCCCTGAGTGTGAAACGGTTCGAAGCGAGTGCAAGGAGTGAGGTACTTTCCCACGTGAGCAGTACCGTGAATGGGTTGCCGACGATCAGGTATGTAAAGCGATCGCATATTTACATATTTCCTGAATGTTTCTTGCGTTCCTTGCTTTGCAGTGCAAGAAATGTTGAGACATTAATTTGCAATTTTTTAAATACACTAATTATTAAAATTTTAAGATGAGTATTATTGGTCACTAAAATTCATCACCTTTAACTAAATCCCTTTATCTTGTCGTATTCAGGGCAATGATGGCCGAATCCCAATTTAGGCAAGATTTCCATTCTCGTCTTGATTCCCATTCGGCTGCCTGGTTTATCTACATCGCAGCCTCAAAATGGTTGGCTTATCTTTTAGACACGATAAGCCTCTTATACATTGCGTTCGTGACGTTCTATTTTGTATTTTTTGAACAAGGTTTGAAAATATTGCTTAAAATTAAGGGCTTAACAACAAATATATATGTTTCCATTTTTATTAGATGGTCTCTCCGCTGGTCTATCCATCTCGTTGGCTATAAATCTTACGGTGTAAGAAATATGGAATATTTTTTGTCACACTTTTTAAATTTATATGCATGAAAGTTTTTATTCTTACTGCTCATTTCGTATTACAGTGCGTTACAATTTGGCGTCAGGTAATACACATGTAACAAATTTGCATATTTCTACAGATTTACATCTTTCTCAAAATACTTGAAATATTTTCAGACAATCCGTCGAAGCGGACAATTCCATGGTTTCTTTCGAGCGAGTAGTTGAATATACCCGATTAAAAGAGGAAGCCTCCCTCACATCGAGCCAAGGTATTAAAATAACACCTTATAATATAGCGTTAATTTAACGATAGTTCATATCTTGGTAAAATTAGCTGCTCAACTAACGTCTTCTGGATGGCCGAAAAATGGTAAAATATCGTTTCAAAACGTCTCCCTCACCTACCCCGGTCAAAGCGATGTTTGTGCCTTGAACAATATAAACTTTGAGATTCGGTGTGGCGAAAAGGTGTGACATCTTTAAATAAATACAACCCACCATAAGTTTGTTTTTTATGCACCACATATTTAGCTGAGAGTTGCCACTGGCTTTAGCCGAATTCGACATGCTATTAGATTACAGATACAATTTTCCAACTATTGTTTTCTGAGTCACCTGTTTAGATTGTGGTTATCGCAAATTTAGATGGCGAGCTCGGCTAAAATAAGTGGCAACTAAGCGTGATTAAGTGGCAGCTAAATACATAAGTAGTGCATTAGAATTAATCCCAAATTTTAACAGATCGGCATCGTGGGTAGAACTGGGGCGGGAAAAAGTTCCGTGATTTCGACCCTATTCCGTCTAACCGAACCGACGCCAGGGTCCTCCATTGCTATCGATGGCGTCAACATCCTTTCCATTGGGTTGCACGAGTTGAGATCTGTAATCGGTGTGATTCCCCAAGATCCCGTCCTCTTTAGGGGAACACTTCGACAAAATCTAAACCCGGACGGGAATGACCATCGCTTTGATGACTACGCGATATGGAAGGCCGTAAAGGAGGCGCATTTGGACGACGTGGCAAAATCTGGGGGCGGATTAGACTCAGAGGTTAATAAAAAAATTAACCGGATTTTGAAAATACAATTTAAAACAGATTTCATCTTAAAATACAGATATCGGAGAACGGGTCAAATCTAAGTGTCGGGCAGAAACAGTTAATTTGCCTTGCACGAGTTTTACTCAGGCAGAATAAGATTATCGTCATCGATGAGGCCACAGCAAATATTGACAACGGGTAGGGTCGCGTTGACAAATATTTACAAATATTTGCTAGTGGTGCTAATTTACGAAATTAATGATCTGACTGAACTGCAGGACGGACTCCATTATTCAGGCCACGCTGAGGGAAAAATTCGCACAGTCGACCCTCCTCGTGGTCGCCCATCGACTCCACACGGTACTAAATTGTGACAGAATAATGGTGATGGACCGAGGAGAAATTGTGGTATGTAAAATCTGACTAAATTGTTGGAATTTAAAACGCTTAATTTTAACTTGACTTGCAAAAAATATAAATGATTCAAAATTTGCTACTAAAATATAATTGTTTCTATGTAAATCTCCAGGAATTTGACACACCGTCCAATCTCTTGCGAAATCCGACCTCGATTTTATCCCAAATGGCTGGAAGTACACGGGAAAAGCTGCTGCTCAACTTCTAGAAAATGCGAATTTGCATTAATTTTGATATATGAATTTATTTTGTATCCTTATTTTCTTAATTTCAAACATTATCACAATTTTATTCCTGACAAATTGACTGCATAAAAATGCTAAATAAAGGAAGCTTAAATTTTAAAACTGATAAGCTTTGTTATTTGTATTGATTTATTTATCAATTTATAAGAAACATAATTACTGAGGGTATTCACAATTATCTTATAATGCGATGATATGAAGTGTAACACTCAGATTTGGTTGAAATTTTAAAATTATGTGGTCCAAGTCAAAACAACAAACGTTTCTTGAGGCAGTTGTGCGATGGTTGGAATTGGTCAAAATATTTGTCAAAGTTGTAAAAATTGTAAGTACCTTAAAATAGTTTGCGAAGAAAAACAAGGGGTCACACTTCGTAAAAATCGTAACCTTAGTAACGTGATTTTTGATGACAAGATCTTACGGGGCTTGGGGAATATGCATATATTACGCTGTCAAAAAACGTAGATTTTTTTAACACTCAACTCACCCACCCCTTCCTCATCCTATTAATGTCAAGCTTAACGCGAATAAGATAAGCGACCCAAAACCATACACCAAAATTTTTGATGACGTATCAAATATATGAACTTTCCCTTACAAAATCTCGTAACTGTCGTACATAACTTATTTTACAATACGAGAAATACGAGGAATAAGATAACAACAAAAATAAATGTCAAAAAATAATAAAACTGTTCTTGAACATCAATCCAGATCGATATATGAAGCTGGAAAAAATTAAGAATATAAAAAATTAATTTCATATTTTAAACCATAATTTGTTAAGAATGAATCCTTATAAACTTACCTTGCAAAACGCACTTTCCATTTTGTTTTGAAAAAGTTTCGAATTGAATTCTCTCCCCGAGATGCCACGCCTTTGTTAAAATCGTCTCCCCAGGAGAGACAGGATATGCTAGTCGCGTCTGAAAATCAGATACAATTTTTTTTAAGTTTAAAGAAATCGAAATTTCAACGTAACTTTGAAGTTATTGTGCTGAGTATGTTGGATCTATTGCTAAAAATTTACTTATGTGTGTAAAGCAGGATTTGATGACTCGCCGCCAAAATCGTCAAAATCAGCACATTTGTAACCATTTCTCTGCTCTGGGAGTTTATTATGAAGTTCTGCACGTCAAATTTGTAATCGATAACTTGATTAACAAAAGGTTTTTTAACTATTTACATGAGCCAGCTTCCCTAAGTTCCAATTTGAAGTGATTAAAAATGTGTTGATTTTAACAATTTTGGCGATGAGTCATCGAGTCCTATTTATGCTAATTAATAATAAACACTACCTTCACACTTTTGAACTTTGAGGCATCTCCATCTCCAAAATATTTGAAAATACTCTGAATCACGCCGCCCAAATAGTACCTCCCGTGGCACCTGGGTTCCGGGCGAAGCTTATCGGTGATCGAGTAGTACTGCTTGTAATGCTGGGTGGAATAAATGGACACATTTTTCGCCAAGGGGGATCCCTCCTCGTCAAAATATTTGGGATCGAATGGGACCACGGTGAAGGGGAAGACGACATCCGGTTCCTTCCCCTGTGGTGGGGGCAGGATGGGTATGACTTTTTCTGATCGGGTCGGCCGCCCTTTTCCGGAAGATGAGTCGCTTCCCGTCCCAATCTCGTACATTTGGTATTCAATAAGAAATATTTTGGTTCCGGTTGTATCCGTCCCGTGAACTGGATAAAGGAATTATGAAATTTAAAGGATTAATTTCGTAGTAATTGAGAATAATTGGGCGTACTAATGACAAAGTCAGATTTCGTAGGGCAACTCATTTTTCAAAGGTCGCAAAATTTGTGTTGTGAGGGGGTTCGCATAATATTATTTCGAAAATTCTGCGAATTTACTTTAGTATGAAAACAACATCTGTATTTTCACGTTTTTTCCATGCATTTCTGTAATTTCTCTGTTGGTGATGGTGAGAATGAGTTGCAAAATAATTTTGTGAAATCAAAACTGTGTAAATTTACTGAGCAAACTTGGGAAGAAAAATTTGCATGGTTTTCCAGCAGAAGTTTTGCGAAATTTGACAAATTTTGCAAAACTTCGCCAGTTTTGGGCCCAATTTGCGAGATTTTCGAAGGTCGATGTAATTACGCCCAGTAATTATTTGAGATAATCTTGACATGCTTATCTTATGAATTCAACGTTATCTCAAAGAAACAACTTTAAGTCTTACAATTGTAACAGTACAGGGTCCCCTTTCCTTTATCCAGGATATCTACGAGTTCCAAGTCGTACCAAATTTCCCCTTCTGGTTCGAGAGGGTGTAACATTTTGATATAAATCTCCCCATGAACGGTCCTATCGTTCGGAATTATTTGCGACTGTCGCGACAATTCCATTAAAATCTTGTTGGCCAATGGGAGCAAAAAGGTGGGTAGGACGTGCAGTGATTTATCTCCCCGGTCCAGATAACGAGACGAGTTCGGGTAGGACGCGTCAATGCCAACTGTGCTAAATAAAAATCCCATTGATGAATGAACTTATACATAATATTTGCAAAAAACAAGGCAAACAATTTGTGTGCAAAAAATATTTGCACACCGACCGACCTGCCAAAGCGTGCTGAATCGAATCTTCCTTCCCATACTTGAGACAAACCTGGGGAAATTTATACCCCCAGACGTTCTCCTTGGTGACGTCTTTTATTCCCAGATGTGATTCACTACTGGGCCCGAAACACATCTTGTAATTGGAGTCGAAACTCTCGTCACATTTTCCACGCCCGTCGGAAATTATGGAGGCGAATCTTGTACTCTGTTGCATGATAAAGAGATTTCTTCCCCCGAAGATTGAGGCGAGTTGTCCAAGTCGAAACATTTTTTGTCCAAAAGTTTTAAAAGTTCGTAATTAATGCAAATATAAGATGAGTACGCTTTTTTAAGAATGTTTAAATTTGTTAAGCAAGAAAATATTGTATTCTCTGGTCAAAATGTGAAACAAGAATGAAATTTCAATATGCAGCCCAAATAGATAAATGGATTGATTGGTGCAAAAGCACCTTTCTAAGAATTATGCATTTATACAGACCTATGTGTGGACAATCTGGAGAAGTAAATATGCAAATGCATATACCTATGTGTGGGTCACTACCTTTCTATAAATACTTTAAGTACATAGTTAACATCTTATCGCAACGAATATGGGCCCGGATCAAGAGTATCCTATGTATTTAAGGACCCAAAGTCTAAGAACCGACATACAACGTCAGGTTTAACATCGTAAATTTACATATTTACATATTTTTTGATAATATTTGTAACATGGCCCAAAAGATGTGCTCATAAAAATGGGAATAATACGGCCAGGTTCTTTCCAGGAATGGGCTGCACTACACGCTTTGGCTGATAAGCGTACCGATGATTTACTTTTGCTCCATAAAATATAATCAGGTTGGAATGGAGAATATTTTTAATTGAAATATGTAATAACTGCGGTGACGTTGATGATTAAATCGCATAAAAATATCGGATAGTATGGTTACATGAAAAATTGAGATGCAAAAATAAATATTTTCATTGTATTCATTTAAGGCATGCCTAATCTGTAAAACTCTTGAATAATTAGTGCTGCTAGTTACGCTAATATTAGTTTACTTTGTGCATACATACATACTTATATTATGTATTTTTATATGCTGGCAATTAACAGGGAATTGTGGGTGCTATAAACAATGTAACACTGCACTTGAAGCCACCACGAATAATGAGAATTTTTAAATCCAGTCAATACTAGCAGCAAGCCAGGATTAGATCATTTCTCAGTGAAAATTGCTTCACGTAATTATCAAGTCTTCAATTTTATTACGCTTCCAATTATGTAAACCAAAGCTAAATGTATTACATACATGAATACAGATGTACGTATGTACATATGTACGTTACGTAGTTCGACTTAAAAATGTTATGCATGAAAATGTTACAAAGTATTAGATTGGATTCCACTTACATAATTGTAAATTAAGGGGAACCGAGACATATAGTATGTACGCAATTTACGTAGTAGGCTACATTCCATGACGATCGTTGTGCTATAAGCGGTTTTTGAGCTATCGTTATTTTACTAGAAGCATAAACGACATCCCTTTAAAAATCGAGTTGCATAAACTCTGCAAGTTTCCTTATGTTTATTTTTTTATGAAACTGATTAAATTTCTTAAGTGTTTACATGTCAGGCAAAGAAATTGTCATTGATTAAACTGACAAACCCGAAAGGGGCAATTATCAGTCTGATACCTTAACTCCACCTTGATAAATTTTATGAAACATTTTCATGGTTTGTTAAATTTGTCATTACATTTCATGGCGTATTCCAAATGGACAAATTTGGTGTAATACTAATGGATTTATGTATGTACCTAGCTTAGAAAAGCTGAGATTTCGAGGTACCTATAAATTTCTTTTCACATTATTATTTTTATGGAAATCCCAGAAATACATTAGTACATGTGGTGTGGTGTTAAGAATTGGTGCCAACACAAGCTGCACGTACGTACATACATATGTATGTAAATATCTGTGTATCGCGATCTCCGCATATTTTCCGACAATTTGTGATGATAACACTTGCCAGGGTTTATTTATTTACATAGGTTTGTATGTGCATGCGTTCTTCATCAATCGTTAGGAATGATTCATTACTGATTGTACCTAAAGTGAAACCTGGATTAAAAATTTTTTCGCTTGCCAATTTGTACATATATTGAAGGCGAGCTTGAGTGTATATATGTACATATGTGTATGTGTGTATGTATGTACCCTACATACATTTGTATGTACATAATGTGAACATTTATCTATACTTACGTACATATTTACAAATCAGCATTTATAGGTAGAAGCACGTGTAACAAACCCTTCGTAGCTTTATATATAATTGCAACATGATTCCGGTTTTTTGTATATGTCCGCGTGTACGTACACAATTCGCAAGTCTTCGTAATAAACTAATTTCAATTATTTATGTTTAACTCACGTCTTTGTTAAACTAGTTCCCACGCCATGTATGCGATGAAAATATGCCAGCCTGGATTTGTTTCAACATGAAACTATGTACATAGCTTCAGTGGGCATTTAGGTTAATCGGAGGAATAATTATGTACTTTTTGTAAACTAATTTTGATTTGAAATTCAATTTGTACCACTTTACGAGGCGGAAATAAGTTTGGTGACAGCAAAATCGTTTAAAATTTGTGAAAGCTTTTGTTAAGGTAAGTAATCTTGCAATTCTGGAAAAATTAGGGCATACCATGCGATGGTGTGAAATGGAAATTTTGTTGAAATTTGGCAATTATGAAGTTCAAGTCAATACAACCAGAACAAATCCAACCAAGGTTGCTTTAGGCAGCAGACTCGAGTCTTCTACCCTTGCTTGATAAAAATCGTCAATTTTTTCAACTTTGACCTCAACGATTCTTAGAAATTATGACCATAACGCAAACTACATATGTAGGTATATACATATACATACCTCAAGCAACATTGATTGTAAAGATTCTAACTTCATACATAATTTTAAAATTTCAACAAAATTATCTAGAGTGTTGCACTTCACACTATCGCATTTTAGTCAAGAGGTTGACTAAAATGGGGAAGATTTTAATTTTAATATAGCGCATACAGGCCACATAGGCGGTGGGGGTGGGGTAAATATTACCAAAAAAAAGACTCATACCGTAATGTCAAATTTCAACTTTTAGAGTTTGAGTTTTACTCCGGATGAAGTATGCATATATACATAAATACACAACCAAATGATGGGACAATTCATATACGCTCCTTGGTAACTTTGTAAACCCGTAAAATCCGCAAACTTTTACAAATATTTTAAAATAAAATTAACTCTGTTAGTTTGTCAAATTATTTTTTTACGGATTTTATCTACAAAGTTATCTACTAACGACTGCGTGAATAGCCTCAATATAAATACATGATTATTGGCCATATTTGACTGCATTTTTACATGAATCTGGTCATAAAAGTGTGGGAAGGTACTTACATAATATGTACCTGACGAGGAGCTTATTAATTGGTGAGTTACACATGTAACATTTAGAGGTAGACAATAAATTAGCAGACTTACATAACATTTTTTTAGTCGGACTTTCTCTTGATTTCCTTGTACGCAAATTAGTTACCTAACCTAACAAACATAATTCTTGCAATGTGCACTTATTAAGGGGCGACGTAAGATCTTCCCTTCCCGAAATGACATGTAGTTAAGCATAAATTATCAAGGTCAAAGGGTAGACCTAACTAGAAAATATAGGCGATGTATGTCACAAAGCCACGGCGTCAGGTCAAAAGTCATGATTTTTTTCAAATAAGAAAGACATCATATGAAGAATCAAATCGACGCTATTTTTAAAGACCTATATATGTATCTAACAGAATAGGTTGCATAGAATGATGATCCCATTACGGTTGACGGTGTGAAGAGGTAAAAGGTCGCATGTGCAAAAATCTTTCGACGCGTCAAATGTGTCGAAAGTTTTGAATGAGCAAAAACAAAATACTATTCATTTTAACGTTGGACATGTTGTCCTGACCCGCTGCAGGGGGTCAAGACAAATGTAACCATGGTTACATTCGTCGCAACGGTTCATTTAAAATGCGAAAATATCATTTAAGCCATCTCGAAAAATGTTCCCATTTAAATACTTGGATACATTTTTAACATTTTAAATCAAATTTAGAATTTTAAATTCTAATGTACATTCATGTCTTTCAATAATGTTTTTTTTTTACATTTTCTTGACATTTTCAGTAATCAATGATGGCTAACTCATACTCTGTACGCGTCTCGAATGGGTGCAAAAGTTACCAGTTCGGAGTCCCCATTTTGACCAATTTGTCCATGGAGGTGGAAACTGGGACGATGTAAGAACAACAAAACGTACAAATTATGTACATACATATGTACACTACCCACACATATGTAGGTGCATGGGTACATGTTAACGAGGTAATTACTTATGTACGTATTAACTTTTACATACTTCTAGTTACGGATTACTAGGAGCGAGTGGATGCGGGTGAGAATTTTATTTTATTGCGGCCAGACAACGAGATTCTAATCATTAGTAGGGTTCTACAATGTCCGTGTCAAGAAGTACTTGTCAGGACATGTCATATTTGTCATGTCGTGTCATATTTGTCATAAATGTCTGACATTGACATTATTGATAAATGTCTGACAAATATGACAAATATGACATTTATGACATCACAGTTATGACATTCAGACAATCCAGGTTGAACTTAAATGCTATAATTCAACGGAAATTTTCGAAACTATTTACTTAAATATATGACGACTAACGAGGAAAGGCCCTCTACATGTCATCTTCAGATTTTGATGCCCTCTGCATTTTGGGTCCCCTAGGTTAGTGATTCATAACCATAAAGCGGTTTGACTCGATGGCCAATTTAGATAATTTCAAAAAAGTTGAGATTGCTATAGGATATGATCACATAAGTATCTAGGGTCACAAAAATATAAATTGTATCAAAATTCGAGCAGAATTGGATTTTTGGTGACAGTTGAAGCACATAAAAGCAGGACTTTTTTCGTATTTTTGGCGCCTTTGCGTGGGTGTGGCGGGCGCAAATTGGGTCACGGAATTAAACCACTTCAGGGTTTTAATAGACTCGTAAGGGTACTCCAACATATCCAAAGGGCATCAAGATATGAGAATAACATATACATGGACTCCTCTCCCAAGTAATTAACAGGTTATTTTTTTGAACACTCAAGTTTAATGAAGCTCAGTTAAAATGTGCAAAGATTGAATGCAGCGGGGAAATTGAGTCAGTACTAAAAAATCTATGAAAATGTCATAAATGTCATAAATGTCGCGACATTTATGACATTTATGACATTTTTCGTATATGTCAATTTGTCATAAATGTCTGACATTGACACAATCGATAAATGTCTGACATTTATGATATTTGACATTTATGACGGACAAATATGACACGACAAATATGACATGTAGAACCCTAATCATTAGCCTCATTTGTCTGAAGAATGTTTTTTTGTCAATTAAAATTAATCATAACTGATGTGTGATGATTCATTACACGCAGATTTATGCATGTATGTACGTACGTAGAAAGACGACGCTGCTTAATTGCATCCTCGGCCAGAAAAAGTTGGACTCTGGATATATTTCCGTGATGGGGAAAGATCCAGCGAAATGTATGGATGACATCGTGACCTCAATCGGGCATATGCCTCAGGTATTTATTAAAAGAGGGTGCATGTATCTATTAATTAATTAAATAATGATAAAGTAAATGTAAGAATTTAGAAAAATTCGAATTTCGTAAGAAAAATTTATTAATTTAAATTTAAAGGACATCGCCCTGTACCCACTAAAAATATGTGAAATATTTGAATATTTCGGAAAGTTGATGGGTCTAAGTAAGCATGAGATACTTTCTCGAGGGGACGAATTGAGAAACGTGTTAAAACTGGAAGATCTACACAGTTACGTGCAAACTTTAAGGTAACTAATTTGCATATTTACATGCTTAAAATTAACTACGTCGTAAATAAAATTTGACTTCAAGACTAATTAAAATTTAGCGGTGGGCAGAAGCGGCGCGTCTCGTTGGCCGTGGCGTTGCTGAATCATCCCCAACTTTTGATTCTTGGTATTAAAATTATTAAGCTAATCAATGGTCTAAATCAATTCAAAACTAATAAAAAATATATCGGAAGATGAGCCCACAACGGGAGTTGATCCTTTGTTAAGAGAGTCGTAAGTCGAATTAAGAATTATTCAAAATGTAAATTTTTACTACAATTAATGATAATTTAAATAAATTATAACTAATATTTATCCAGAATTTGGCAGTACATTGCTGGGCTTGTATCCAAAATGGGAACAACTGTCATTGTGACGACGCATTACACAGAGGAATGCCGAAAATTTGACAAGGTACGTACCTTGTTTAGTGGTACTTTCCGTATGCGGTGGCAAAAAAAAAACATTAAACGGGGCTGCTAAGAATTTCCAAGTCTTTCACAGTAACCAGTCTTTTTCAAATTTTATTATTCTCCATTTTGCAGATTGGAATTATGCGGAGAGGTCGAATTATTGCGGAGGACAATCCGCGCCATCTCCTGGAACTGGGTGGATCCCTGATTTTAGAAGACGCGCTAAAATCCATTTGCAAAAAGGATGAAGAGGACGGAAACGATGTCTACAGTTTCCTCCCGACGGAAACACTCTCAAAGTATAAATATGGCGAAATAGAACCACTTGATGGAGGGATTGAACCTTTGTCTTTTCGGTTACGACAGTATTATTCGTATCGTCCAGAAAAAGTGGGAAAATCTGATTCAAGTAAAATGAAGGAACACAGCGAAAAATCCATCAGAGAGAAAATTGCGGAGGAATTTCGGAAAGTGAGCACCCTCACGAAACGGAATTTTCTGCTGAATTACAGGGTGCCAATGTATGTTTCAATCGGGGAAATTTTTCAATTTATTAGATGATACATAAAATAGAATTATTTATGAATGTCACCTCATTTGCGTATTTTGACGCATTCGCGAGGAACAAAGTCTATTTATTCAGTATGAAAAGCTCGTATCGCTGAAGATGGGCATATTGAGATTTATGCAAATGAGGTGACACACAAATAATTGGATTGCATATGTAGGTATTTATACATATACATATAATTATTCAATAACACGATAAATAAGTACATATATCTTTCAAACTGTTTCGCAAAGTTTTTGAGCTAGCGATTTGAGAATTTGCACGGTATTAGCAAAAGATACCCTAGAAACTTTCTATGGGTTATGATCTTGTTTATCTGCAAATGTGAGAATTGTTAGCTTCGATGAAAATGTGCTAGATAGAACAGTTTGAAAGCCGTATGATTGTTTTTGTTGATCACTGTACATTCCAGAAATTACGCCTTTCAGGTACTTATCAGTTGCCCTCATACTTCCCGCGGTTAACGCGTTTTTAATCTACTACACGATTGGCAGAGATCCCATTGGACATGTGGTGTCCGTCTTTAATGAAGAGGTGGACTGTTTCGGCGGGAATATCAATTCCCCGCACGTGGAAGATAATCAGTCTTGGAGTTGCTTGCTCTTAAAGGAAATTGGGCCCAATATAATTCTGGTAAGGTAAAAATTTACCACACGGGTGACAATTTAAAAATGATGTAGAAATTGACTACGAAAAATGGAAATAAATATTTATTATTTATTATTTATTTATTAATTAACAACCTCTCTAGCAACCACACCTCTCGAAGATTTCTGCGAAAGCGACCGTTGAGTTGGGTAGTGCGATTGGATTTATGCACATTCCTACCAATTACACGAAACACTCGATAAGCAGATTTGCGTACTCAAGATTCGCCATGGAGCAGGATTTAGATGGGAGTACGGTCCACGTCTCGTTAGACTTATCGAGTACGTTTCGCTATAATTGTCTGATTTTGGCGCACTTACAATGGAACATGTTTCCAACCTACAAACATCGGGACTTTATCGAGTTATATCGAAAAATCGAGCCAAAAATTTCAAATCACATGGCACTTATCACCCCGTTGAATAACCCCTGTGGAGAAAAATATTGGGGTCGAAGTTCATACGTCCACCAATATTTTGGGTCAATGGAGCCATTCAACGGAAACGTAAATGTCATGTGATTCCTGATTTCTGGCTTGATTTTTTGATATAATTCGCTAGAAAACTCCGATGTAGCTTAAAAAATTCCATTGTCAGTTGAATATTTATAAATGAGTAAATTCATAAATAATTAAATATATACAGACGCGATAACTGCCAGCTATGTGTCGCGCGAAATTTTGGATGGATACCAGAGATTTATGAAAAATCGAGCCAGCGTTATCGGAGTCGACCCAAGGACGGTAGAAGTTCCTCTCCAGGTACTTGAATTTACGTAAATACATATATATGCATCCATCGTCGCTAATATTTACTTATCAGATAACGACATGATCTATTTTTACACATTTTTTTCTAAATTTGCATTAGTACAACGCAAAACTGGATCCATATGAGTTTACATGGCAGGACAGCTTCCTCCCGTCAAATATCATATTGTTAGTGATTCTCACATTGTCTACATACATATATCATGGATTTCCGGATTTGAATATTTTTTGCAAGTGTTGCCTTACCCAGAAGAAGTTTGAAAGGTCAACCTGACCTTTGCAGCTTGATGTGACAGTTTTTTAATTTGCACATCCAAATACGCGGGACTGATGTCGGCCCCGGTAGAATTTTACGCACCGCTGCCGCCGATAAATAAGGCTTTCCATCCTCCAACAATCGGCGCCGCCGAGAAATTACCAAATTTGGCGTAATTTATCGACGTGCTCAGGCCCCTAATAAATATACGAAAGCTAAATATCGCACTTCGTAATATGGGGTAGTGCATATGTACATATAGACAGAATTCTGAAAATATTCAAATCCTTATTGCCACAAAGATTGTGACAGATCATTATTTCTGCAAAAACCAATCTGGATCATAATTGTATTTTCAGGACAAGCTTCGTATTTTCTATGATTTGTGGACTTTCCTTCATCCTGGAGAAAGAGGCTGGCACGTTGGAGCGAACCTTAGCGTCCGGAGTTAGCATCCGCCACGTGAGAATGTCCTACTTCATTTCTGAAACTGTGACGTCCCTTATGCAGGTCGGGATCGTGTTTGCGATCCGTTTCTTCACGGTGGGATACAATATCAAGGGGCAGTTCGTCCTCTGTTTTGCCATCGCTTTGTTGACCAGTCTGGTCAGCATTGGGTTGGGTAAGTGGCACATGTGAGGTGCCGTTCATAAATTATGTAACGCAAGAAAGAAAGGATGAGGGGTGTAAGGCTCCAATGATATCGTACATATTTATCTATTTATGTATGTATGTCGCACATGTTAAAGGGGGGACTGAAAAATCGCGATTTTTGTGTTACCTAATTTATGAATGGCCCCTAATGTGTAATTTTTGCAAGGGAGAAATTTTAAATTTTTGTTGCATAGGTTTGCTATACGGGACAATGTTATCCAAGCGATTAGACGTCACTATGGCGAGCTTGTTTGCCATGATAATGGCGTTGCAAACTAGTGGTAAGTGTTATAAATAGTTGCCTTTTATTTATAAGATACCCCACGAAAATTGAGTTATTTATGAATGTGACATCTCAAAAAATTTTAGTATTCATGTATTTACATATGACTTTACTAAAGCAGATTGATACGGTATGGTAATAGCTCGGCATTAAGGTTTTACAACATCGGGAGCAAAGTGTTACCAACTGGAATAACTTTATTCCTAAAATTTGATAGGAAACTTGGTACCGACAAATCAATATTTGAGTTTTTGTTTGTCAAAAAACTCAAAACTTGAAAACTGGTTGGGTAATATGCACTTTTCAATCCAACAATTGCCACCCACCAATTGCCACTCGACAATTGCCACTCTTGACCAATTTCCACCGACCAATTGCCACTCCACAATTGCCACTCTTTACCAATTGCCATCCACCAATTTCCACTATATGCCAATTCCCACCTTTGCATTTTCATGCTCATGAAAGAAGGAAAGCTAGGTGTTTTCTTCAAATTTTACTGTTTGGGTAACTTTTGCAAGAGTCTTTCAGTCAAAATCATGGTTCGCTTCCCATTTTTCTAGCAAAAATTCTTTATCCTCTTCAATAATGTACACTCGTTTTTATTATTACAAGATTTAGCAGTAGCGTACTCTGTATCCAATTGCAATCATCCTTCGAATGTACCAGCCCCATATATTATTCGTGGTAAGCAGTAATCTACCCATTTATATGATCTACCCATTTATTGTATTAAACCTGAACAGTTATCCAGAAATAAATGAAACTTCGTAAGTTTTGGAATAAAACATGCATTTTGAATTTTACGTACAAACAACTAAACAGTAATAAATTCTTGGGCTAAACATAGCCGATACCTCTGTTACGGGGCATGATTATATGAATGTATAAATGACTTCGTGGTAAAATACATAAAAAATGCAAAGGCGGGAATTGGCATATAGTGGAAATTGGTGGATGGCAATTGGTAAAGAGTGGCAATTGTGGAGTGGCAATTGGTGGGTGGCAATTGTTGGATGGAAATTTACACCGAATCAACTGGTTGACATTCATATCTACAAATTAGTCTTTTATACATAGAACATCATGAAAATTCAATTGGTTGTTACCAAATGTACTTATGTATGAAATAAGTTATCATACTCAAAAGAGGTTTTTTTTGTAATTATAGTCACTGTAAGTAAGGTTAAGAGAGGAAGATATTCGTTATAGTGTTACAACATTTAGAAACCGGATACAATTTCAGGAAACAAATTCTTGAAAAATTTTTAACGCCAAGAATTAATGATAATCGTGGTCAATTTAGGAATTGTATGGCCGTTGGAGCTGATAAGTCCTTACTACCGTTGGGTTTGCGTGTACCTCAACCCGATCTCCCTGCCGATGGAGGGGATGCGTCGTGTGTGGAATAGTGGGTGGGGTATGGAACATAGTGCCATCCGGACAGCATTGCTGGCACCGATCGTCTGGATCTTCGTCCTTTCGATGGCGTCGCGTATTTTGAGGAAGGTGCAGGCGAATAAGTGAAAATTATTGACAATTGTTTAAAAGAATTGTGTACGAAATTGGTTCCTGGAAATTTAGATATCTAGAATAAGGTCTGACATAAAAATTAATGTTTTTTTTATATACATACATCGGATTTGAAGACATTTATTTAATCTTTGGTCAATCAGAGTGAATTTATTGCTTGTAAATATCTACGTAATAATATGGATAACTTTGATCATGCAAATGCATACCAGGGTCCGTTGACTGTATCCTTGCAGAATTTCTAGATAGGTAGCAGCGCCCGATCTTGGAAATTGGCAACCGGGGCTAATTGTTCGTCTGGTACATTAACTCACCCTTGATTAATTTTATGAACAATTTTCATCGTTTGGTAACTTTATCATTACATTTCATGGCGTGTTTCAAACGGATAAATTTGGTGTGATACTGATGTATTTATGTAGCTTAGGAAAGCTGAGATTTCGAGGGATATTAATAGATTTGTTGGTTGATTACTATTTTTCATGGAAAACCCAGCAAAGTGGTATCGAAGAATTTTTGTGCCAACGAAAATTACGCCTGCACATATGTATATGTATCTGTATATCGATCTCTGCATATTTTCCGACAAAATGTGATAATACTCGCCAGGGTTTACATACATACGTACATGCTGTCTTCATTACTGATCTTACTGATTGTATTTACGTATATTTACATATTTATATAGGGAAACCTGGATTAAAAATTTGTTCACCTGCCAGCTTGAACATTTATGTAAGACTAGCACGAGTTTATATACATACTAGCGTATAGCCCGGCCAAGGCCGGGTTCTAGAGTTCCAGTGGGGGGTGTGCCCAAAGCGAAAAATCCGTCATACTATACTTTAAATAATTCCCAGTGGAGACTTTGTCATACCACATACATACATCAGAATGAGGGTTTGCCCAAGTTATACTGCATTTTAATTAATCTGGTCACAGTACAATTTGATTTCCCTCTGTGGGAGTAGTTGAATAGCTAATTACTTAAATTCCCGTCGCGTGGGAGTAACTGCATAGCTAACTATTTAAATTCCCACGCTCCCGTTAAGTTCCATAAACCCCGTTAACTTCTACAATTAACGCCAAGCTATTGACGGATTCGGATTCAGCGTCAAAAATACATTCGAATTGATGTGCGACATCACTAATAAGCCATATTTGGACACCACGGTCACGGCAAGGTCACGGGGGTCTCGCAGGTTGAAACCATTGGCGTTGGATTCACCGTCAAAAATACATTCGAATTGATCTGCCACTCGCTGTGGGTGGAGTTTCTCAAACTAAAATAATTAATTAATAGTGTTTATCACGATCACTTATCATGATAACCACCATTGATGAGTGATGTATGTATGTGGGGTAGCAGTATGTACATGTTCATGCATGCATTCATTCATGCAGTATAGTGCATGCATGCAGTGGTCCGCTTCCTTCGTTGTCTCCTCTATGGGGCAACTTGCATTACGAAGACGGACCCAGGGATCATACTAACACTTTATTAGAGTTGATGTATGTATGTACATAATGTGAACATTTGTATGTACGTATGTACATGCATATTTACAAATCAGCCTATGTACCTATGTAGGTAAAAGCACGTTTTAATTGCAACATGATTCCAGTTTTTGTGCATATACGCGTGTATGCACACAATTTGAAGTAATCGCAATAAACCGATTGTAATTATTTATATATTTAGCTGACGTCTTTGTTAAACTAGTTCCCACGCAATGCATGAGATGTTTAAATAAGCCAGCCTGGATTTGTTTCTATATGAAAGTATTATGTAGCTTCAGTGGGTAATTTGGTAAATCGGAGGAAGATAATTACCTCTTGTGAACTAATTTTGATTTTTATTCAATTTATACCACTTTTACATACAGCATGAAATAAGTCAGTGACAAGTTTGGTGAAAATCGAATCGTTTACGATTTGCAAAAGTTTTGTCAAAGTAAGTAATATTGCAATACTGGAAAAATTAAGGCTCAAACTACGATATGGTGTGAAGTGTAACAGTCAGATTTGGTAGAATTTTTGTAATTAATAATTACTAATTATGTAGTCAAAATTCATACAATTAACAATTTGTGGGATGGTTGGAATTTATCGAAATATTTGAGGTTAATGTTGAAAAAATGGACGACTTGCTAAATCCGTAAACCTACAAACTTTTACAAATATTTTAAAATAAAATTAACTCATAAATTTTTGTAAGTTTCCTCAGACTAAGGACGCCTGTTTATTTTGTAACAGTTTGTCAAACTGTTTTAAAATTTACGGATTTTACAAAGTTATCTGCCAAAGACTGCGTGACGTGAATAGGTTCAATATAAATACTTGATTATTTACAAGATTTTACTAAATTTTTACATGAATTTGGTCATCAAAGTGTGGGAAGGTACTTACATAAGTACCTGACGAGGAGCTTATTAAATAATTGGTGAGATTGCATACATATGTAACAATTAGAGGTACCCAGTAAATTTGCAGACTTACATAACATTTTTTTGGTCAGACTTTCTCTTGTTTTCCTTGTACGCAAGCAAATCTATGACCTAATAATTAATCAATTTTGTTTGTTAGGTAGGTAACCTACCTGACAAATAAAATTTTTGCGATGTGTATTTATTAAAGGATGAAATATGTATGTAATATGGTGTGATCTTCCCTTTATAAGATCGTTATGTCCGCCCCTGTTTGTTTCCTGGTCAGATGACTCGTGACAAAGGCTCGAAACAGAAACTTGACACCTAACTTATTTAGGTCTAGGGACAGACCTGGCTGGGAAATATGTATGACATCCATGTCGCAAAGCTACGGCGCAAAGTCATAGGTCATAATTTTTTATTATTACATACATAGAACGACGTCATGTGACGATTCATATGGATACTGTTTTCCGCAGATAAAGATGTATCCAACGGAATAGATCATTCGACTTGAGGTGACACCGTGAACGTGTGGGCAAGACAAAAGATCGCAAATGTCGAAAGCACGTCCGACGTGTTTCACCTCTTGGTTACGTTCGTTGTACCGATTGATTTAAAACGTGAACATGTCATTTATGTATCTGCTCGATAAATGCTGTCCATTCATTTGTATACATTTTTGTCATTGTAGATGAAATTCTACTGTGACTTTCAATATGTTTTTTTTTTACATTTCCTTGACATTTTCAGAGAGACAGGTAGTCAACAATGGCTAATTCATACTCTGTACGCGTCTCGAATGGGTGTAAAAGTTACCAGTTCGGAGTTCCTATTTTGACCAATTTATCCATGGAGGTGGAAACTGGGACGATGTAAGAGTAACAAAACGTACAACTTATGTATATTACCCATATGGGTACATGTTAATTACGTACATATTGTGCAATTTTATCACACATATTTCTAGTTACGGATTACTTGGAGCGAGTGGATGCGGGTGAGAATTTTATTTTATTGCGGCGAGACAACGAGATTCTAATCGTTAGAGCCTCGTTTGTCTTAACAATGTTTTTTTTTGTCAATTAAAATTAAACATCGCACGTGAATTCATGATTCATGTATGCACATACGTAGAAAGACGACGTTGCTTAATTGCATCCTAGGCCAGAAAAGGTTGGACTCTGGGTACATTTCCGTGATGGGGAAGGATCCAGCGAAATGTATGGATGACATCGTCACCTCAATCGGACATATGCCTCAGGTATTTATTAAACCAGGGTACAGGGATCTATTAATTAATTAAATAATGATAAAGCAAATGTAAAAAAATTAATTTTAATTAAAAGGATATCGCCCTGTACCCACTAAAAATATGTGAAATATTCGAATATTTCGGGAAATTGATGGGTCTGGCGAAACATGAGATCCTTGAGAGAGGAGAAGAATTAAGAACCGTTTTGAAACTGGAGGATCTAAATCGTTACGTACAAACGTTAAGGTGAAGAGCGTACAAGATTTTTTTTGGAAATGAACTAGTATTTAATCGCAAATGTCACTTTAGTGGCGGCCAGAAGCGGCGCGTCTCGTTGGCCGTGGCGTTGCTGCATCATCCCAAACTTTTGATCCTTGGTATTAAAACTATTAAAATAATCAATGGTCTAAATCAATTCAAAAATAATAAAAAAAAATTATCGGAAGATGAGCCAACGACGGGAGTTGACCCTTTGTTAAGAGAGTCGTACGTCGAATTCAAGAATTATTCAAAGTACAGTACAATTAGTGATATTTCAAATAGCGCATAATTATCCAGAATTTGGCTGCACATTGCTGGGCTTGTGTCCAAATGGGAACAACCGTCATTGTGACGACGCATTACACGGAGGAATGTCGAAAATTTGACAAGGTATACTTTACATATGTAGTGGTACTTTCTGTATGCGGTGAAAAAAATATCTAAGGGGGCTGCTAAAATAATGTCCCATTTTCAAGTCTTTTGAACTAACTATTTTTTCTCAAATTTTATTATTTACCATTTTGCAGATAGGAATTATGCGGAGAGGTCGAATTATTGCGGAGGACAATCCGCGCCATCTCCTGGAACTGGGCGGATCTCTGATTTTAGAAGACGCACTAAAATCCATTTGCAAAAAGGACGAAGAAGACGGAAACGAAGGCTACAATTTCCTGCCGACTGAAACCCTCTCAAAATATAAATATGGCGAAATAGAACCACTTGAAGGAGGCATTGAACCTCTGTCTTTTCGGTTACGACAGAATTATTCGTATCGTCCGGAAAATGTGGGGAAATCTGATTCAAATAAAATTGAGAAACAGCGTGAAAAATCAATTGGGGCAAAAATAGTGGAGGAATTTCGGAAAGTGAGCACCCTTACAAAAAGGAATTTTCTGCTAAATTACAGGGTGCCAATGTACGTTCCAATCAGAGAAATTGTAAATTTTTAAATTTATTTGATGCATATGTATGTTCAATAATGTACATAGTACATACAGTGGAATTATTTGTGCGTGCCACCAAATTTTCATATTTTAACGCATTCGCGAGTTTATTCAACATAGAAAGCTGGTGTATCTGGCATAGTGAGATTTATGGAAATGAGGTGACGCACACGAATAATTCCTCTGAATATTTATATATTTATATATATATTTAACTATTCAAAACCGCGAGAAATCGGTGCCTTTCAAACTGGTCTGCATATTTTGCAAACTTTTTGAGCTAGCTACAGAATTTGCAAGGTACTAAATGGTACAAATGGTACTCTACAAAACTTTCTATGGGTTATGATTTTTTGTACCAGCGAATGTGGAAATTGTTAGCTTTATGAAAAATGTGGCTAGTTTGAAGGCCATTTTTTCTGAGCCATGTACATACCTATATCGTACAAATTATGTCTTTCAGGTACTTCGCAGTTGTCCTTTTACTTCCCGCTGTTAACACGCTTGTAGTCTACTACACGATCGGCAGAGATCCCGTTGGACAGGTGGTGTCAGTCTTTAATGAAGAGGTGGATTGTTTCGGCGGGAATGCTAATTTCCCGCACATGAAGAATAATAACTCTTGGAGTTGCTTATTCTTAAAGGAAATTGGGCCCAATATAATTCTGGTAAGTAAGAAAATTACCACAAAAGTTGACGATTTTCTAGTGATTCCTCGAAATCTCTTAGCAACCGCAACTCTCAAGGAATGCCGCGAAAGCGACCGTCGAGTCGGGAAGTGCGATTGGATTTATGCATTTTCCCGCTAATTTCACGAAACATGCAATAAACCGATTTGCGTTCACAAGATTCGCCACGGAGCAGGATTTAGACGAAAGTACGGTCCAGGTCTCGTTAGACTTATCGAGTACGTTTCGCTATAAGCGTAATTGGCTGATCTTCGCAGACTCATAATGGAGATATCTCAGCGTATGCTATCCCATTTTGACCAAATTGGTGTCAAACGATCACAAATTCAACTAGTATGAAATTTGCAAATTAGACCATCTGCCAATTCACAGGTCTAGAAAATACACATATTTGCACCCGAAGAGGAGAAAAAGCGGAGTGAATTTGAAAATTGTTAAATTGAGCAATTTTAGAACGAGTTTTCTCCTTTTCGGATGCAAATATCTCTGCCAAATCTGAACATTTGCGGTTCGTGCCTTTTTCATGCTATGTGATCGATTGGCACTAATCGTAAGCTGGTCAACATCGGCGAGCATACATAAATACGCTAGGAGGCTTCCATTGGCAGCATAATATTTGTAAGTATCTAACATATTTGGAAATACATGCAGACGTGATCACTGCTAGCTATGTATCTGGCGAAATTCTGAAGGGATACCTGAGATTTATGGAAAATCATGTCAATGTTGTCGGAGCTGACCCAAGGACGGTTGAAATTCCACTTAAGGTACTAGAATTTATGTATCCATCGTCGCTAATATTTATCAATCAGGATAGATAGGATCTATTTTTACACATTTTTCTTTTCTAAATTTGCATTAGTACAACTCAAAACAGGATCCGAATGAATCTACGTGGCAGGATTATTTTCTCCCATCAAATATCGTGTTGTTAGTGATTTTCATTCTGTCAATATCAAGGATTTCCGGATTTTAATATTTTATGCAAGTGTCGCGTTACCCTAAAAAGATCTGACAGGTCAACCTGGTGGATTTTTAAATTTGAATATCCATATATGCGGGACAGATGTCGGCGGAGGTAGAATTTTCTGGCAGCATTTTACGCGCCGCCGCCGCCAATAAATCTGGCTTCCTATTCTTCCAACGTAGGGATGCCGCTAAAAAATCGCAAAATTTATTAGCGTCAACTTCTGGCGCAACTGGTGCTAAGGCCACTATTAGCTGCGCCCAATCGGGCGTATTTATTTGTAGAATGCGGTGACCATACGGGGCAGTGCGTACATGTAGCAAAATTTTTGTTGCGGTTCACCTAATTTGCATAAATCTCATAATGCACATTTTCTACGATACGGGCTTTCCATCTTTAATAAACTCTGTCTCTCGTCAATGCATGCAAAGTGAGGTGAACCGCAAGAAAAATTAAATGTGCTATGCACGCAGAATTCAGAAAATGTGCAAATCCGTGATCCGTGATATTGACATGCATAATAATTATTCTCGCAAAACCCTTTATGGATTGTTCTTATCATGTTGCATTTTCAGGACGAACTTCGTATTTTCCATGATTTGTGGACTTTCCTTCATTCTGGAGAAAGAGGCTGGCACGTTGGAGCGAACCTTAGCGTCCCGGAGTTAGCATCCGCCACGTGAGAATGTCATATTTCATTTCTGAAATTGTGACGTCCCTTATGCAGGTCGGGATCGTGTTTGCGATCCGTTTCTTCACGGCGGGGTATAGCTTTAAAGGGCCGTTCGTCCTCTGTTTGGCCATCGCTTTCTTGACCAGTCTCGTCAGTATTGGATTTGGTAGGTGACATAATTTGTAATTTTTGGAAGGCGAAATTTTTATATTATTTTGTGTAGGTCTGCTAATCGGGACGATTTTCTCCAAGAGATTAGATGTTACTATGGCGAGCTTGGGTGCCATGATAATGACGTTGCAAACTAGCGGTAAGTCGTAAATTGCGGCAGTAGCAATATTTTGGCAATATAATACGCGTCCAGAAATACTTATTTAAATAGTTACTCCGGTTGGTAACAAAAGTTGCGTAAAGTCTGCAGATAAATATTCCCCATTTGCACTAGAAATTTAGTTAAGAATGTGTCGTCTCAAAAAGGACGGCCCTACCCTTAGAAATTAAGCATTACAAGAATACGAAGTAGTTTTCATTTACATATTTATGACTCTCCCAGAGCACAATTGATAAAAAATACCGTATATGTAACAATTTGGTGATTGCGTCAGTATTAAAGTTACAGATGTGCCATATCAGTAGAAAATTCTAAATAAGCTACTGGTCCAGCTTAATCCCAAGCGGTAGCAAATTTAGTACCAGGAAATCAATATCTGCATGAATGTACCAGATTTCTAAAAATGTCTGTTAGTCATATTGGAAAATGTCCCTACGCTAAAAAACGAGATAAAATTAGTCCAACATAAGGAAGAAAAATCATGAAAAATGTCAAACTCCAGGAATTATCTGTAATGATAATTGTACAAACTTGGTAAATTTAGGAAATTTGTGGCCATTGGATATGGTAAATCCTTACTACCGTTGGGTTTGCGTGTATCTCAACCCGATCTCCCTGCCGATGGAGGGGATGCGTCGCGTGTGGAATAGTGGGTGGGGTTTGGAACATAGCGCCGTCCGGGCAGCATTGCTGGCACCGATCGTGTGGATCTTCGTCCTTTCGATGATGTCCCGTGTTGTGAGGAAGATACAGACAAATAAGTGAAAATTATTGACAATTTTTTAAAAGAATTGTGCACGAAATTGGTTCCTGGAAATTTAGTTAGAATAAGGTCTGAAATAAAAAGGAATATTTTTGTATGTAATTTAATCTTTGTATGTAATTTAATTATTTAATCTTTGGTCAATCGGAGTGAATTTATTGCTTATAAATATTTAAGTAATAACATGGATAACTTTGATCATACAAATGCATACCAGAGGGTCCGTTGACTATATCCTTGCAGAATTTCTATTTAGATAGGGTCAGGTATTGTAAGTTGACGGAATTTTTTCGGAAAAAGGTTAAAGATATGTACATATCATAAAAGTATAATGTTGAACAATCTTTCACATTTTCAACGGAAAACTAAACAAAGTCGTTCTAAACTGGACATCGATTGATGCTCCTCCGGTGTAGTCCTAAGGTTTACATTAAGTGAAAAAATCGAGTCCAGATTTCGACAGAGCCCCAAGCCATGAAAAATCCTACCGCATAAACTGGTCCCATTCTTCTACAAATGTATGTACATATGTGCATATGTATGAGTAATTCTTTTACTATATAACTCAAAAAAACTGCCCATGACACGAAAACCGTGGAAGATTTGTGGATTAAATACATCAAATTTCAGACATAACCATCAGTTTTTCCTTTCATATTTTTAAGACAAAAAATTGTTTTTATTGTTTGAGGAAGCTTCGTCGGAATACATGGGTGTGGTTTAAAAGCAGTTTATTCAAGCTTTCGATGCTGAACTCGCATCATCATCAGGAAATCAGGACTTTTAACAATTTTCTTTTTATTGTATGACTTACTTGTTGTTATTTTGCAAAACCGTGTTGAATGTTGCAAATTAATTCAACTGAAACCCGCATGTGTTATTTAAGATGATTGAATTGTGAACAAACTGCAAAAATATGGTGTCATTCGGTCACCTTGCATACATATATTTGATAAGCGGTAAAATGGGACTCTGTTACCATGACAATTAATTGCTTCAGCCGGGTGTACATACATATGTACATATTTATATATGCAAGTATTGAGGAGTCGATTTTGCCACCGGATCAGGTTTTGATGCATGGTTAAATTGTCCATGAACTGAAGGTGAGAATCTACTTAGGTACATAAAAATATAATGATCATATTTTATAGCTACCTATCTACTTACATAAATATGTACATAGTTATTTCGTTATTTCTGATGTCTTGTATAACAACTTTTGTGTAACAACTGGTTTTGCTAATTATCTACTTACATATCTACGCATGACGTCCTACCTTACCAAGATTTTTATTAGATAGGCTGCTGGACAATGTCTTTGTTGCATACGTGTTGAAATTAGTTCCCATGGCGGCGTATGTGCATTTTTACGTAACTCGGTTATAAATATACATTGCATTCATATGTATGTACATATGTATTTAAATATATGTATGTCTAATGTAGCATGAATTCAGTCCTTTTTAGGTAGTTATGTATGTACGTTGAGTAGTTGTTTGACCACAAGAATATTGTCCCTCTATGAATTTATAATTTAAGTAAGTTCTTGATTTTTACTTCTTGACAAAGTACTTTGAGACTTTTTTCCAACTTTTTGGAACAACGAATCAAATTGACGTGCTTCTATTTGAACCCTTGCACATGCTTTACATATTTTAAATTGTTACCAAATTAATGTAAGTTCTGCGGAAACATTCCTTATTAATTCACACAGTTTTTGGTTAATTGTTTGTTAATTGTGGTAGATTTATAAATACTAAATTTAGTCACTCGTGTTCTTTGAAAAATTACGGAATCCATTCCATAGCGTGATTCCTGACGGAGAAATTTGAACATTTTATGAGAACAAAAGCAGAATCTGGAAAGTACGGAATAAAAATTTACTAGGATTTTATAAGACGGTAAGATTTTCCTATTTGATTTTAATTTTGCTTTATGTATTACGTATGAACATTAAAATTACCTTGTTAAGCATACAGTAAATAAAAAAGGCTGTAATAGATAAGAAGAATTTTATAGTTTTATAGTCTATGTAGGAAATGGATAATGGCGTACATATTATGTAGTTACTACATAGTTACTACTGAGGGTGGGGCGTCCCGCTGCTAACGATTTTGACCATTAATGTCTTTGGCGCTATTGGAAATTTTGAATTGAAATTTTTATAATTTGTTCACCTTATAGTCAGCGTTATGGGTGTAAAATTTCAATTCGGTAGTGTAAATGGCACCAGAGATATATGCATACGAAAAAATGTTTCTGTTCCAAAGCGTTTCCAAAACTGCATTTTTTTAAATTTCATAATCTTTTTAAAACACTCTAGAATTGTGAATTGTTCATAGAATTTGATGTGGGTGGTATGACAATTTTTGGTATCTATGTGGCTTTCATAAATAACTCATAAATCTCCCACAATTTTTTTAACTCATTCCATACCAGGTGGATTTGTACAAAAAAGCGTGAGAAAAGGTATTTTTTGTGTTAAATGGAATTTTATAAATCTCAATAGTTGAAATATTTTCATGTTTATTATTTTAGCAGTTAGAGGAGACCTTACTGATGCTAATACAGACACATTTCGGACTACAAATATTTTATTTCGTGTTATGGAGTGAGTTGGGAAAAATTAGCGACATTTTGACAGTTTTGGGGCTGTTATAACTTTTACTATGAAACTATACACAGTTATATTTCAATCAAAATTTAAACTGCAACGTGTACTACAGACATGGGGTCACATAATTTGCTATTTCCTGACATTTTTAGGTTATCAAAAATTGCCCCATGTGCTTCCATAGGGTAATTTATGTCTGGAACACAAAAAATCATCACTGTTGTACTTTAGGTTTAGTTGAAGGTCTGGTTCTTACACTAGAGAATTGAAATTTTGCACCTATAATGCCAACTCTAGTGCCTATCAATTCGCGAAGTTTCAAGTTGAAATTACTACAAGTGCCAAAGATATTAAAGGTCAAAATCGTTATCAGCGAGCTGCCCTCCCTTTGGTATGAAGTGAACTGGATAAATAATACAAGACACTTCCGACTGGGTCAACTTGAGACCCAGCTAATAAAACATTTAATAAGGGAATTGTATTCAATATTTGCTAAGTTTGCTTATAAGTATTTACATAACTTTGATAGCACACAATTATCGTAACTCTATGTATACATATCTACATTTTGATCTCATCCTCCGTAATTCAATTAATTAAATGTGTTGCAAGTGCACAAAACTTCATTTCTAAAATTTCCTGAAGCTTCCTAGAAATATCAATTATGTGTATAAATACAGATACAAATATTCAAGGCGTTCTCCCTGTTTTATGTATAGACAGCTAATAGTGCTATTATTTTGGCACTACAAACTGGGATTAAATCATTACTGATCCGAATATATGTATTATCTACTCCGGCATGCATTGGTAATAACGGGCATTACCAGTTAGTGATGTTGTGGTAATGAAAAATTTACCACTCAAGAACGAACTACTACCAACTCGGTAGGAAGTTATTATCAAGTCAATACCACTATGGCGTGTATGTATTTATTGCTGTGACTCTACCAGACCAGATTTTTAGCAGTATACATATGCACACGAAAGAGATTCGTTATATTTATCGTTATAGATTCTACTCTTCATTGAAATCATCCTAGGAAATGAATATGTCGCTATATTAAGTACTTATGAACTTTAATTGCGATAAAGAATCCATGGAAGGAACACGTTTTATGCATTTGTCACGATAAATGGAAGGGATTGTGGATGTGTCTCACTTGCAAAAACTTGCGTTCAATCAGGTTCGTTAATTAAATATCAATGTCCATTAAATTTGCCTAACATATGTTAACATCTTTGTTGTCTAACTGTATTTTATGTCAATAAATAAATGGATATATATGTATATATATATATGTATGTGCATATGTATATTTACCTATACATAGACGTACATATTTGTGTACATACATACATATGTACATACGTATTCTCCTTCCGCGTAAGGCTAAAGTTCGTTCCATGAAAACCACCTTTTTAAAAAACGTTTATCACCAGTGTTTCATTTCTTGCTGTATATTAATATGAAATGTAAGGTGCAAGAAACTGCAAAAAATATAAGGTATCTAGCGACGCGTCGTAAGAGCGGAATTTTGCCCCTTGCATGTTAAAAAATAGCTGCAGAAACCACTTTCTTGCCGTTTGTATTTCTCGCAAGTGGTTACTTTCACCCGAAACACTGCCCATCAATATACATACATATGCATAGCCGAAAGTCACATATTCTGTGTTGCACGTGTGTGCGTGTGGAAGATTATACATATTTAGGATTATTTTGCTTCTTTGAATTTGTTGGACACCCACATACATGAATAATACATCAATCAATAAGTCAATCAATCAAACGTGGATGGAGACTACGCAAATCTGTCTTGTGTAACGTCTAATTATGGAAGTGTGTACACGTGTACATCCAGATACATACATATCAACATAGATGCAATTGTGTATCCAGGTCGTAACTTAAAAAAGTAGTTTTATTGGATTTGATTACGTATGTATGAACCTATTTAACTTGACAATTACATATAATTTAATACAGTACGTAGTAACATAACGATTGGAAAAAATTATTGATGTACGTTGTTCCATGTCTCATTTGCATTTATCGAGCTTCCAGATATACAGATATTTATGACAGTAAATAAATCTTCTTGCCCTCGGATTTGGTTCAAATACATGGACAGTAATGGACACCTTGTCCATGCGAGGAACTGATCCTGAGGTAGTACATATGCACAAAAATGATTTCTTACTTGTCACGTAAAAACCGGTTTTGTTATTCTCAGAAATTAACAAGTTGCATTGTCTTTGTTGCTGAAATAAGAGTAGGTACATAGATAAATAATTCCCATGCAAGTTGTGGTCAATATGATTTCAATCAGTAGCTGGAATGAAGCCACTTGTTTTACATACATGCAACGAGACTACATTTACATAGAGACATAAATAAGTACATATTTCTTACTTTGTGACTTTAGTACATACTTTAGTGATCTTAACATTGTTAAGTGTTGGTGACATTTTTGGAAATATTTAAATTTATGAAAGAAATAAATTTGTTGAATTAAAGTACATTTTGCAGAGTTCATGGTGCAAAAAAGATTTACATGTTCGACATTTGTCTTCATGTCGTTTCCAGATTTTTAATAAATAATATTTAATAGTGGTAGTGTATTTATTTGGTGTAGATATTTTCAGGATTTTAATCGTAATTTGTATGTAAACCAAGATTTAACAGATCGGAATTTTGGTAATAACTTGTGGTCCTGTTAAGTAATTATTCATGATTATGTATTACATACTTGTCAATCTTAAATTTAGAACAACTGAATCAAGTGAATTTGTTGAAAAAAGTGTTAATTAAAGAAATAATTAGTGTTAAACCTGATTTACACAATTCTTACAAAAGGAAATAATTTTTGTGAAAAATTAAAATATCAAGCATCTGGTAAGATTGTCTTACATATTTGCAGACATAAGTCTTTTGAAAATTTGGGTTTAAACTGTACACAGTAAAATTAATTTTTAAAATACTCTCTTATGTAATTGCACAGAGAAGATTTTCCTGCTTTAAATAGTTTTGCACGTCTTAATTTAAAAGTAGGTGTGCGATGAACATAATGATTTATAATTAAATAACGTTACAATTTCTGAAACTTATTCGTCACAAATTCAAAAAGTTAGTAATATGAAATTATGTAAAAAAAATCCACACAGATAAATCATAAATAAGTACTTTCTGTTTCATACATAAAAAATAAAATCCATAATGTAGGTTTTCATATAAATTCCCATAATTTTGGACATCTTCTCATTTACATGCAATACATGCATATTCGCATTGTTAGAAATCTTGTATAGTCACGCAGGTATTAATTTCTCGGTATTTAAGTTGATACCGATATGGTAAAACTTTAACACCGAGCTATTACTACACGGTATTACTTGTCAATACCACTTTGATAGTCATAAATGAATATCGCTTGGTATTATTTCAATACCGGATTTCTAAGAATATTCTATTCGCTTTGGTTTTTTTGTTTACTAAAAGTGTGTTCATAATTGCCCAAAATTTTTATAGCTTTTCCTCAAATTCACCTTCACCCGAAGATATGGCGTCATACTCGGTGTGCGTGTCCAGTGGGTGCAAAAGCTATCACGCCGGAGTCCCAATATTGGCCAATTTGTACATGCAGGTGGAAACTGGAACTATGTGAGGGCAAAAAATTGCAAATTTTACATAGTTGATTCATGTTGACGAGCCAATTATTTATGGCGTATTGTACTTGTTTCTAGTTACGGATTACTTGGAGCGAGTGGATGCGGGTGGGAATTTTTCTTTCTTTCAGCGGCTTCCACGCTGATTAGAATCTTGTTGTCTCACGCGTAATTAATCTAATTAAGTAAAATAATTATATCTCTGACAGGAAGACGACGCTGCTTAATTGCATCCTTGGCCAGAAAAGGTTGGATTCTGGATATATTTCCGTATTGGGGAGAGACCCTGTGAAGTGCATGGATGACATGGTGACCTCAATCGGACACATGCCCCAGGTCAGCAATAGGTCACGATTTGTTAACGTTAACGTCTCGCTTAGGAGGAATTTAACTTAGCGTTTTTGAAATAATGAGTACACTCATGTTAACCTTTGCATATTTGGAAAATTTGTGCGTAGGATAACTTGCAAATTTTTGCGAAATTGGCGAGATTTCACAAATTTTTTGCTAGAAAACCCTGAGATATTTTGCACACGTTTACCCAGCAACTGTATATGTTTCTATTTCACAAGATTGTTCCGTAAACTCATCCTCTTTTTTTTAATGATTTACAAATTGCAAAAACCCATGGAAACCTAATTAAAGTAGGATAACAATTGTTTGTGAAATTTGCGAAATCATATTTTGCGAATCGCCTCACTACACATGAGATTCGCAAGTTTGTTACCTGAGTTACGATGCGAAATACACCGTGGCCATAAAGTTTCTGATGACTCAAAAAATCTTAAAATCCGCTTGCAAAAGTTACTGAAACTTCTTTGTTGTTGGGTCCACAGTCCTAATTTTTTCTGACAATGTAACCCACACTTGTATCTACATTTGTGGAAACAATTATAAAAATAACCTCACGTTTGGATGAAGCGGAAGGAATTTCACAATTTGGTCGAAGGTTTTGGGTCTCCTGAAATAAAGTCTAGTTGCGGGGGAACGGGAAGTAAATTTGCTATGTGATTGATCTCGCACGACCCACCATACCCTAGGCTATCATTTAGAATACGATTTTGAAAATAATCGCCTGAAAATCTGGTTGTTCAGCAATAAAGTTTGCAAAGGTCCTTAATCGCAGAGATCGATTTCAACGTTTTGGGACGAAAATATGTTGTTCCATCATCTATAATCATCGAAAACCTGCTGAGCAGGATCATTTGGCTTGCATGGGTTCTGAAAAATCACACTTGCGTGCGAAAACTTTCAATATCGAGTTAACTTGGGCGAATTTTTCGAGAAAAACGGCTATTTGACTACTGGTGAAAGGTCGAGGTATTTTGTGTGTGCATAAGACTTGAATCTATGGCCACCCTGTGGCGAATCCTCATTATATAAGGTACTGAATTGTGAAGATAAGCCAAACTTCCGAGAGGAAACTTCCAATAAAATTGCTACTGTTAGTGGTTTGTGTTTGGCTCTACTATCGAGATACAACGGGAACTTACATCACTTTTTCTGGTGAGAATGTAGTCGGACGGTTTTACCATTACCATATCTTGATAGTGCACTTCGATACTATGGACACTAAGCTACTTTTTCCAAATTCGGAAACAATTACGTTTCAAGACGCTGAAGCAACAGCTCACGTTTCAAATGGTACCATTTGCTTTTTCGGTTGATGGTCCTTTATCGACTTCGGGAGGGGAGTGTGACTTGAAAACACATCGGACATGAACCTAATTAAAAGTTTATGGTCCTACCTCAAAAGTTATGCGTTTGGAAAGCTAGTTGCAAGCGGTAGTGCCTCTTAGATCCTACGTTTTCTAAAAACTTTGAAAAAAATTCCTAAAACAGTTTCGGAAAATCGGTCAGAAAGTTTTAGCACAATATTTCAGGACATGCAAAATCGTCTGAAGGACACACGACTTACTAATGCATAACATGCTATAAAAGATTTGGTTAACAAAATTTGTTTATTCCGAAAATTACACTCGATTGAAACTATGATTTGCTTCGTCAGAAACTTTATGGCTACGGTGTAGGTGTGATATACGTTGTCGTGAGTATGTCTGTACGCCCAGTGCAACAAAAAATGTACTCATTAGGCAAAAACTATACATACAATATTGAAATGAAGGTCTATGTAAAAAATTGTTAATGGTCATTGGCAGGATATCGCCCTTTATCCGTTAAAGATATTCGAAATATTTGAATATTTCGGCAAGTTGATGGGGCTAAGTAAGCATGAGATACTTGCAAGAGGGGAGGAATTAAGAAACATACTAAAACTGGAAGATCTACACAGTTACGTGCAAACTTTAAGGTAGCTAATTTGCATACATCCTTAAAATTAAGTACGTCGTAAATAAAATTTAACTTAAACGCTTATTAAAATTTAGTGGCGGCCAGAAACGGCGCGTCTCGTTGGCCGTGGCGTTGCTGCATCATCCCAAACTTTTGATCCTTGGTATTAAAACTATTAAAATAATCAATGGTCTAAATCAATCCAAAAATAATAAAAATTATTTGTATCGGAAGACGAGCCAACGACGGGAGTTGATCCTTTGCTAAGAGAGTCGTAAGTCTAATTCTGGAATTATTCAAAATAAAAATAAAATACAGTAAAATTAGTCAATATTTAATTCATTAATCCAAATAATTCAATTATCCAGAATTTGGCAGTACATTGCCGGCCTAGTATTCAAAATGGGAACAACTGTCATTGTGACGACGCATTATACGGAGGAATGCCGAAAATTTGACAAGGTGCGTATTTTACACGGTTTATTTACATGTCTCTACGCTTGACGCTGCGAAAAAAACATGAACAGAAGCCGCTAAGAATATTACTGCATTTGCAAGTCTTTTATTTGTATGGGAACAACAGTTTGTTCAAAAAAAATTGGACAAAAAACCCTGAGAGGTTATCTGGCAGAGTTTGTTTATATATAAACTCTTATATATAAAATATATAAAACATATATATACTTAAAATATATATTTTATATTTTTCATTTAGAAAAACTTTTGTCTCAATTTTTTTAACACTCAAATTTTATCATTTTCGATTTTGCAGATTGGAATTATGCGGAGAGGTCGAATTATTGCGGAGGACAATCCGCGCCATCTCCTTGAACTGGGTGGATCTCTGATTTTAGAAGACGCACTAAAATCCATTTGCAAAAAGGACGAAGAAGACGGAAACGATGCCTATGATTTCCTCTCGACTAAAACCATCTCCAATTATCAATATTGCGAAATTGAGCCTCTGCAAGAAGACATTAAGCAGTTATCTTTTCGTGTCCGACAATATGATTCGTATCGCCCGGAAAACAACATGCGGAGACAAGATTTAAATTACAGCACGGAAAAATCATCACTTTGGGGAAAGATTATGCAAGAATTTACGAAAGTTAGCACCCTCACGAAAAGGAATTTCCTACTGAATTACAGATTTCCAATGTATGCTCAACTTACAGAAAATTAAACATAAATAATGGAGGTCTATCATCAGATTTTGACAAAATCGGTGTCAGACGATTACAAATTTAATTACTATAAAATTTTCCAACGACAGAATATCCCAAAGGACAGGTTTGCCAGAGACATTTGCATCCAAAGAGAAGAAAATTGACAAATTTTCCACCTTCCAAATTTACTATTCGCTTTCTCCTTTTCGGATGCAAATAATATCTAGAGATATTTTGCAGAGCTGCAAAATCTGCGCATTAGAAATTCATTTCTTTTCCAAATTTCATACTAATCAAATTTGTAATCACTTGACATTACTCTGGTCAAAATTAGAGGGCATACGCTGGGAGACTTCTACTAATTAACTAATTTATCTATACGATTTATGCACACGTAATGGTAAAAATTGTCCCTTCAGGTACCTAGCATTGGTCCTCTTGCTTCCCGCGATGAACACGGTCATCGTCTATTACACGATGGGTAGAGTTCCCTTTGGAAAGGTGGTGTCCGTCTTTAATGAAAATGCGGATTGTTTTGGCGGAAATACTAATTTCCCGCACATGGAAGTTAATACCTCTTTGAGTTGCTTATTCTTAAAGGAAATCGGGCCCAATATAATTCTGGTAAGTAAAAAAAACTACCACAATAAGCTGACAATTTTCTAGTGCTTCTTCGAAATTTTTTAGCAACCGCAATTCTCGAGGAATTCTGCGAAAGCGACCGTTGAGTCGGGAAGTGCGATTGGATTTATTCACATTCCCGCCAATTTCACGAGACATACGATAAACAGATATGCGTTGGCAAGGTTCGCCCTGGGGCAGGATTTAGACCAGAGTACGGTCCATGTTTCGTTAGATATGTCGGGTAGGTTATTCGTCATATTTAGAGTGCATACATAATTTTCTGATTTTGACGCAATCAGTTGAAGTACGGACATGTTTGTATATATACAGACTCGATAACTATTAGCTACGTGTATAGCGATATCTTGAAGGGATACCTAAGATTTGTGGAAAATCTTGCCAGTCGTATCGGAATTGACCCAAGGACAGTAGAAATCCCGCTTAAGGTACTTGAATTTATGTATGCTAATATTTATATTTATCAGTGATAAGTTAGATATCACTATAGCGGCACGATGTATTATTTATAATGCTTTTTTTTAATTTGGATTAGTACAACGCCAAACTGGATTCGCACGAATTTACCTCTCAGGATCACTTCCTCCCATCAAATATCGTGTCGTTAGTGATTTTAAAATTGTTGTCAATATCATGGATTTCCGGATTTGAATATTTTTACAAGTGTTGCATTACCCTAAGAAAATCTAGCCCAACCTTGACTGCCATTTATGGTGTTTTTTCTTAGCTTCCATTAGGGTTGCCGCGGGTAGCAAAAATGCTACCCGTTACCCGACCCGCTACCCGCAGCACAACTACCCGTACCCGCACGGGTACCCGTGTGGGTACCCGTTACCCGCTACCCGTTATGAGAATTGGATAAAAACAAACAAACCTTCAGAATAAATTTGATTTAATCAATTATTTGCTCATTTAGGTTGGTTAGTAGTTTGAGATATGTAATGCTGTGCAACTAACGAATGCCATAATTTGCTAGATGTCATTAGCTGTTTCTGAAATCAAATTTTTTGGCTTTCAATGGAACCTTTTTCAAGCTCGACCGGGATTTCTTAGCTATTAATATAAAAAAATCAAGCCAACGATTAGGAATTATGTATGCATCACTTACATATCTATCTTTCTTTTGAATGGCCCATTTAAAAAAACTATTGGGGGTCAGAGTTCAGAGTCCATCATGGTGGACACCGATGAAAGACCGGTGAAAGTTAAAAATTAAACTTTGCCAATATTTTCTTCAAAGTGGTCATTTAACGAAAAGATACGTATCAAGCGATTCCTAATTTTTGACTTTACTTCTTGATATACTCGCTAAACAAACCTGGTATAGCTTGAAAAAGGGTTAAACGTTTAGTTTGATTTTTTTGTAATTATGATTTAAATGAAGTTTTCATTTAAAAAAAATAACGACAAATACAATTTTTGCTTTGAATCGGATTTAGATTTTTCATATTCAAACCACAAATTGAAATCACCTCAGACTTACATAAATAGACACAAATTTAACCCTTTAACGTGTATGATTATCAGCAAGAAAATGCATTAAATCGGGGACGCTATAAGTATGTTGTGGTCATGAAGCGGGAGGAGAAATTCAGGAGTTTTAATAAAACTCGAAAAACTGAAAAATCAAAAAGTTTAACATTACGTTGTATAGAGAAATATCCAAATTTTCGGGAAGAAAATCTTCAAATTTAGTATTGTGTTGGCATAGGAGAAATCCCTCAAAATTGCAACAAAATTTAGGTCGTGGAGAGAAAATGATGAAAATCAATGACCTCGTAGAAACGACAATTGGCGTCCTTCCGCACCATGACCACGATTTTTCAGACGACTTTTGTCGTTCTCCCGAATTAAACCATCTACTATAATAAAGTGGTAGTATGATCCCCGTGATGCGATGCAAGCTGCCCCGTAGAGGAGACAAAGAAAGAAGCGGAGCCACCACTGCATGAATAAATGCATGGATGAAATGTACATGCTGCTACCTACTGCATGAGTCTGAACTTCGCCTGCACTCATCATCATCCATCAATAGTGGTTATCATGATAAGTGATCGTGATAAACACTATTAATTAATTATTTTAGTTTGAGAAACTTCACCCACAGCGTGTGGCATATCAATTCGAATGTATTTTTGACGCTAAATCCAATGCCGTCAATGGTTTTAACCTCCGTGGCCCCCGTGACCTTCCCGTGACCGTGGGGGCTAAATATGGCTTATTCGTGATGTCGCATATCAATTCGAATGTATTTTTGACGCTTAATCCAATGCCGTCAATGGTTTTAACCTCCGTGGCCCCCGTGACCTTCCCGTGACCGTGGGGGCTAAATATGGCTTCTTCGTGATGTCGCATATCAATTCGAATGTATTTCTGACGCTGAATCCAAATCCGTCAATAGCTTGGCGTTAATTGTAGAAGTTAACGGGGTTTATGGAACTTAACGGGAGCGTGAAGCGTCGGAGTATAAATAGTTAGCTATGCAGTTACTCCCACGCGACGGGAATTTAAGTAATTAGCTATTCAACTACTCCCATAGGGGGAAATCAAATTGTACTGTGACCAGGTTAATTAAAATGCAATATGACTTGGGCAAACCCTCACTCTGATGTATGTATGTAGTATGACAAAGTCTCCACTGGGAATTATTTAAAGTATAGTATGACGGATTTTTCGCTTTGGGCATACCCCCCACTGGAACTCTAGAACCTGGCCTTGGCCGGGCTATACGCTAGTTTCTTATAAAACGACTATTGTCGTCGTTACGCTTTCAAAGGGGTTTAAGCCAATTTATTACTGATGTTAGAGGGCAGACAGATTCTACTTGAGAATAAAAAATTTCTTTGCATTTGCGGAACGTGAAAAGTATTTGCGGCTGCGGTAACTTCTGTGGCTTCCGAAAAGACACGCTCGTTACAAACGTTTGTTGCTGGCAAATTGCAAATTTTGAAATGAGTATATAATAAATAGACGCTTTTGTTGGTAAATGGACTAATTTGCTGCTAACTTTCTTTGTGAACTGATTTACGTCGAAAATTAATTAAAAACCGAACTACCCGTTACCCGTGCGGGTAGTTCCAGCTACCCGCAGATAACGGGTACCCGCAAGAATCATGCGGGTATGCGGGTAACGGGTACCCGACCCGTTACCCGCTGCAACCCTAGCTTCCATGCATAATGAACACAAAATTCTAAAAATATTCAAATCTTGAGTGCTACAAATTCGTAATTTGGACATAAAATTTTTTCCGCAAAGACCAATCTGGCTCATTGTAATTTCAGGACATGTTTCTTATTTTCATTGATTTGTGGACTTTCCTTAACGCTGGAGAAAGAGGCCGGCACGTTGGAGCGGACTTTAGCGTCGGGAGTTAAAATCCGTCACGTCAGAATGTCCTACTTCATTTCTGAAAGTGCGACGTCCCTTATCCAGATCGTGCTCATGTTTGCCATCCGGTTCCTCACAGCGGGGTACAATATCACGGGGTCGTTCTTCCTCTGTTTTTCCATCGCTTTTTTGACCAGTCTTGCCAGCATTGGATGTGGTAAGAGACTTAGAATGTAATTTTTTCAAGGTGAAATTCTTCAATTTTGTATGTCTTCAATTTAGGTTTGCTACTTGGGACGATTTTCTCTAAGAGATTCGACGTTACTATGGCGAGCGTTTTTGCCGTGCTGATGATAGTGCAAACTAGTGGTGAGTGCTCAAATAGATAATTTGTAAAGTGTGGTAGTGTAGTAGCGATATTCGGGTAATGAAATTGTTACCGCACGAATATACAAATATTATATGCCTACATATACAGTTCTCTAGCAAAAGTAGCCTCAAGTCAAAATACGATTCTCTAATATCGAGTAGTTTTCATGTATGTATTCATGACTAGCAAATTAAAATTGATAAGCGTAATGGTAATTTGGTAATATTTAGATATTGAAGTTTTACCATATCGGTAGCCAAGTTTTACTACCGGTTAATCACAAGTGGTAGCAAATGCTAATCGTATAAACTTGGTCACTTTAGGAATTCTATGGCCACTGGAGCTCGTAAGTCCTTCCTACCGTTGGACCTACGTGTACCTCAACCCGGTCTCCCTACCCATGGATGGGATGCGTCGCGTATGGAATAGTGGATGGGGTTTAGAACATAGCGCCGTCCGGGCAGCATTGCTGACCCCGATCGTGTGGATCTTCCTGCTATCGATGATGTCCCGTATTGTGAGGAAGGTGCAGACAAATAAGTGAAAATTGTATCCAAATTTGTTGTACATACGCAATGCATAACCACCGAAATAAATAAGTTGTAAACCAGATGCGCCCTTGATGTTTTCAATTATGTGTGCAATTACGATCAAAATTTCTGTTTTCAATGAATCAAGTGACATGACCATAATGCAAAATTACATAAATCACATAAATTCAAGTCAACACCGACCTTTTTTAATTTTATGTACATCTGTATCTTCAAAGAAAATTATGAAAATTTTCTTTTATGGAATCAAATATTGGAAATGCATACTTTAACAATCAAAATATTGCGTACTACTTTTTCTTATAATCCTCTGGACTGGAATTGCACACTTATAATAAAATATGTCAAAAGAGTGTTGCAAACCTGATAAAATATGCAAATATATTAGTGCATTTCATACCGAATATTTATAAATATTTGCTTTACTTAAATTATAACTCACCGTAGAAACGAATGAATAGTTGATAAGAAAAAATCCATTCCCACTTAATCCGTAGGTATGGCTGCTCAATTGAAGTCGAATACTGATTAAATCCAGTTGAGATTCGGGGGATTTTGTAAAGTTTGAATTAATCAAGATAAATTTCGACTTGTCCATCTATTTTATAATAAAATATTATACCAAAATCAGACAAATTGGGCGTACTCACGTCAACGCTTTACTGTATTTAGCCTAGAAATTCATTTAGCGTGAAATAGAAACATTCCAGTTTCCGGGATAAATTTGCAAACACAATTTCAAAGTTTTCCTTTGAATGCAAACTTTTGCGAAATGTTATCAACTTGGCAAATTATGCTGACATTTATAATTTTCGACACTCTTACATAAAAATCCAGTATTAAAATACTACCAAGCGGTATTCATCTGTAACTCGGCCGAAATGGTATTGATACATAATACGGTGAAGTGCTTAATAGCTTTGTATTATGCCTTTACCGTATCGGTAGCAAATTTTTACGGACCGGCATAATTCTAATACCAAGCGGTAACAACTTTAACACCGAGAAATGAATACCTGCCTGACTATATCAGATTTCTAACAATGTAACGATTTCGTGAGTACGCCCATTAAATATAAATACACTAATTAATACATTTTAGCTCACCATGGCTGCGATTTCCGCACATAAATAGAACACGCAGCACGTCAGGATGAAAAATATGCTCATCTTGACCTTCGTGTAGGCGCATTCTCCATCAAAAACTGCAATTTCTTTGAGGTAAACGCTGTAAAATGAGAAAGCCTCCAAGACGTAGGTCAACATTAGGCAGGAAATTGTCTCATTGAGAAGATCGATGAGGGTGCAGACGTCCAAATATTTGTTCATCATGATTGAGAAGTTTTCTTCCGAGTGGATTGGGGACCTTTGCAGGAGTCGCAAATGACTTCGCGTCGTCAAATAGAGGAGAAGGACGATGCTGAAAATTATCGTGTCGGCGGAATAGCTCAGCATGACGCAGGAGCAGAGAAAGGTGAGAGAAGCTAGGTAATTGACGAGGTAGGCTATCCCTGGAACGGAAATTGAGGTGCAATTTTAGAATTGTATGTACAAATGTAAGGGACATTTGGTCCCATAAATGCAGGACATTTCTGGGATACAATTTTTGGCATGGAAATCAGTCCTAAATATTTTTAGAGTGGAATTGAGCAGGTATTTATTGAATAAAAATAATTTCTGCTGTAAAAATACATAAATGCCAGGAATTTTGGCATGGAAATAATTGCTGGACATTTATGCAATGAAAATCAATCACATGCATTTTTGGTATGAAAATTAAAAATATATTTATAACAGAAACTTTTGGCGTCAAAATGAATGCAGGGAATTTTTGGCGTGAAAATAAATACAACGAATTTTTGCATGAAAATAAATGCCGAGAATTTTTGACGTGAAAATGAATACTATGAATTTGTGCATGAAAAAAATGCCCGACATTTTTGGCATGAGAGAAAATCAATCACAGGCATTTTTTGCATGAAATATAAATACATACATTCAAATTATTACCCCTTAAACTCACCAATTGTCAAATACGCATCCCCAGTTTTTCTTAACTCGCACGCTTCCGGATTAAAAAGTGGGCTATTGATATCCATCAGAATATCGAAAAGAGTTTCATTTCTTGTCGGAGATTCGTGAACGACGGCCACATCGATGATGCCCATCCCGAGAAAAATCACGGGGATGAGAATTATTCCCCAAACTGGGAGGGTAAAATGCTGCCCCTTGTCAAATTTTGTGGCCACGTGGTTCACAACTTTGACCAATTTTGGCTTCCCGGTCCAAACGAGGTGGACAAAGTTGAAGTGATGGATGCAGGTACAGGCTCGTAAAAAAATGCGAAGATATTCCAATGGGTTATTAGACGTTTGCGACAAATGGGTTTGGAGCACTTCGCTGCAATACACGAAAAGAGCGAGGGCTTCCAACGTGCCACAAATAATCTAAGTAAACACACGAAAATTGTCAAAAATTTGGTAAATTTTAGAATATTGCGTAGGTAAGAGGAACTTTCATTTAAGTTTCCAGAATTCTGGCGTGAAATTGGAGTCTTAAACTCAACACAATTTTGGGGAAATTGAGAAATGCAAATTAACAAACTAATACCTTGAAGGTACTCACGATAACCAATGTAGCTTGTAAATGTCGAGATTGTACTTATTGAGGGTATTAATTACTAGTTAGCATCCTTAGCAACGTGAGCAAAAAATAAGGTGGGAAATCATGCAAAGTTATGCCTGTAAAATAATGCGCCTTTTGTTCTCAAAATAACGCAGAAAACGCACATCTTTCATTTTGCAAACTATCAAAAAGATGAGAAATAGCACATTGACATGAGTACACCCATTAATTTATAATACTTACCCGGTGTAGGATTCCAGCAAAAATTCGAGGATTACTTTTCGCCTTGATTTCTTCCAAGATATAGTGCTGCTGATGGGTTTTTGCAATTTGGAAAGTGCATTGTCCAGCATAGTGTAAAATATTAAACGGAATTATGATCAGATTTTCTAACCGCCGTTCGAACAAGGTTCGAATCATCGTGATGACAATTTTATTGAGCAAGATGTGGCAGCAGACTGAGAGATTCATGGGAGGGAAGGTATGTAGATGCTAAGTAATTGATTCTCTTCAAAATTCGGAGTGTTTCCTGACTGCGTGGGTTTCCCGTGAAATGAAAAGAGATGAGCATATGTACATTCAATGTCATTAACTTTGTTTACACTCCATAATGGATTATAGCAAAAGGGGTGTGTTATCATTATCATTGATAACTTATAAATTAAATTTACTAACCTAAGAATGGATATTATTATTTTAATGCGTCAGTGAATTACTGCAGTAGGGATTAAAAACATATGTAGGATGCGAGATGAATATAAGGATGGCATATGTACATACATATCGTCGCTGAGGAACCAGAAGGATGGATAAAAGTTAAGTGATTTTTATCTTCACCCAAGTTTCTAACATGAAATATGTATGCAGATGCATTTCTTCTGCTTACATATTTCATATCTGCAAGGTTAAAAAATTACCCTTCAGCGACGATGTATGTATCTACTTAGTCAGTATGAAAATTGTCATGTCGAAAAGTGGTCCATTGTTATACGTAGAATCGAGTTTCGCACGTGCAGATCTGATCTATATATATACAGGTATATCTTGTACAAATAAAATGTAGCTAATGTCAAATGTGAAAGATAAGTATTGTTCTACAGAAATTCTTCCGTCACAACTTAATACCAAATTTGTCTATATTCTTATTTTCTCTCATATTTTAATCACGAGACTCATTAGCCATTCAGAAATTGTGTGTACTGTAATGCAAGTTCAACCAGTGAGTATATTAATATTGTCCATGCAGTCATTAGGTAAAAATTTATGCAAACAAATCGATAAAATAACGTTACAAAGTGGTCAGAGTTGTGGGACTTTTTTTTTACATGTGAGCGATTCCTAGTAGTCATGGGAAATGGGAATTTAAGTTATTTTCTTGGTAATATTTGATTTTTCTTTCTAAAGTACTTAATTTATCGTTGTACGTGCTTACGAATCTTTATCGACAAATCGAGGTTAAATAGCCAGCATGTTTTTTGTGCGGTTTTTCGTGTCAATAATGCATTCAGCATTGCATACATATTTGCATGGCAGTTGTGTGTAACTTTGTTATCAATTTATTTTAAATGAATATGATCACCTTTTAGTAGTTTAATTGCTTGATAGTGTGCAAAAAACAGTGCAAATTTAAATGGCATCGCAAATATATACTGGATATATGATACTGTGCAATCTTTATGGATCTGCAACTGGAGGATGACTCATCCCGTCGGAGCCGTGCAGAAGGGATGGCATTTAATTAAGAAATAATTGTTTCCCCAGATTTCCTGCCTTACTGACACGTCAAATCAATTCTTCGGTTATCTTAACCGTCCCCAATAAACCTTCCAAATTGTCACTATCCATCTCGCACGGCCCCCCGATGGTGAAATACACGGGTGACTTTCTCTCATTTCCCATCCCACCCTTCAACTTACGCAGCATCTTCCCTGCTTAAAAGTGTACATAACAAAAGGCATCTGCTCTTTCCCCCTCTGGCCAATTAAATTTCCGATCTTCATTTCACCCGTAATTAATTCCGGACGAGGTCAAAGTGCAAATAAATTGGGGATAAGTGCTCATCGAGGAGGGTAGCGGAGGAAAAAGTTAATTTCTGGGGTGAAAAGTGTCGCAAAATGATGGAGCTGGAGATCTTATCGGCCCGCATAGCCAATTTGGAAAGGATCGTAGTCGCGCTGACGAAATGGACGGATTTTAATTGGCAACATTTGTGTAAGCGGAATTTTTAGGGGGATTTTAGGGTGAAAATTTGAGGGAGGATGAGATATGTTTCGTAAATTTCCAAATTGTAGATTTGCAAGAAATAGCCTGTTTCAATAATTGCGTAAACTTTGCATAGTAAAAATGTATGATAATTGATAATGTCATCATCATGGGACCCTGCATAAAGGATATGATGGATTAGGGGGTCAATCGTGGTCAAGGGATCGTGTTGACTATAAAATACGAGTGACCCCGAGGAGGCAGAGGTCAAAATTCTGTAAAAATAGATATGCACGGGCAAATAATACTTCTTGTATGCTAAAGGTTAAAATTAGGGTTAAATTATAAACAGTAGCATACAGTATATACAGTATCATCATCAAGAAAGAGGGTTGTACTTAAAGAAACATATGAACTAGCAAAAATTTTGAGTAATCTTGACAATTTGTATGCTTAAGATTACACTTTTCATTAGAATTATTTATTGTACGGGTTTAATCAACCTTTTTTATTAAATATTACAGTGCAACAGAAGGCGGATCACTGTGGTGAAAATGATGCAGAAATTTTAAGAAACTTTGACGCACAAGGTAAATATTTTTCGGTTAATGACTAATCATAAAAAAACTTGGATTAACTTAATGTCCTTATTTGTATAAAGGTCAATTGAATTCCAAATCGCCTAAAAAACCACGATCTCGAGCAAAACCGAAAGCAAAACAGCAACCGACGGCGACATCATCTGCGGCAGCAATTGCATCTTCCTCCTCGGGGTACGGTCACGGTCAGTGGGTCGTCCCATCGACGGGTCAAGGTTCAGGGTCATCTACGACGGGAAAGGTATGCTTATTTAATTGCGAAATTAATTGTCTGGCTCATCTGGCTGGCTAACATACATATTTATGTATAGAAACATTTGCATATGTAAACTTTACAATTTTACATACCTGTATGTAAATATGGAACAGGAGTTTGAATCTTAATTAGTAAGGCAGATTAGAAATTAGCGAGAAATCTTGTACAAACAATTTCCTAATTGCTATCATTATAATTAATTAATTAAGATTATGTAATTAAGCAGCCATTAATTTAAAGAAATGTTTATTTGTTATTGCCAAAAATTTACCGTATACACAGGCTTCGTTGAAACATGAGTTTGAGGTTTTCCTTAATTTTTCCTCAAATGCATCTTTTGAATTATTTATTTATTTACACACACAGTTAATGTTTTAAGCAATGGCTAATTTATTGACAATATTTTCATACTTTTCAAAACCTATGTAGTACACAGTTTAAGTAATTACATAAATTTATCCGTACTTATATATGAAATTCTACCTTATTTTTTTCTTTGCAGCCCCCCACACGCCACTTTCCCCACAAACCACGCGTCGAAAGTGTCACCTCCCTCCGGGGAAAACCCATGATCTCCATGAACGGTTTCTTCTTCCACTGCATTGCAAACAACGTCGCGACCAAGAAACGAATCTGGACGTGCGACCAACGTTCCAAAACGAAATGTCCTGTCCGCCTCCACTCCACCCATGATGTCAACGACCTACGTCTCATGGCGGAAATGGGACTGCACAACCATCCCCCAGACCATGCGGGGGCGCGCGTCAAGAAAAATCCTAATCCGACTCGACCCACTGCGACGGGCGGGACGTCGACCTCATCCACGTCATCCGGAGCAGGGCAACAGCAACAACAGCAGCAGCAGCAACAACAACAACCACAAAACCTCGTAACTCAAAACGCATCTCAACAACAAAACCTTGGCAACATGAATAATATTAGTAACGTGGGGGCTGGTGGGGGCGGAAGTAGTGGCGTCTTACAAGCGGCCGGATTGATTAATGCGTTCAACAGTTCGATGTATTATCCGTTGTTTCCGAATCAGAATATTCACTGAGTTGGTACATACAAATTGGCGAAACCGAGGTAATTTACCGATTTGGTAAACGTTTGATGCCCCCGCGGTAAAGAAAAATTGGACATGGAATTTTGGATTACAATTTTAATTTGGTACAAAATTATTGTTACTGTGGGGGTAACAAATTGTTAACGATAAGGTATACGCTTGGTCGGTGACAATTTACTACCAAATACTCGTGCTGAGAAAAAAGTCATGCAAAGATTTCATTGAAAGAGTCATTGAAAGACGACCAAAATTTGAAACTGTTCTCATTACATAATATTTTAAAAACCAGGTATGCAGAGATCTGTTAGATGTATGAAAATGTAGTTGTTCTCATTCTCTCGTCGTGCTCTAAAATCCTGATATATTTAGTGGCATAATTAAGTTATAGTCTGATAAATAAACAAAATATGTATATAAATATTTATGAAAAAGTGAATGTACATCGAGTAGAACCCCGGAATGTGAATAGATTATGTAATTATAGGACAATTATATTATGTATATTAACCAGTTTTTTTAATGCATTGTGTAAATAAGAGTATAATTTTTGTGAAGAGTACATAAATTAAAGTAACGTTGTGTCAAAGTATAGCGAACCGTGTCCTTTATTTGAACTTCATGTATGTACATGTGCATGAGGTGTGTTATCGATCGTGTATTTGAACGGGGTGGTTGTCAGGTTTTTACGTTTTCTTTCTATACCACAAATCAAATTGTATGTGTTACATCTAACCGAGATAAGAAAACCTCAAATAAATTGGATATGATACAAACCAGACCAAGAGTACTACAAAGCTCTTTTCCATATTTAGCGTGAGGCAGAGTGAGATTCGGGTTCTGGTGGGTATCCGCGATTATCGCGCGTCAGTGCCGTATCCGTCTCACTTTGCTGCGCTCACACAATCATGCGTCTTATTTAATTAAGTATACTGGGTTATCTAAATGTTGTCTTATGAAAATACAAAAAACTTAAATGTTGGTATATCATTAGCCCTCGTTTGTTACGGCACTTGCCGTATAAGTCACTCCCACAGACACTTTGACCCCAAAAATCTCATGGTCCCAGGCATTTCTCGTCGGGCAACAAAAGCTGAAAATGTAGCCCTTCATAAGGAGAAAATTCTGGCATCAGGTTGTCAGACTGAAAATGGCTGGGACCATGACTTTTTTAAGGATTTATGTGTATGCAAAAAAACCGCCAATTTTCGAATTTTGAAACTATTGATGCATCAAAATGTTCGCATTCCATGGGGAAGTCAAATTGCAAATGCAACTTGGGGTCTTATTCTTTTTTGTGCCGAGTGTACATTGACTTTCTCATTTTTCACGATTTCCTTTAACAATTTTTGAAGGGGGGGTGGTTGCATATAATTCGAAAAGACCTATGGTATATTGATGTTTCTACCCGAAAATAAATTTTGGATTTTTTCTGGGAAATTCGGTGAAATCGACGCGAAAAGAGCTTGTACTTTTGGCTCATTTTGTACCATATGAAATTGGAATTATTTCACCATGAAAGTATCACAGAGCCCCTTCTCATAAGTACGTATTTATAACCACGAAACGAAAAAAAGATTGAAATCCACCTGCTCCACTCGTGCTGCTGAAGTATGTAAATAAATAACAAAAACAAAATCAGAACACAAATTTGAAACTCCTCGTTTCCAATAGACGTACGAAGTTACGAAGGAAGTAAGTCCTCCATGTTATAAACTACAACATATATAATTTAATATCACTCCCTCCTTCAGACCTATTCATACATTATTAAGTACATAATAAGTAGTTAATTGTATTCTATACACTATATTTTTAGCAGTATATTTATCCATTACCTGAGCTGTGTTCCTTCTCAATTAAATCATGTCGCAGTCCCTGATTGCTAATTCCCAGGTCAGTAAGTAATCCCGTGCAATTTTTTAACCTTCTTTATAACTCTTGGAATTCGTCAGTCATTATTAAATATTGTTTCCAATTTGTTTTCCAATTTTCAATTTATTTTTGTTTTTCAGGTTGACAACGAGGTACACGATTTTACCTGGAATATCAAGAATTTCGATTTTATCTCCTACATCCGTAATCGGTCCGTCCTGAACCAGCATGTTTTCTCATTCACAGTCGGCTCCAGCATAGACAAAGTCTCGACCTGGAAACTTTTCTTGGCGTACGATGCCGCTGAAAAGTCTCCTGCGCTATTCTTGCAGTTGATAGAATACGCTGGTACCGATGAATTTCCCGTCATCCTAGAAGTCTACGTAGACAATGGGATCAATGAACAATTTAAATTGAGTAAGAAACACGATATCTACATAATTGTGGTTATGCAAAATTCTTATCTGTGAGATTGCACGATATTATAATATGCAAACTCGTTCCCATGTAGAAAGAGCCACCATCCTGTTCACCCCGACCTCAACAGAGCCCATCAAGTGTAATTTCATATGCTTCAGCAGAAAAGGGAAATCGACTTCATGGACTTTGACCTCCTTGAACAATGAAGACGCAAAGATTTTCTCGCTGAAGACTATTTTTCAAAAACTTTCCGGCTCCGAGTTGAAGCTGAGAATCAAGTTTCAGATTTTTGGTAAATACAGCTTCACGACTTTTGGAAAGGATTCGACGTCATCTACCATTTTGGAGAGGGAGCAAGCAAAAAGTCTCCAGCGTCATCGAAAAGTCGCACTTTCCTTGCTGGAAAGTGGGGATCGGGCCGATGTGACCTTTGAGACGAAGGATGACCAACGCATCGCCGCACACAAGTTCATCCTTTCCATGCAGAGCAATGTTTTTGCAGCCATGTTCGCTACCGAGATGAAAGAAAAGACTGAAGGTGTCGTCAAACTGGATGACATGGGGGGCGACGGGCTCAAAGTATTTTTGAAGTTTGTATACACTGGAGAACTTGATGAAAAGTGGAACGAATTTTATGACGAGGTTGTCTACGCGGCCAACAAGGTGTGCACAAATGATAAGTAATTACACATATCTTGTAGTACAATTACTAATCTAAATATGCTTAATATTTCCAGTATCAAGTGCAATCCTTGATTGACATGTGCCAAGAGATGCTTCCGACTCTGGTCTCGTGGGACAATTGCTTCGAGATCTTGAAACTTGCCGAATTACACGATTTGGCTGCTGCCAAGAAGAAGGTTGAAAATTTTATAAAGAGGTATACTCCATAATTTCGCTTTCAGTTTACAGAGTCTTTTTTAATAAATTATTATTTGCCAGTGACCCGGACAAAATGCTGCAGTTGTTACGTGAATCGCCATCTTCGAAGCGTCCTCGATTTACATAATTTTTGATGAAATTTTTGTCACAAAAATATCGCTTTGTGTACATATTTATTTGACAAGATAGGTTATGATTTACGTTATTTTTTACGTTTCTGATTTTTGGTTCCGTTTGATGAACTTTAATTCGCTATTGAATATAATTTCTTTTTATTTTTTCCTGGGCATTAGAAGTTTATATTTTTGATATTTTAGTGTGCTCTGTTTTCCTTTGTGTTACTTTTAAATATGATTTATGTGTGATAAAATGTTACTTACTATGCAATTTACGTAATTACATAAACTTATAACACCCAGCAAACAAAAGACTTAATTCTCATCGCTTATGTAATTTTCAAGAGGTACGTAAATTCTCTCGTCAATTAGTATATACAAGATTTGACACACCTCTATTTTTCAATTAAAAAATGGATTCTCTTTCATATAAATTATGGATTAAAATAAAGTTAAACTTTTAAATTTTATTCTTAAGCTTAGTTTGAACAAATAATAATAAATAATCCCATGTTGTGGTTAGCCAAATAATTATTATTTAAATATTGTTTAATCGACAATCTTAATTTTAATAAATAGTTTTTTAACATGATTATGGGGTGCTTAAGAAGTATCCGGAATTTTTTAAGCGTCACGTGACTCCTAATTTTTTGTTTGATGTTTTGACATAACTCGCTACTCGATCCCAGTGTAGCTTGAAAGAAGGGTATACGAATGGGCTGACCGGACAGTTTGTTGTGATTAGCAGTTTTTTGTAGCTCATACCTCAGTAGTAGTGTATAACAAATTTTTTATTTTTGAATTAGTTGATTGCTTATGTACATAATTTTCAGGAGGTACGTAAATTCTCTGGTCAAATGACAGCTTTATTTTTTGAATTTTTAAAAATATGTAAGTTCTCCTTCCTACAAATTATGGAATACAATAAAGTTAAAATTTTCAATTTTATCATTAAGCTTAATTTAAACAAATAATAAATAATGTCATTTTTATGGTTACCCAACTAATTATTATTTGGTCGACAGTTTTTTAATTTCACCAACTTGATTCTAATCTTGCTTTGCATTATTTGCATATTCAATAAGTAAGTAAACAATTTAGCATTTTTAACTTCTATGAATAGCAGCACTCATGTAATACGACTTTATGTAGATGGACTTTGAAAAGTCTTAAGACGAGTGGCCTTCAAAAGTTCAAAAGTGTCAGGAAGTCTTTTCATCAAGGAAAAAAGCGTTGCAGACTTGTAGTTCAGACTAATCCTAGAGGGTGTCCAGAAAGTTTCTCCCTATGGATTTTAAGCCCGTTTTTTGTTGCTAGTTTTAACATCTTTGAGTTTTGTCGTGCAATTATTTTTCCAATACGATACTAAATGTGAAGCCTTTTCCCATGCACGAAGAATTGAGTATCCTAGCAGTATCCAATGCATGGGATGGATTTAAGTGGAAATGCAAAACCTACTTCAAGCAACTTTGCGGGGCCTTTTAAGACGGCATTATTACCTAAACTAAACGCCAGACTCTAAAGAACGATTGGCATATAATTTTTAGCCCGAAACAGGGCTTATGTAATCGACCTGTTCGTCTGGCTGTCTTTCCATAACTCTCGAAGGAGTTTAGTGCCGATTTTTACAAAATTTGAGACAGACATGCATCTGGGCAATGCAACGACCGAGTTCGAAGATGGGTTCGATCAGAAAGGATTCAGACCAGTGTGGGTCATATGAGTGGGTGGGGTATTATGCACCAAAATTTCAAAATTGTGATAGCTGAAATTTGGCATGTAGCGTGCTAATGGCTCATAATGAAAAAATATGAAGTGAAATTGGAAAATTTTTCAACCGGCAGTTACCCGAGGGATCCATACCGATTTTCAGAAATTGCCCTAAGAAGCTAAATTTCGGCACGGTGATACTTAATGGCTTCTCGTGAAATTATATGAACTAAAAGTAACCAGAGGTAGTAAGGTCATCTTGTAAGTAATCAAGGAGTAAGTAAATATTTTTAAAAATTGGTAGAAGTAATACGAAGAATTGACGCTACTGGTTAGTAGTGTTTTTTTAGTTACTAAAAATTAATGCAAAATGCACATAATTTTATACAAAATTCTAAATTTATCAATCCTCGTGCCAAATTTAGCTGCTTGCGACAAGTATCTTCGCAAGATACTGATTCGCTGAATCTTCAGCTTCCTACGTCAAATTTGTGAAATCGGTGTGGGTTATCCTATGGGGTCCTTCAGATTGAAAAATGTTGAAACTATACCCAAGCTTAACACATTGGCAATCCACATGCCAAATTTAGACTTCCTGCGACAAATTTTGGAAGTTTCTATGAAATTTAATTTTTTCAGTCAATCCTAACCACTTAAATGACCCCCACCGGTCAACCACTTGACCGATGAGGCTCATCTTCGAACTCATCCTTACTTTTTGCCCGTAGATGAATTATGCAAGTCGACAGCTTTTGCTTAAAGAGAGTTAATCGTGCCTACAGACGGACATACATCCTGAAAAATCTATAAGGCCATCTTAAAAGGCCTAAAAACGGTATGGGTCACCCTGCAGGGTCATTCTGATTTCTGATTGCACTTAGCTAACTTTTAATTTCAAATTCTTTAATGAGAAGCCACTAATTGTAAGTATTATCGTGCCAGGTTTCATGTTTTTAATGCAATTTCTAAAAATCGGCATGGATCACCCCGTAGGGTCGCTCCAGATAAAAGTTTTACCAATTTCATTTCATATTGTTCCATTTGCAACCTCTCTCCCAAATTTCACTTCGATATGACGATTTTGAAAAATCAGTATGGGTCACCCCATAGGGTCCATCAAGATTAAAATTGTTCCAACCTAACTTCATTTTTTTCTGTTACAATCCACTAGCAACCTTTGTTCAAAATTTCAACTACGTACTACAAATTTTAGAAATCCGTCGGGTCACCCTATCGGGTCTCCCAGGTTTAAAATTTCTGAAACTCCATTCCAATTTAAACGCTTTGAGGTCAGTCGAAATTTTCATACTAAAATTACTGAAAATTATTACTATAATGTAGATATTTCTCAAGCTGCAAATATTTTACTTGCACTTTTACATAATTTAACCTGCTCTGAAGGTTCTTGGTAGTTAAGGGCAACACATTTGGATAGAAATTACCCCCACCGGCAAACCACTTGACCGATCATGCCCATCTTCGAACTCATCCTTACTTTTTACCCGAAGATCATGTGTACAAAATTTCAAGTCGATAGAATGTGTTTAAAGAGAGTTATCGTGCCTACAGACGGACGGACAGACGGACGGACAGACAGACATCCTGACAAATCTATAAGGCCATCTTAAAAGGCCTAAAAATCTGAAAGATGCTAGGATTGCGGAGTGATAAAAAATATTTTAAACCCAAACGCAGTTCAAATAGTTCGAGGACACTCTACCAATCAAAAAAATACTAACTTACATAAATAATTTGAAGGAAATCGCATAGTTTTCGTATGAAATGTGAACTGTGTGTATTGAAATTTGAATTGAAATTTATTGATTTAGGCTAGTTTTATTGAAATGTAGCGTAGTACGCTACATTTTCAGAAGAATGGTAATACTTTAATAACTACCTACTTTTGGGACTAACCCAGGATGAGAAAGGAAGGTTGTCAGACATACAGGGGTCAGTATAAAACGTTTTTTAGCCCACGTGATATGAGTTAAACTTCGCAAAACTGGTTCAAAGCATAGATTTTAGACTATTTAGACCCTGCGGAAGGCGACCATAAGCGCATATTCACAGATAAGAGGTAGATTCAATAGTATTGACAATTCAATCCACAAAATTCGTTATGTAGGAAAACAAATTTGAAGGGTGTGGCATCGATTACAAGGGAGAAATACGACTGAAGGTTGGTTTCGTAAGGACCACGCATTTTACACCACAGTTCTAAGGCATGAATGGTGGAAATGGTGAAGAAGGCCGGATTAAGCACACAATATTACGGTAGTTTCAAAAAAATATAGCAGTTTGAGTAATTCTATCTCCCTGTTTGAAACAGGGAGATAAAATTATTCAAACTGTTTCCTGACAGAAACAGGCTGTTTCTGTCAGGTAATAAAGTTCGTCAGTGGTTGATAGGGAGAAACTTTCTGGACACACTCTAAGGGGCATCACATCATGCAAGTTCATTATTTAAAAAAATTATTTGTACACACACTCTTAGAAATGGGGTTACGATTATAACCAAAAAGTAAACGATTTGACTCTACCGCCGTGGTTATAAATTTGTCATCGAGAGGTTACAATTGTCACCAACTAATTATAAAGGTTCACCGACTTGGTATTAAATTGTCACCAGAGCTAATACATTTATAAATAGTTGGTGACAAATTCATAACCACGGCGGTAGAGTCAAATATCTATGTCCATTAACTTGAAATTAATAGGTAAAATTTGTAGATCAACTTATTCGTTGATTAGCATAATGTGCTTCATTTTTCCTGAATGGGCTATGAACGGGGACACAGCGGACAAGACAGGCCATAATTGTGGTGCGGCTAAAATTTTGAAATCTTGGTCTCTAGACCCGGCTATATTTGAAGACCGGCTATAATTAGAAGAGGGCTATAAATAGAGGTTTTACGGTATTTATATTTATGCATATAGGATGCAATTACAAAAGAAAGAAACTTTTGAAAAAATGCAAGTAAATTCCAAAAAACTAAATTAATTCCAAAGAAATTTTCAGGGATTATAAAAAAGGTCTCGACCATTCAATATTTTGCTTGAAAAGAGCCATAGACCCCAATCCTTCATATCTGGCGAATTTGTTGTCTCGCGGTCCCCAGAAGTGCTTTGCCACTCTTTCTCGCTACCTCTTTTGAGGTGCGTGACAAAATCTGACGGAATCCTTTCAAGTTTTTGGCTGGTTTTATTCGACGACTATATTCTCTCTTGCATAATGCCCAAAATCTTTCAATTGGTCTTGCCCGACGGACGTAGGGAGCATATTCCTTTTTTGCAACAAAATCGATTTTTTTCGACCACAGGTAGTCCAGAACAACTTTTGAAGAATGAAAGGTTGCTGTGTCCGGTCAGAAAAGTACATTACGATTATTGATAAAGGGGATCAAGATCTTCTTTACACAATCGTTCAGATATCTCTCCGAGGTCATGGTGGCTGTGGTCACGAACGGCTTTGAGACGTCCCCCAATGAGTCCAATGCTTACCCGATTATGTGCTCTTTGGGGAATTTTGACTTCGGCGTGTATTTGAAGGAATCTTTAAACGTTTTCTTATTAGTACATGAGTAGAACTTCCTCCCAGGGACTTCATCTGGATCAATCGAGCACTTGGTCTCATCATCCATGACCAGAATCATGGGTATGCTTTGCTTGATGCGTTTTTCAGCAATGTGCCGATAGTTGGGCTTTGCTCTTTTTTGCTGACCTTGGTTGTACTTTGGTGCAGGTGTCGCCTTATACGATTTGACCCCCAACTTCGTAGGTTTAATGACATGTAAACTTAATTTTGCTATTTTCAATTTGTAGCCCAAATTACCATCTGATATCCCAAGGTCATTTTGCATTCCTGCTGAAGTCTAAGTGTCACTTTGGGGGTCGCTACACGAGCAGGACGATTTTTTAATTTTTTGAATTCAGCATTCCTGCTCTCCTCGTACATATCTAAAACTCTGCAAATTGTCCCTATATAAATTTTTTCATTTTTGAAGTGGCTATAAACTAGTATCCGGACGCGCTCGCACACTTTTTTGTAGTAGTGGCAAATCTTTTTTTCCAGTTGTTCTCGATTTTTTGTTCTCATTTTTGAACTAGTCGAGATATCGACTTCCGGTTTTCTGATTTGGGTAGCTAATCGCATGGACTACAAAACTACGGCGTTTCAATTCAGTGGCAATTTTTATTCCATATGAATAAATACATTTTCCAAAAGTTTCTTTCTTTTGTAATCGCACTCTAGTATACTATTCAGCCTGGTCTATTATAAAGCAAATCTTATACACATCACATGACTATGCTATGTATGAAATTTAAATTTGGTCAATAAGTTGCATTTAAAAGGTTATAATAGTACAGCCTTGCACAAGATTTCGCGACAAGGACAGCCTGCCGTAAAACTTCATCGTCGATGTCGATAATATGGTAAATCAGGATTACATCGCTTATCGGGAGAGAGCAGAATCCAGACTTTACGTAACATTCAAGATGCGAGTTATACCCAAAGGTTTTAATTTGATCACATGACAGGATCATACTTCCATTGGCGATTGGCACAAGAGTTTCTTGGAGACAGAGAATAGTATTCCAAGCCCATTTTTGCCCAGCTGGGGAAAACTGCGATTTTGCAGCGAGAGATCTTAGGCAAATTTTTTCAGCAAGTCCGATCGCATAGCCGGATGGCCCACAAGGCGTGGCCGTTTCCAGACAGCGGGAATAGAATGAACAATCCTGATAGTAGGGAAGGCATTGTTGCGCGTTTACCGTGAGTGCACAGATTAACCCGGCCGTGGCGATATGGGAGATCCACATCTGGAGGACAAAAAATTTGAAGACTTTAATACTAAATGTTGCAATTAGTTTAAAAAATCTGAAAATTGCTGACACACCATACCATTTCGTGACAGAGAAATTAGTAGTATGTGTATTTATTAGGAAGATGTATGTATGTATGTATAAATTAGAGTACAGACAAATACATAGATGCTTCGCCACTTCTTTCCGAAACCAGACTACAAATACGGCTTACGCGGCTAGACAAGACGACGGCGATACCAAATGTGAGCTTAGTTTCCGACGCTGAGATACATTTCTAGATCCATAAAAACGGACATAAAAAAGTTGTGCATACTTGCATAATGGACACAGTATATATTTGCCCATATATATTTAACATGAACATGGGACGAAAAACTAATACTGATGACGGGCTTTGATAAAATAAGGAAATTTTTGTTGCATAAAGTCATGAATTTTAATGCTGTGAGACTTATGTAAATCCAATTCTTTGTCTAATTTTATTATCAAGATATGTATGGAAAACTCAGTAAAAAGTTCCATGATCGTTATGCAAAACATTAATTAATAAACCAAAATTTGATATGAAATGTTCCCTAGAATGCCTAAAATTCACGAACAGGATTTATGTGTAATATAATTGTAGATAGATATTGCATCATAGGTATTTATGTATGTAGCTGCATTAATTCATATCCACGTGAACATCAATCTGTAGATAAGCGAATATGCAACTGAAAATTTGCAAGTTCCATACATATTTGCATATATGTTCAATTTGAAAGTTGCAAAGCAAGAAAAGTTGCTTGCGTGAGTTTATGCAGGTTTATGTATCAGGTTGAAATCGCCAGTAAATACAAATATGTATCGTTGCAGGCAAGGCAGTCTCGAGTATGTATCGGTTAACTGCATGTGCAAATGTTTAAGCATAGTTGGGATAATTAAACAGCAATAAATTCAGTAATTTCATCAATGTAAATATGTATGTATATATGTAGATACATATTATGGAATTCTTTAGCAATTTTTCAATTTTTATTTATTTATGGGAATAATCCCAAAGTTTAATTTCAAGTTCTACGGTAATATCTAAATTGTGCAGGCTTGCACAACAGGAAAAATGAAATTTAATAAACGCCATAAGTTTCCATTCCATATATAAAAATGCTTACTTTTACCCATGCATACGTTTTTTAGCTGATTATCAGCCGTTTTAAGGGGCATTGGAAAATATAAATTTGTACATATTTATACGAATCGATATACAAAAGGTGAATCGACATGCTTTATACGACTTTGCACTTGAATATCTCTGGTGCAAATTCGAATTTTGAGCTGATTTTCGTAGGCAAGCAAGATAATATCCTCAAAAACATGTCTGCAAAGTTTTATTTGGATAGCTTAAGAAATGTCCCCTCCAGGGCCCTCAGAGTTGGAGGATGCTGTAAAATAACTTTCCAAACTTAATTATTCATGTGGCATGATAAGCAAAGAGGTCAGAGGTGAAAAATTGCTATTATTATAGCCCCAGATAATTAGTGTATCCAATAATGAAAGAATCCACAATGAATCAAATAATGTGGCCCCTCCAACATCGCTGACATTTTGCCCCAAAAAGCGAGCAATCCGAGCTTGCTTGAGAAAATTGCCCTGCTGACCTTGAAAGCGGACCCACTGGATCAAATGAATATTGGGGGTAAAGCTAGAAGTGTCCTAAGTAATATTAAATAAAACAGTCAAGATTTTGGGTAACCAGTTTTGGAGAAGGATCCGAGCTAATCAGCTGACGCGGAATCTTAAAAAGACTCGGAACTTATTTGGAAAATTAATGGTCAAATTTTGCTGAAAATAAATTTTTATAGCTTTTTTGTGTCCCCTGTCGCAGAACTATTTTATCTACAAGGTGCAAGTAACAAAATAATAAAATCACTGCGTTTTGATTAGTTAAAAAAAATTAAAGTTCCGCTTCGATTTTGACAAGAACCTTTTTACAAAACTGATGGGATTTGGTAAGAACTAATTTATAACGGTGTAACCACTTATCAAAATTTTGTCAAAAGTACTTACAGTGCAACATACAATTTGTACCTTGGACAAAAACAACGTTTGGGATTTTTAGCATCTAACTCGTAAAATGTGGGGGCCTTAAAAGTGGACGAGTTGCGTGCGCAAGCAAGCACATTCCATTAGGACAAGTATGAAGTTAGACTACAAAACAGACTTAAAAGATAAGCATGAGCCAAAAGTGGTTTTACATAGTGAAAAGCATGCTAAGTCATTTGATAATAGTCACAAAGACGATTTCTGCGTTAGGACATCAGAAAAAAATATTTTGTTCGACACCATTTTATTAGAACAGCAGTTTGGAAAGTGTTTTTACAGCACCCTCCAACTCTGAGGGCCCTGGAGGGAACATTATTTAAGCTATCCAAATAAAACTTTGCAGACATGTTTTTAAGGATGATATCTTGCTTGCCTACGAAAATCAGCTCAAAATTCGAATTTGCACCAGAGATATTCGAGTGCAAAGTCGTATAAACCATGTCGATTCGCCTTTTGTAGGCTTTAAAATCTGGCCTTTCAGATATTGTGACCTTTCCTTCATAGCAAAACCGGGGAAACTGGTTTAATTATCACAAGATGAAGCTCGATAATATGTTGATTAAATTTCCACCCTCATACATAACTACCCCCGCATTTATGTCCTCACATTGACATCGATGTAGCTTGGCACATTCATAAAGGTTCTTGAAATATTTTTTAATAAAATAAACTGATCTTCTGAAACGGTTGACTATTCAATCTGACCTTTCAACCAGAATCATGATCATCTTATCGAATCAGTAATGCGTATGCAAAGAAATCTCCAGGAAAACATAGGGCAACTAGTAATCGCACGACCTCCCAAGCTTTACAACAAAATCTCACCAAAAAATTTGGTCACTTACGATGAATAATACATTCTTAAAAACGTAACAGAAACTCCAGGAAGGCAATTTTTCATGGGAAATATATCTAAAAACATCTTACTAAATATATCTAATATAAAAAATTTTGATTCCGGTGGCAGAAAATCAAAATTGAAGTTGCAAAGTCTTTCAAAAAAATCAGTAACGGCTGGTGCGAAGGAAAAAGTTAAATGCAAAGTGGATAATGGATTAAATCCCTCTTGGTTCCTGGATATGTTGGCTAGATATATTTTTAGTATTCTACAGAAATTTGAGATTTCAAAACTTATTTTTGACAATTTTCAGGCCGAAGTTGCAAATGATCGGGTATATATAAGACCCGCTCTACGTTTACTTTGTGGTTATAATCGTAACCCCATTTCTAAGAGTGTAGGTGACAAAAATTGTTAAATATCTCAAAATAAGTAGCCGAAGCTCGGTACCTAGCCGTGTTCTACATACACATGTAGTGGGTACACACATAATACAGTAATATCTGTACGGTACTTGCATACATGTGTTGGGCCGTGCATAAGGTGTGTTATCGATTTGAAGGGGGTGGTCGTTAATCCATCTTATGCTTCCTACATATTTGAACTGTAGAATTTGTTGTAAAGGAGAGGTTCAAGGTATCCGTCGCATCACATCATTTAAGTACATACGCTTGCACCAATCTGCAAGCGTTTAAATGCAAAATATACCTAGTATGTAAAAAGCCCTTACAGAAGCCCTTCGCATCCCTTCTCATTTAACCACGAAACGAGCTAAGGACTTGAAAATCAAATCCGCTGCAGCTGACGCAAATAAAAAATATAAAATAAGAACACAAATTTGAAATTAAATTCACCGTTTTTTAGTTTTCAACAAACGTTTGACGTAAGTAAGTTACCAATTATCTATAAGTTCATATCATATGGTCACCAATTCATTCAGACCTATTTATGCATACAGTATAATTATATGCAGATGCAGTATTAAGTAGTTTATGTTCTTAATTGTTCAATTTTTCAATTCACAGTTTTGTATTCCATATTTTGCAGCATGTTTATGTGATCTGTGTTTCTTCGCAATTAATCATGTCGAAATACCTGATCGCTCATTCCAAGGTTTGTAAGTAGGCTGGTGCAATTTTTTAACAATTCGTCACTCATTACAGAATATTAGTTTCCAATTTATTTTTCAGGTTGAGAACGAGGTTCACGATTTGACCTGGAATATCAGCAATTTCGACTTTGTCTCCTTCCACCGGAATCGAGACGTCCTGAGCCAGTACGTTCTCCCATTCACCGTCGGCTCCAGCGTGGGCAAAGTCTCGAGCTGGAAACTTTTCTTGGCGTACGATCATGGAATATGAAATAAACTAGGGGAAGAATCTCATTTTCCCTGGCGTACGATACCACTGAAAATTCCCCGCATTGTACTTGCAATTAGTCGAATACACTGGCACCGACCAGGTTCCCGTTATCCTGCAAGCCTCCATTGACAATGTATTTGGGTCTAATGCCAATGAACTATTTCAATTGAATAAGAAACATGATACATATTTAGATAAGGTAACCTCTTAAGGACGAAATACAGATATTTGTGTACCTGGTATTTTGTTCTCCGCTGAAGACGAACTACACAAATATGTGTACTACATAAATTATCTTGACCCCCAAAATTTCTCAAAAAAATATGTCGGTATTTTGTGGAAAAACTGTATAGGTATGGTGAAAAGTTGATTTTTTTCGTTAAATTTTGGAATTTTCCCTATACCGACCAATAATAAAAAGTGGATGTTTCGTGGTTTTGGTAAAAGAAACTCAAAACTTCCGGCAATATACATACATAGATATTTCCTTTTTATATATATCATGACAATTTGATTGGTTGCTATTATCAGGTGTAATTATGAAATCGTATCCAAAGAAATTTTATTTAAAAAATAAGTAATATGCACGAAGGAGGTTAAATTCGCTATCATCAGATTTCAGATCATTATCATATTGTTTGGCAAAATTATGGTCATGTAAAATTCCCATTTTTGATACTTATACATATATGTAACATCATTTTATATATGTATAATTAATTCGATCCCGTATAGAAAGAACCTGCCACCTGGTCACTGCGACATCAACAGAGCCCTTTCCGTGTAATTTCGTACGATACAGCAGAACCGGAACATCGGCTGCATCTCCATTGACTTTGAACGTCTTGGCCAATGGACAAGCGCAGACTTTCACCCTCAACTCGATTTTCCAAAAAATTGCCAGCACCGGCTCCCCGTTCAGGATGAAAATCAAGTTTCAAGTTTTTGGCAAATACAATTTCACGACTTGCGGAAATAATTCGTCGTCATCTACAATTATGGAGAGGGAACAAGCAAAAAGTCTCCAGCGTCATAAAAAAGGCATACTTGCCCTGCTGGAAAGTGGGGATCGGGCCGACGTGACCTTTGAGACGAGGGATGACCAACGCATCGCGGCACACAGGCTGATCCTATCCATGCAGAGCTCCGTTTTTGCAGCCATGTTCGCCACCGAGATGAAAGAGAAGACTGAAGGTGTCGTCAAGCTGGACGACATGGGGGCGACGGGCTCAAAATATTTTTGAAGTTCGTATACACTGGAGAACTAGATGAAAAGTGGGGCGAGTTTTATGACGAGATTGTGAACGCGGCGATTAAGGTGTGCATGCAAAAATGATACGGAGATGATAAGCGATCACCTATGTTGTATAGTTACTATTTTTGTTTCATATTTCCAGTATCAAGTCCATTCCTTGATCGACATGTGCCAAGAGATGCTTCCGACTCTGGCCACGTGGGAAAATTGTTTCGAGATCCTGAAACTTGCTGAATTGCATGATATGGCTGGTGTGAAGAAGAAGGTTGAAGATTTTATCAAAAGGTATGCTTCAAACTCTTAATAATTTCACTTTTATGTAGTTTATGAAAGTAAAAATGATCTCGCTGGAAGATATTTTTAGACTGATGGTGATTTCTATTAAACAACTTGGTTTTAAGGTTTTGACAGTACATAGGAGACATTCATACATATGTAATAATATGTGGTCAGAAGTGACCATACAAACTACGCAGAGTTATGCTCAAACGAAGTGTCCCTTCTAATGAGGCATAAAAACAAAAGGACCCTTTTAATCCCTTGTCCTGGGAAAAAGGTTGGAAAATGCTCAGCCCTCATAAAAGTCGACAAACTTAAAAATTGATAAATATGGAAAACTTTGTTAACATGCATATTTTAACAGTTTACACAGTCAAAAGAAATTTTTATTTGTTAGTGATCCGGATAAAATGCTGCAGTTATTACGTGAATCGCCATCTTCGAAGCGTGCTCGACTTGCATAATTTTTGAAAAAATATGATTTCGCTTGCATATTTATAAGAAGGCAGGTTATGATTTGCGTATGAAATTTTTTACATTTTTACTTTTTGATGAACTAAACTATTATTTATGACTGTTGATAATGTTTTCCTACTTATTATTGCCTGGGCGTTAGAAGTTAAGATTAGTGCTAATATTTTAGTCTGCTCTGTTTTCTTTTGTAGGATTGTTAATTATACATACTCCTATTTTATTTGCTGTAAAATCTCGCGGTAAAAAAGTTTCCACCTGGCCCACACAGTTCGCACCCACTTCCATTCAAAACCCTATGTCTAAAGTTTTAAGTTGCAATAAGCTTTGAATGTAATTGGGTGCGAACTGTATGGGGCAGGTGGAAACCTTTTTACCGCGAGATTTTACAGCAAATAAAATAAGAGTATGTACTATCCCCGTACTTAGGCTTTGCACTTCATTTGCATAAATCTCAATAGCCCATTTTCGGCGATACGAGCTTTCCATGTTGAATAAACTCTATGGCTCTCGCGAATGCGTTAAAATATGCAAATGAGGTGCAAGGGCTGAGTGCGAGGATAGTATATAAATTATGTATATTATAAAATATCACTACTCATAAAATGCCAGCGTATTCCCTGCCTGACTCTGTGATCGAGTCCAAGTTACCCCGTAGAGGAGACAAAGAATGAAGCGGAGCAAAAACTGCATGCATGAATTTTCTGCATGAGTCTCACTTCGCCTGCACGTGACTTTCACGTACTTACACTTGCCATCAAACTCAAATTAAATGCCTTTGTATATAAACACAGTGTGCAAGTAAATTGAGTGAGTGAGCAGTATACGTATACATACGTCACTCATCAATAGTGGTTATCATGATAAGTGATCTTGATAAACACTATTAATTAATTATTTTAGTGTGAGAAACTCCAACCACAGCGAGTGGCATATCAATTCGAATGTATTTTTGACGCTGAATCCCAATCCGTCAATAGCTTGGCGTTAATTGTAGAAGTTAACGGGGTTTATGGAATTTAACGGGGGCGTGAAGCGTGGGAATTTCAATAGTTAGCTATGCAGTTACTCCCACGCAACGGGAATTTAAGTAATTAGCTATTCAACTACTCCCACAGGGGGAAATCAAATTGTACTGTGACCAGGTTAATTAAAATGCAGCATGACTTGGGCAAACCCTCACTCTGATGTATGTATGCGGTATGACAAAGTCTCCACTGGGAATTATTTAAAGTATAGTATGACGGATTTTTCGCTTTGGGCACACCCCCCACTGGAACCCTAGAACCCGGCCTTGGCCGGGCTATACGCTAGTTACTAATAATTTACATGTTCAATGTACAAAGACTTGCAATTCTCAATAGGTGAATAAATTCTCCGGCCAATTACTAAACTATAAAATAAAAGATGTAACAGCTTTATTTTTTGAATTTTATAAGTAAATTCTAGTCACCGGCAACCATAGACAATGTACTTACGAATAAGTTGATGGCACGGGCGATGCAGATGGGCGGATCATACCGAAGTAATAACAATTATGCACCGAAATATGATTCTGCAAAGTTTTAAAAGAAATGTATTCTTCATACGTGCGTCAATTAACAAGGGAAAATTTCAAAGGTTTCGGTCAATTGATAGAAATAAATTTGACAGGTGGGTGGATCCATTTTTACACCAATTTCTGATATGTTGTGGTTCAAGGAAATACTAATCTGGCAGTTGTGGTGGTTGAGGGTTGAGTCGTTGGCTCGACGACAGTTGTTGTTGGGACGGTAGTCGTCGTTGGCACGGTCGTCGTCGTTGGGACAGTGGTCGTTGTGGGGACGGTCGTCGTCGTGGCGACGGTAGTTGTTGTTGGGACTGTCGTGGTCGTTGCTAAATAATTCGAAATACATAGGTTCAATACTAATTTTTACCTATATTTCCGAAATTGAAATTGCAAATTTTGCTCCTTCTTGTACATATTTACAACCCGTACTTAATATCTCCGAAAGTTTTTTATTCGTACTTTATCTTCAAAAATTGTGATTTAAAGATACTCAGAAATTGGTTCCAGAGGAGTTTTTAAAGTGAAACCAACGCAACGCCACGTGGTTATTCAGGATTAAAATTCCCTGTTTTTAGAGCACTTTATACTTGAACTAGTGTAGAAGCCCGTCAATTGACGTGCAAAATAGGCCCGTCGATAAGCCCGTTACCCCTACATTAGTGAAGTTAGCCTCTCCTGTTCTCTCTGCAGAGTGGAGAGAGAAAAGGAGAGGCTAACTTCTCAACTAAGCCACCGACCCAGCCAGCAGCGATACACTCGCCTGCTTTATATAGTTTAGATATTCCAGCGAAGGTGATAATAACCATGTATAGAAAGTCTCTCTACTAAATAAAATGTTCATCATTAATTCATTAATGACACGACGCCTTACCTCGCGTCGTGGTCGTGGTTGGTGGCAAAGCCGTGCAGGACCATCTATACAGGCTGCTTCCGGCCCAAAGCGGGTTACACCGACAAACTCGGTTCTCCGCGGGGAAGTTGAGCACCTGGTGACGCCAACGTGGCGTTTCCCCGCAACAAACTGTAAAAAACAATTTTGTCTTAAGGTACACAAAATTAACCGCATATTCATAATTTAATTTCCCACCATTATTGATTTCCCGGCTAAATCTTGCCCGACTAGGGTCCATCCCGCTCCTCTTTACTCGGGACCCGTCCGCCCCCACGAGGAAGACGGCGCTGACGAGGGCAAAGAAAATCCAGGATTTCATCGTATTTATTGTTGCTCTGGAAAGATTTAAAACATGTATTTGAAAAAATATTATTCTACTGAATCCAGGGCGGAATAAGGTGACGCTTTATATGGAGAAGGTAACAATGGGAATCACAACTATGTAAATAACTCGATTTCCAAGATAAACAAATTGCGGTGAGATAATCAGATAATGAAACTTCTACGTAGAAGTTCAAGGACATTTTTAGCAGCGTACTCTAAGCACACCCACCCCCCCCCCAATTTAGAGTTAATGTATGAATCTACGTATGTATCTTGTACATAAATATGTCCTGTAGGATGCAAAATCCATTCAGGGAAAGAAATGATACGGATGACGCATAAAATCTCGTTTGGAATGTAATCGGGAAAATGAATGTCACTCAATTTAGAAATTTTAGCATGTTAATTCCACGGTCAACATTTCAAACTTGCCCACACTAGTTATGAACTACTCGCAAGTGATATATCGTAGTGCCTCATGCAGAAATATCTATTGTTAGCCAACTGTATAAATATACCCAATTATGTATGTACCTGACGAAGGATTCTGTTGAGAAGGATACGTTCAATCTCATAATTTTGTTCGAGGCGTATTTTCTAAATACATCAGGTTGACCACAAAGACGTATTTAATTTCTAGTGACGCAATTAAATTTGTGTGTATGTACACATAAAGTACCGTTGTATGTAGTTCACGGAGTTAACCGGAATCGTTCTTGGCAACTTATGTGTGTATGCTGATTTATTTGCATAACTGGAAAATAATGTGCACATCACTGATACACAGTTCGAAAATATAAATGAAATACTTTTTCATTGCCAACCTCACATCCGTATCGCTCATGCATACGCATGTATACGTGGTATTTATAAATATATAATCTCATATTATTATAGCAAGGGATCGGTCAAAATATGTAAATGAGGTAACTGGAGATTTTACTCCGTACAGCACATGCATATGTATATAATATGCAAATACTGAAAAATTTTCCAAAATAGGTGTTTTTCCCATGTTCATATTCTTATCCTGTTACAACAAATTAATGAGATTCTTCTCTACTTCTCTTTACTGACAAGTACAATCATTACAGTAATACAGTCCTCAGATATTCACAATGTATTAACGGGAGAAAATTGGATGGGGTATACTAATTAGGTAGTGTTTGGTCTGTTTGCGTGTTCAATAGTTTCAACGTACCAAGAATTACATATGTATTCGCATATACCTACTCATTCGTTCATTTCTACTTTAAATAATCTGATGACGAAGCTTGTTAATTAAAGGTACAATCATTGACATCAGACAAATCCATCAGCACTTATGTAAACGGGAACATCCTTTGTATAATGAGTCGAATTTTTAGAGTGTATTCCATGAATGGGTTACCAAGGAACATAACTAACGCAAACATTCTTTTGCACAAGGGAGCTTTGTCGTTTACTGGGAAGATTTCGGAGATTAAGAACTCTACAGGTTCTTAATCTCACAAATTACGGTGGACCCGAAATTTCGCGAACTTTATATTGATCATTCCAACTAACCGAAATCTTACCATGTCGAACAACCCGATTCAGATTGACCATCTCCTCGATCACGTTTCCCCATGCAACTTGCACATCATCCATGATGGCATTGACTCGAGCACATTTCATTCAAATGGAAATCATCTTCCAACTGAAATTTTCTTTCCGTCGCCGTACAAATACCCCGACATTGGCGAAACATCACACATTACATTTCCCGCCATCGATGTGACTAAATCACGTTTTGGTACGTGCCGAATAGCCATAGTTCTTATGAACTTTTTTACCTCGCTAAGTTCAAAATGGCGAAATCACCATAAGCAGAAGAACTGGATGGAATTCGTAAACGAAGAACATTTCTTTGTTAATTCTACGAATGGATTTTTCGTCCGTGACAAGAAGCTTTTTGTCGTGGTTGTGGGGCATCGTGAGAAAGCGGGAGGTCTGAGTTTATTCATGCAGTTCGAAACGTTCAGCAAGCACGTTTACAACTTGGGCATAACCTTCATTTCTCGGGAGGGTGATAATCTGATAAGTTTCTGCGTTAAGGGACAAGATGGAGAAGACGTTCACGAGGGAAATTTGAATTGTGTGGATAAAATGGACAATCTAGTCACGATATTTATCAAATTGTCGATGCCACCTAAATATTGGTGTTTCGCAGTGAAACAGTTTAATTTACAGAAAGATAGTTTTAAAATAGACATCACTTTAGTAAATAATATCGATCCTTTTAATCCGTTTGACCGTTCCAATCCTTACACGGTGGAACATTTGGCTCAGGCCGTGTTCCGCAAAGCTAATGCAACTCTGTTCTCTGAAGGTTCACAAATTATCAAGCTCGCACAATTTGAATTAGAAGATATTACGGAAGACCACTGGGTATATACCACGGTCAACTTAAAATTCGTAGGATTTCAATTTTTAACCTGTTATGTCGAATCATATTTAACTTTTCGCTTTTACTTGGATCCGTTCCAGCCAAATTTATGGGTGGGGCTAGGCATTTGCCTTTTCCTCATTACCGCTATTGTTTGGATGTACGTTCGCAACGCGGAGGTGGGGAACGTCTCATTTTCCCCCTGGCTGTTCGTCCTGTCCTCGCTTTTAGAAGAAGCTTACTTGGTTCCGATGAAGATTGTTAAATTGATCATATTCCGTTACATTTTTGGCATTTAGAGTCTAATGTCGGTCATCTTAACGAATTGTTATAACGAATTAATGATCTCCAAGCTTAATTCACCGCTAAATTCAGTAATTCCAGAAAGGTTTGTAGATCTTTTATGCGAAGGTGGTGCGATACATTCGTCGTCTCATTACAATTCGACAGATTTCATGGTCAATTTTAGAAAGAAATTGCACTTATTTTATTTCAGCGTATCGCCTAGGTGTTCGCGATTATGAAATTTTTCACAACACGAGTTTTGTCGATTTACAAAATCAACATGATTCTAGCAATTGTTATAAATTGTTATCAACCCCGGTTCAATTTCCGGGTTATACTGTTTTTGAATTCAAATTTTTAATATATCTGAAGCATGTCTTGGATCACCTTTTACAAGCACACTTGCGCTGGGATGAAGGTCCCGAATCGGTTCCATTGCTTGAGTGGCCCCATCTGGCGTTAATGCTCCAACTGTTGAATCCACATCACGCCCATTTCCCAAAGGAAATTGACTACTCAAGAAAGGACCTCACGGTAACCGATGTGCAGAAAAATATAGAAACGGAAGTTGTCGATTGTTCCCGCAAAACGGTTTTCATCGCTAAATCAGACCTTCTGCAATTTGAGTATGAATTCCTAACCTGGAGCTATTACGGGACGAAATTTCACAAAGGAAAAGAGATACTAAATCCACTCCAAGTAGGATTAATATTCGAGGGCGAGGGTTTATCTAAAGTTCCAAAATATTATAAAGGCCTGATTGAAACAGGAATTTATGCCCGCGTAGAAAAAGAAGTCGAATCTATGGCCATGTCAGATAGGGAGCAGGCAATCAACAGAAGGAATGAGAGATCCTTCTCGTTAGGGTTGGACGGGGGCATTGTGACACTTTTCATTCTATGCGGAGTCGTAGTTACAAGTTCTATTTTGTGTTTCTGGTTTGAATATAGGATCAAAATTGCTAGGTTGTTGGGTGTGCTTAAAAATAGGAAAATTGATAAAATGATGCTTGATAGTTTCTATGAATGCAAAACACTCTCGAGAAAGAAGAACATCCCTGTTACCAGATAATTTTCGGAAATATTCCGTCCCATACCAAAATTGCACAAATTTCTGCAACGATTTTTTTATCAGTTGACTACCAGCTATTTTTCTAAATAATTGTTTGCCTATAAATTTCGCACATTTGCGTAGCAAAATTATTTCTCTTAGCTACCAATTGCACACGAGACCGTTTTTTATTTCGTACCAGTTACACTACTGTGTGTAATTATTTAGATGGGGGATTTTTAAAAAAAGATGATGGATGCGTAGTGTAAAGTGGCGGAGAACGTACATAAAATTTCCAAAAATACCTTTGGTAAGAAAGAGTTTTGTGGTTCGGTGAACCTCTTGAATTCATTTGTGTAATTATAATTTAGGTAGTGTGTATATACCAAGTACTTTCAGCAATCTTAAGTTTTATTCAATTAAGCATAAAATTGTATTCGCAGAGAATTGAAGTGCAGATATTAAATATGTTATTCGCAGAATATTAAATATTATCATTTTAAATACATTAATTTGGAAAAAACTAAGCGACCAGCGCCAGTACTTTAGGTAAATATGCATACATACATATGTAACATAGTAAATATTTCGGGATCTAGTTTGAAAGTATGAGACAAATGAATAAACTCAGGAACTTAAATGCATACTTTCGAACTATGAACTTTGCTCTGAAACAAACTTCAAAATATATATTTTGATTGTCCTATTTTAGACTTCTTTGCGATTTCAGCGTACTTAAAAATGCCAATTCCTTCCTCGTGCCTTCAAAATGCTTCTTTTGTCTTACCGAGTTAGGAATACTGCCAAGAATCCAGTTGTACTTGTTCGTTTTATAATTTGTTTTAGGAATAAATGGCAGTTTATTGGGATTTTTAGAATATTTCGGAATTTTTCCTCCATGCCGGATAAGGAAAAGAGCTTCTGACGGAAGCAGGAACCACCGGAACGGATACCAATCTTGGGGAAAGGCTTCGTTTGATATCGTAATATCAGAATGTACCAAAACCTAAGGAGAATTAGAAAATTAAATTAAAATCCCAGGGAGTGAAAGTCGGCCTGCCGAAAATTAGACATCATTTTAACTAGAAATTCATGTTTGTAAAATTAAGCACGCTTGCTAATACAAGTTCGGATAGAAATTGTGTGCAAAATTATTTAATTCAAACTGTTCATAAATTATGTAACTAAAAAATACCCTTTTTCGTCCCCTCAGGAGAAAAAATCCTGGTCATTTTATTGATTTAGAATTTACAAATAAGTTGAAATTGATGAGAAATTTCAGAATCTCAGAATTATGAACGTTACTTCTGAGTTCTGAATAAAAATTGGAAGATTGATGTTCATTCAAGCTTTAAGAAGTATCTAAATCAAACCTGTTCAACACTGTCCAGTAAATGTTTTGCATAGCTCAACGCCATCTCAAAATCTGGCGCCAAATCAATATTCTTATCCGATGAGGCAACACGCTCTGATCCGAAGGTTTTAAGACTTACTCGATGATTCAAAGTATTCTGAAAATGAGTTTAGCAAACCAATAAAATTGGGGAATATCATATAAAATCATAGATATTTTGCTCGGTATTTTATTTACGTGTTGGTGTAAATTTGAAGCAAACTTAAATGTCCCAGTTGCACTATTCATTTCGTAAAAAGGTAAAAATTTCCATCCTTGTGTTGCAATTAACATTACGGCGTCAATCAAATAACTAATTTCTTGTTGAGATGCGTGATAGGGAAGAGAAACCCGGGTGAATCCAGGCTTAAAAACTACGCCATATGCAGCATCACCGTTTGAATTCCTGTAAAGGGTAGAATACATAAATGAAATGGTAATATTATAATCCACTTCAAAGTGATCGAGTCAGTGTTATCGATGATTAATAGGGTATCAAAAAACAGGTTTTCGATTTTTACGATTTTGGAAAATTTTATTGAACTAGTTTTCCATTTATATTCTCCACAATCACTGATTGTGATCTGAATGAAACTGATTGTCAATCAGTTTCATTCCAGTTGTACGCAAATAACAATTGTGCGAGAGTATGTAACCCGGCAGAATTTATGCAAATTACGGCAATAATGTGGCAGGACTTTGACAAAAAATGTGTTTGAGGACAATTAACAAAGACAAAAAAAGGTAATTCGTACACGTGTTCGCAATCATCATAAATAACCAAGATAATTTTTGCCACAAAAAATCAAACCGGTTTTTGCGTGTAATAAAACTAACTGGGTTGCGTTAACGACCGTTTTGCTGACAAAATCGGTTTCTCGGAAAAATTTAGGTTTTACAAAAAATCTTATTAAAAAAACTGGGTTTCGTTCCCAGAGTCCCCAAATTTCAAATGAGATCGTCCCATTTTTTTTAGACCAGATCGATTCATATTTCACCACCCCAAAATGTCACATTCGAAACTATGTATGTACGAATTTGTATAGCTCAACTTCATTGTTACCTTATCGGAACTGAGAGCATTTGTTCATAGACTTTCGCCAGCTTGTCATCAATTCCAAGCAGCAGTTGACCATACGGACCCGCGCACATGCAACCACTTCTGCTTTGAATACCAAATAAATCATTGAGTAACGTCGTCACAAAATTGTGATGCAGGTAGCAATCCTGAAACAATTGTACATATTTAGTAAACCATATTGGCAAAAAATGATTAAAATTAATTATGACGTACCATTCGTTTATTGTAAATTAGGAAGGAAATTATGGGTAATCGTGGTGCATCTGTTGGGCCCAAAATAATTATTTCTGGGATCTTTCTCCACGCCTTAATCACCTGTCTGAAAATATTAAGGAAATTAAACATTGAAAATTATTTTTGAAATGAACAATAAAATTTACCTAGTAAATTCCCCTTCCTTTTGAACGATGGATCCAATTCCGGATAATTTTTGTAGCTGAAACACCAATCCTAATCGAATGGACCCCACAATGTCGGGAGTACCGCCTTCGTTACGTTCTACAAGGTCGTTGAGATAGCGGTGTCTTGCCTGCGTGACGAACACGACAGTGCCACCGCCATGACCGTGTGGGGTGGGTTTCGAAATACGGATTTCTTTGCGATTAAGACTCCTTAAAAAGATAATTTTCACATAAATTCGAAACTTTAGACGAGAGTATTCAAAACTGGTTTTCGATTTTACAGAATGAAGTTTGAAATATTTTAGTAAAGCTGGAAACCAATTTTTCATAGCAAAAATCGTTTCGGGGCTACATATAGATTTATTTCGCAAAATAATGTCTAGCATTTGTTGTATTGTAAATTTCAGATTATTAAAAAAATTAATCGGGTATAAAACCAGTTTGAAAAATCAGTTTAAACAAGAGTTTGGAGAAAATAAAAAAACCGGTTTTATGAAAATTTTCAAAAATCAGAAAGGTCGATGTATATTTTTAACAATATCCAACCTACAAAATAAATGCCGCGTACTTTGGACAAGGCATATGCATATCTGGACCGGAAGTAGTACAGCTCAATATATTACCCGGTGTTTGCGGCCCGCCAAGAAATTTATGTCCAGAAAACGAAATTGCATCCTTTCTACACAACTTGTCCAGCGAGTCATTCCCAGTTTTCGGATTCATACAGATTTTTACATGTGGCGCCGCAGCGGCGTAATCCCAAAACGAGAAAGCCCCATACTTATGGAGAAGCGCGGTAATGGCGACATCGTCACTTAGCGCCCCAGTAACGTTCGATCCAGCCGAGAAGGAGCCAACCACCAGGCGGGATTTCGTCATCTTATTTCCCCGAATGGATTTCAAAATGCCCTCTAATTGCTTCAGGTCGACAAACCCGGACGAATTTGTAGCCACCGTGATTAATCGGTCAGTTACTTCTCGCCACGGCAGAATGTTGGAGTGGTGTTCGAAAGGTCCCACAATTACGAGGGGAGGAGGAAATCCGTCTTTTTGCTGAGTAATAATGGATCCCAGAAATTTATGGATTGCCGTAGTTGTTCCGGACCCGGTAAAAATTACGACATCATCCTCACTACAGCCACACTCGTCATGAATTATACTCCTGGCTTCTTCCCTAAAAAATAAGATCAAGCGCTAACAATAAATTATGTCATGGGTTGCATATTATTTTCGTAGATCTAAAAATGTTAGGGACAGTATTTTTAAAAAATTGGGTAGTGTCGTGCGTGGGTTACGTTGGGTCCCACATTGCCCTAGACGGGCTTCACTTATCCCAAACCGGTCTAGACCGGTTTCTAGTTACGAAACAGGTTATGTACCAGAACGAAAGTTGCATAATTGATAATGCACTAATCATGTAATGCACTTAAGTAGATTCTGCATACCTATGTGCATTACATGATTGGCTATATTTATGGGTGTGGCCCCCATTGACAGTAAATAGGCGAAAAATTTAATTAATGCTAATTATGTAAGGTCAGTTATACTAAATACCTTAGCGTGTTAATTTTTGCAGCGCGATAGGTATTATTGACAGTAAATTATTTAATTATTTAATGGTAGTTATGTAAGGTTAGTATACATACTATCTACGTAAATACCTTAGTGTTGTAATTTGCGCAGCACAGTAAGTATTCGTTGTGTGCGTATTTGCATAAATTGGTAGAACTTTAGCACGCAAAAAATCCTCTATTTCTTCGACGGCGCGGTTTGACGCGGTCTGGTCGAGATAGACGCCTATTCAAATTTACATATTTTAGTTTATGTAAATATTTGCTTAAATTTCTTAACTTATGCTCACATTTCCGAGGTCCAAAAGGTCCAGGAATGACCAAATCCTCCCCAATTATACTACTACCTCCAACATCCCCAATTTTTGCGACAGGAGTACTGCATTCGCTGTCTGAAACCGACAGTAGCGACTTACTCAACGAATTAACCTCACTTATCGATCTGCTAAACTTCCTATATTCTTTCTCCTCCTCCGAAATATAGTCCGACGAAGGATAAAAAGTTTCAAAACTATTGCTCGAAAAAAAATTATCGTAACTTCTCCTATTAGTCTCCAAACTAGAAAAATTCGAATTTCGGATGGACGTCTGACTCCCGAAATTACTCCGCGGTCGTGGAATTCTTAACATTTTGCTCTCTCCAACCTCAGATTTTTTAATGTTGTGTAATTTTACCATGGCGCATATATATTTATACTTATTTCAGGCTTAGGCAGATGCAAACAAGTTTAGCGTAGCAGTCAATCACTTCGCTTGCAAATGAACATACTTAGTAAGCAAATTCAATAAATAATATGTGTTTATATAGATAGTTGATGGAGGCTGGTGTAATTCAGAAGTTAATTAAGTACGTACATACGTTTGTGTGCACCAAACCTGTCTCGGCCTCTCGTTAATGCATAAATTAATATGCACGACTGGACCCATATTATATAAATGCGGCTGGGAAAACATCATAATTTTTTTAGATAAGACTTATATACCCAAAATCTTCAGGTACCTGGAATTTTAAAGCATTAGCATTAAAAGTACATTAAGTTTCAAATCAGTGATTTTTATGCCTTGATTAATTCACGGACATCCACCAAGCCAATTTTTCCATCGTTTAAGGACAAAACTGAACGGAACCGGTTCACTAATAAAAGTGAGCAAGTTCCTTTCCAAGTAAAATGTGACGAATGTGAAATTCTCCTTATCAAGTCTGCAATCTACTTAGAATTTTATTATGTCATGAAATAGAAATTGTAGCATTTTTTTCGGAATTTGTGAACTTGTCCATGAACTAATATGTAAATAGAGATGAGATAAGGTACGTAAAATCCTTGCAGACTTATTGCGCTGGTCACGTATGCATTATGTATTTATGTATTTGTACGAATGAAATGAGTATGGTGATTTTATTGTTATGTAAATATGAGGGATTATAGGTTAGATATTGGTTATGCAACGTAAATTGGCACGATTTCATTTTTTATGTGAGTTTTATTCATTGGAGTATAAATTGCACATTCACAGAGATATGAGAATAACAAGGAATTGATTTATGTACATGTTATTCGCCGAATACGCATTTATTTGGAAAAAGCTAAACGGCCAGCGTCGTACGTTTGTAAGTTTAATTAAGAATTTCTACATAAATTTATGCATTATGTATATAATTAAGAAGATTGTAATTTCTATTTAGCAACATTAACAAGTAAACAAAAGTTCACACAAAATTGTACTAAGAATTGGCTTAGCAAATTATCTACGTCATGTTTCGTTGACGTATTTAAGAAGTTTCAAAGTTTGACAAATATGTCGCTAAGGAGACATGTCTTAAACACGTCAAATAAGGATTATGTTGTACCAATGAGGAAATTTCCTCATTCGATGTCTCCAAAGATGTGATTTTAATCTGTGATAGCATCGCCAAATTAATTGGGTAGGAAGTCATTAAGATTTATGAGGATTTTCCTGTCCTCCTGAATAACATTTTTTTGAATATACGTCAGACAGAGATTTACATATGTAAATTTAACAAGGAAAAAATTTTGCAGAATCAATTATATTATTATTTAGGTAGTTCATCAACAGTAATTAATTGTCCTTGAACTTCCAATAAGCTCGATAATAACTAGTTTAGCATGAAATCTTCCTAATCTTTATTTTAAGCAGAATATGCACAAGTCATTAACTCGAAGAAAATGTAAATTCCCGTTAAAATTAACACTTTTACGTTAATTAAATTAGCATTTAATTAACAATATAAACTTACTTTTCACACTATGTTAACTCTTGTAAAACACTTGTTTAGTACGCATTCTTTCTAGTCTGAATCTTTAACAGGATATACGTCATTGCCTTGAAGAAAATGAAAATCCCCGCCATAATCAGCAACCAATCCGTGTACGAAACATCTCCCGACTCAAAATAATGCAGGACATCCTCCCCCGTAAAAGTACAGTTCGAATCCCCCGCCACCGACGGAATAACGCATGCGCACCCATCATCCTCACAATTGAAGGTCAACCCACTCATCTCATTCGTAATGAGGAGCTCATACGCATACTTCTGAAAATCCACTTGATGAAAGGAATTTTTCCAAAAGGCCGGAATATTCTTTTTTTGAACGAAAAACCCCTGCACAATCATCCACAACCCATTCGTGAAGGCCGTGATGGCCAACGCGGCGACAAAAATGTGCACCGCGACGGAAATCATGACCGTTTGAGCTTCAGCGATCATCAACGCGAAAAAGAGGAAGGCGACAAAAATGCAAAATTTCTCCCCGCTGGGTTGCAGCCCCATTAAAAAGTAGGAAATTGATGAGAATGCGATCGTAATAATGAAAATGAAGGGAATCGAGACTAAAAGATTGGACAAAAGGTACGATTCCACTGTGTACAGATTATTCGCATTTTCGCGAATGAAGACTACCCGCTCTTCTAAAAAGGCGGGTATCCCCGCGACGGACATGAAGGAGAGGAAAGCCACGGCAAAGAAGAGACCCGCCATGCGATCCTGCGCGGCGGATTGGTTTAGACCCATGTCGATCCACGTGGTTCCCATGAGGACGGCGAGGGCGACATACATCGCGACCCGGATCCAGTAAGCGAGCGGGTTTTTCGTCGCGTTAAGAAAAGTGCGGGACACGAGGTATTTTGTAGTCTGGAGGAAACCGTTGGTTTGGAGGGAAGCAGATTTTTGCGAGGTGGAAATTGGATTGTTTTTTATGTCGTCGTTAATTGCCACGTGTTCGGGAGATTGGGAAAATTTGGTGATTAATGATTCCAGCCTGGCGCGACCTTCGTCTTTGTTAGCGTCGAAATCCGTGCTGGTTAATTTGAGGTAGAAATCGCACGGGTTGCAGCGAAGCGGGATGGGATATCCGATACGATCAAAGTAAGTGATGGCGCCATCTCGTGGGCCGAGATAGACGGTGGAGCCATTGCCTAAAGTGAGGCAGTGGGTGAATAGGTCGAACGTCTCGGAGCTTGGCTGATGGATGGTGACGATCACGGTGGCGTTCTGCTTTTGGGCGAGCGTGACGAGACAGGTAATCATGGCGTTGGCAGCGACAGAGTCAAGCCCGGACGATGGCTCATCTTTTAATTAATTAAATTGGTATTTAGTAATTAATTTAAGTGAAGGAGCTAATTCGGTAATTAATGGGCATACTCACTACCGCGAATTAATATTTTCATTGAAATAAAAATCCGTCGGAATTCGAAAAAATATAGATGAAAAGGCCTTAAATTTTTCGAAATTTTTGTTTTTCTTATGCATAAATAAACCTGTCAGATTTTTTTCTCTCGAATTTTTTAAGAAGTTTGGCATGCTCAATAAACTTGCAAAATTTGACTTGAGTACGCCCAAAATATTCCAAAATTCTTGTTTTTACTCACCTAAATACAAAATCCCATTTCTCAACCCGATAACTTGTGAGGCGACCGAGACCCGACGAATCTGTCCCCCGGAGCATCCTTTCCTCAAAGGGCCTCCAATCACCGTCCTTTTGACCGACTCCAATCCAAATTCTTGCAGCAAATCGTCCACAATTTCTTTCTTTTTTGATAACGTCGTATCACTCGGGAGATTAAAGTGTGCCGAATACATCAAACTTTCATACACAGTGAGGGACGTGAGTAAGGCGTCATCTTGCTCACAATAGCGGGAAGCTTGTTTCATTTTAATTTCCGTGCCGCCATTAATAGTGACCTGGCCGGAGGTCAAGGTGGGTGAAATGCGACCCGCGAGAACGTCCAGAAATGACGATTTTCCCGAACCAGACGCCCCAATTACGGCCGTAACGGATCCCGGGGACAGGATGCCGTTCAGATTTTTTAAGATTTTCACATTATTTACGGAATAGGACAGATTTGTCCAGGATAACGTGTATCCAGAGGCTGCTGGAGGGTTAGGGATGGATAGTCTGAATCCATTTTGTGCCATTTTAGCAAAGATGTGAGGAAACTAGGAGAGTGTGTTAATTTATTTTATGATGTATCTATGTACCTATGTAGGTTGTGATTGTCTGGCTGGAAGAGTGAGACTGACCGGTTTTTATGTTGGCTGGGTTGAGATAAACTTGATACGAGAAATGTGGGATATTTTACAAAGTTACGCTGCAAATTGCATAATAAGGTATTACATACCTAGTAAACAGAACTGACCATACCTGTACATACATAAATATGTAAATATCTTAGGTATCTCATGTTTTTCGTATTTTTCCCTATTTACCAGACAAAGTAGCAAAATGCAAACAAACCAGTTCCGAAACTAAGTAAGTATATATGTACGAATTATGTGAAGCTATGCATTTATAAATAGTTCCGAAGTGCACAAAGTACTACTTTTCTCAAATCTTTAACGATGCATCTCCAGTGCGGCATTTGCATATAATGGTTAAGTTATGGAAGTTCGAGAATCATAGAATTTCATATGTATATATGAAAACTTACATATGTAGAGGGTGTCCAGAAAGTTTCTCCCTATGGATTTTCAGCCCGTTTTTTGTTGCTAGTTTTAACATCTTTGAGTTTTGTCGTGCAATTATTTTTCCAATACCATACCAAATGTGAAGCCTTTTCCCATGCACAAAGCATTGAGTATCCTAGCAGTATCCAATGCATGGGATAGATTTAAGTGGAAATGCAAAAATCTGAAAGATGCTAGGATTGCGGAGTGATAAAAAATATTTTAAACCCAAACGCAGTTCAAATAGTTCGAGGACACTCTACCAATCAAAAAAATGCTAACTTATATAAATAATTTGAAGGAAATCGCATAGTTTTCGTATGAAATGTGAACCAGCCTAAATCTCGCTACGCTACATTTTCAGAAGAATGGTAATACTTTAATAACTACTTTTGGGACTAACCCAGGATGAGAAAGGAAGGTTGTCAGACATACAGGGATCAGTATAAAACGTTTTTTAGCCCACGTGATATGAGTTAAACTTCGCAAAACTGGTTCAAGGCATAGATTTTAGACTATTTGGACCCCTGCGGAAGGCGACGATAAGCGCATATTCACAGATAAGAGCTAGATTTAATAGCATTGACAATTCAATTCACAAAATTCGTTATGCAGGAAAACAAATTTAAAGGGTGTGGCATCCATTACAAGGCCGAAACACGACTTTGAAATCCCGGTCCCAGGTTGGTTTCGTAAGGACCACGCATTTTACACCACAGTTTTAAGGCATGAATGGTGGAAATAGTGAAGAAGGCCGGGTTAAGCACACCATATTACGGTAGTTTAAAAAAAGATCGCAGTTTGAATAATTCTATCTCCCTGTTTGTCAGGTAATAAAATTCGTTAGTGGTTGATAGGGAGAAACTTTCTGGACACACTCTATATATCGATCTCTGTCAGGTATTTTCATACGCACATGTACTTACTCTTCATCCATGTAAGTTTGAGCCATGGCTAAATCTATGTAGCTCCATAAGAAACCCCCGTTCTTAACATTGCTCAGTATATATTTAGCATGGCTAAAATTCTAATGGATAAAGGGGTATTCCTTAAAATGAATATCCACGTACACATTTACATATGTACTAACATATTTATACTCCAGAGTCTAATTCTTCTTAGGCATTAGGTAGCCGGCTTATTGCATAATTAATTATATATATATATATTTATTTATTTATGCATGCAGGTCAATCTGCCGTGATACTTACTTACTGTACGCTTGCCAATCATGCATGTACTAGTCGACCTTTTTTCTCTAGAAGGCCTGCATATGTATATTAAAACTTATATTGTATTTGCAACAACAAGGTGGACTACCAATACTCCTAAATATTGGACATAATTACATATATTAATAAGATGATTGTTCTGATATATTTTAGTATTTTTAGCATGGATACATAAAAAATATAATTATCTACTCACAGAAATGCAGTACATATTTAAAAATGCAATGTAGTGATTATATGTGCATATTGTATTATATTCAAAATAATTGTTTGACTAGATTACTCCAATATTCATGTACATATACGCTCCATATTATATTTGGATTAAATACATCTACTATGTTATTATAATCACTAATTTATAGTAAGTAAGCTACTTACATATTCCACCAAATTTTGACCTTCACCTTAACCACTCCATGTATATAGTAAACATTAATTTTCAAAAATTATGTTTAATTGTAAATCGACAAATTACCCGATTACGTCAGTTTTATTCTTTGCAAATAATAGCCGAAGAGTGAAATCTGTCACCCTTGACACAAAATTGAGAAAGTAATTTAGCTGAATTCCATTCCTGAGGGTATCCACGGATCCAATGATTTCCAAATTTATCCAATTGGGCAGCAGCGATGTCACCAATTTTCGCCTATATTTATTCGTACCACATTCATATTTCTGCATCCTGTGAATATACTGCTTCGACCCAGATGACCCCGAGCTGATAAAGTATACCACAAACCATTCCGCCCCAAATGCGGCTATGATGAGTGTGCATGCCCCAAAAATTATTAATAATGACAAAGGCTCTTTGGCCATGATATGCCGCAATAAGAAACAGATTATCAAGCTGGAGTAGACGACGAAGGCAGCATGATGAATACACGTCTGAATAAAATCTCGTGCCATTTCGGAATGAATTATGCACAAGACGCGCAGGCTTTTGTATATTTGAATCCCTTTCCCGAAAGTCATATTGCCCCGAAGTTGTTTCCCGCCATTTGGCGGGTTTAGAAATTTTGTCCAACCAGATAAGCAAAGTATGCCAATGCCCGTTATCAAGAGACCCATCCCCAGGCCGGCGAAGAGAATAAGGGACCCAATCCATGATAATGTGCCGACAATAAGTCGTCCCGTATAGGGAACAATACTATTTTTACGGGGAAAAATGAGACGCCAGATTTGCGTGAGTTCAGAGAATATGGGATTTGAGGAGGAAAAGCTGGCAAATAAACTGAATAAAGGCATCATGTAATTAATCCAGAATAAATATGCTTGAGCAAAAGTAGTTCCTTCCAAAACAACTTTTACAAGGTCACTCTCCATGGAGTAGTCGGCCGAATAAATGTTGTCTAGAAATGTACATGGAAATGCACGGAATTTATTAAATTAAAGTACATAATTAAGAACTTTTATGTATGTATTAAGTCCAGTTCGCAGTCAACGAGCCATGGCTACACTCTAATCTAAAAATCCAGTATTAAAATCAAGCATACCAAGCGGCATTCATATCTACATACATACATGACTCTACCAAAATTGTATTGATAAGTAAAAAAAAACGTTCGGGTCGGTTTCGGTCCTTATATTTCTGCTCTCGGTTCCTAACCGGTTCGAAACCGGATCGTTGAGACCACGGGGACCCCGTGAAAAGCGTGATTTAACTATGGGCTCGTTGACTGTGAAACGGGGTTCAAGTTTGTACCCGACAAGCTTTTATCCAAGGTGATCGTAGCTTCGAATATTTTGACAAACTTTGACGCCCCAGAATACTTCATGAAAACCCATGAATATGGAACGAAGGACCAGATAAAAATGGTGAATGCACATGCAAACTCCGTTTCGAGTGGACCGTGTTCAGAATCAGAGGATGTAAAAATCTGTAAAGTTCGAAACAGGGACACGGGTAGAATTGGAAACGTGTAAGTGAAGTAGATGATTTGAAATAGGCGGTATTTTCGCCCATTTCGCAGCGGGATGGCGCACCCCCTCTTTTCATCCCACTCGAAGCAGTACGCTTTATAAAACGAATTTCTTTGCAGTAGGTGCACCTGGCAACGAAATTGGTGGATGGCCAGGTTTTCGAACATTATGGAGCAACTGTCGCACAGTGACTGGTGTTGGAGATACTTTTGTACGTATTTTTTAAGGCAGAGTACTTTTAGCATATTGTGGTGACTTATTAGATTTGATTTAATTTTAGACCAGTAACTTATTTCTTAATGAATAAATTAATCGAATTACTTAGAAAACTAAAATTTTGAAGTTTGGTAAACAAGTTAATAATGGTACAAATATAAACTGAGCCGAAACAAGCTCATGACCAACTCAATATCAAGGTTGGCTTGGCTAAGATATTTTATTGCAGAGAAACAAGATACAAAATAAATATTTTGAACGAAGCCCCGGATTTAATTGGGGGTGGGGATGAAATTATGAACACTGGTCGTGGGGGGAGGGGCTCGAAAAATTTGATTTTGTAATGCTATAAAAACTCGATTTTGTTTTGGCACACGTACATAAGAATCGCATGGGACAAGTTTGAAAAATCGTTTTTAAAAAAATATGAAACTTGGAAAAAAATCCAAATAGTTTCGGGGGTGGCCAATATATGTACTTTTATTCAGAGATAGAAATATCATTTACTTAATTGTAGTTAACGTATATGTTATCCATATACAATAATGTGACCGTATATGCATACAAATAACTACATACATAATTACATACATAATTGAGCGGATATTTATATAATTAAAAAGTAACACTGTGAATCATGATCCACTAAAAAACGACACCATTCAAAATGTTTTGCTACACATCACCAATAAAGAAAGGAATGCGCTTATGCAGAAGAGCCCAGTGTTTCGTTTCTTATGTCATAACTTTCTTGCACTGCAAAGCAAGAAATGCAAGGTGCAAGAAACTGAAACGAAGTGAATGAAAGTGCAAGAACCATGCGCCTTGCATTTCTTGCAGGTCAAAATAGCTGCAAGAAACCACTTTCTTGTAAGTGGTTAACTTGCATCCGGAACACTGGAAAAGTCGTTGGCCAAGTACTGTTTTACTGACTGGGGCAATATTTTTTATGCATTTGTCAATCGATATGATGTTGGATTACACTCTTAAAACCCGGTGTTAATATGTAGTCAACGAACCGTGTGCATGGGGAACTTCACCAAATGGTGATAATGTTGCCCAGGGCATGGTGATAAATCTGGTCATAATGGTTACACATTGTTACTGGCTGGTAATTATTGTTTTTAACACCATTAGGTGAGAAATATTATCATCATTTGGTGAAGTTCCCTATGCACACCGTTCGTTGACTACACATTAATACCGGGTTTTTAAGAGTGTAAAATATGTTAATTTTTTAAAAACATGCTGACGTTCACGAGCTACTTTTTTAGGAGGGGGAGGAAGAGGTCAATAAAAGCGGAGATATTTCGACCCCGAGATCTCATTTCGTTCTTCCCCTGCAAAGTCCAATCTTTAAAGTTTGTCTGGTTCCGAGCTGAGATTTTGTCCAGCTTTTATTTTCTGAGGGGGGTGATATGACGTGGTTCGGCATAATGCTGTGTCTGCTGGGACTGTCGTCGTGTCAGGCTGCTGTTGCTCGTCACAGGAGAAGAAGTGACGAAAGGGTGGGACAATTTTTCCCCAGAAATCCACGGGTAAGTAAAATAACAGCGGTGCAAAAATATTAATGTGAAAATTTAAAAATTTAAACTTTTTTAAGTGTAAAAATGGACTGTACAGAAAAATCGTATTTTTTTTGTAATTTTTTTTTTATATTTTCCAACATGTCAAAAATTTATGGATATATTTATATCAATTTTTAGAAACACACGGTAAAGCACGACACTAAATGTGACACTTTTTCTGTAGAAATTGCATGCATTTCTAACAAGAATTTTTACCGTAAATATCTAATCAACTTTCTTTGTATAATTTCTAACATGTCAAAAACTTCTGGACATTGTTCCATCATTTAAAGAAATGTAAAATTTTGTGTAAAACACGAAATTAAATGTGCCACTTTGAATATTCTGACAATAATTTTGTGTTTTTTTAAACAGGAAACGGTTTCGGACTGGTTGTCGTATTTGGCTGTCTCAGCTTCCCCAAAAAGAGTCGATTTCAGCAAGAATTACGTGTCTCACCCCTCACTCCAGCTTCTGAAGGACTTGTACCCCACGTCTCATCTTTCTCAATCTGCCCCTTCCCACGATTATGATTACAATGGGGACAACTTCCCTTACCCAAAATCTCCATACGTGACGGACCTCCCCAGCGCGGCTGCTGTTTACAACACTATGTAATTTTTTTACATTGTTAAATAAGCTTTAAAGAAAATATTTCCCGATTTTTATTCAAGTTTCACTTAATTTTTTGTAACTTTTACTCAATTTCATGCAGTGCTGATTGTTTGCATAAACTTAAACTTGGTGTAAGTTATAGAATAAGAAAAATCATGCAAATTTGATATACCCACGTAAGTAATTTGTCATCATTAAATTTCAGGCTGTCGACCAATTTGATGCATTTCCAAAGATTGGAGATTACCAGGAATCTGAGTAAGCCTAAAATTTGTCGACCTTTTACTGAGATTAAAAATGTGTTTGTTATTGTAGATTAAATAATGAAAAAATTGCTACTTATGCCGGACCCACTTTGGTAAGTGATTTGGTACCACATTTCGACAGCGTGTCTTAATTTCCTCTAAATTGATTTCGCCTGTATATATTTAGCGTAAAGAAGGTGAAAAACGCGACCAAATTCGAACCGGTGAGTATAAAACCGGTACCGGTGCTTCTGATAAGGTGAAGAGCCGTGCTGGGCAGGCATGGGATGGAATTAAGTAAGTGTTTTTAAGTCATAATTTAATCCTAATTTTTGTCACCTTTTATTAACGATTACTTATCGTCAAAATCGTCAAAATCCCCCCATTTTAAATCATTTCTCGGCCCCGATGTTATCTTAAAATTCTGGATGACAAATTTATAGTCAGCGAGTTGATTGATAAATGGCCATGATAAAATGATAAAATTCCGGAAACTTACTTACAATGGAACCTTTTTTCAAGCTACACGAGATAAGCTTCGTGACATATGCTAAAAAATCAAGCTAAAAATAAGAAATGACGTGGTACTTATCTTTCCGTTGAATGGGCACTTTGAGGTCAAATATTTGAGGGCAAAGTTCACAGTAGCGGCCTGTTTTTTCTCAAGCGGGCGAGCGGAGGAGTGAAAATTTTCTCCTTCGAGGTCACTCCGCTCCCTTCACTGTCGCGCTAGTTTCGTTACTAGTATGCATTTCCAAAAATATACAACGAAATGTGGCAATAAAAATAAGTCAACTTTAAGGATTATGATTTCTAATTAATTAATACACTAATTAAATAATTAGACGCAGTTATAATTTTTAGTAGTCATCTCTGCGAGGATAATATTCGATTTATAATTTTAATTTATAATATAAATAATAATAACTTATTGAACCTATCGGCACTTTTTTATTACGGATCGGTGGTAGGATTTTAAAAAGAAAATATAAAATTAGATGAATGTATACACCAATTTACGAGATTGTGAAATTTTGTCAAAAATAATATGCATTGAATGAAGTGCGAGCGTGCGAGAGTGACCTCGAAGGAGAAAATTTTCACTCCTCCGCTCACCCGCTTGAGAAAAAAACCTGCCGCTACTGTGACCTTTGCCCTCAAATATTTGACCTCCAAGTGCCCATTCAACGGAAAGATAAGTACCACGTCATTTCTAATTTTTAGCTTGATTTTTTAGCATATGTCACTAAGCTTATCTCGTGTAGCTTGAAAAAAGGTTCCATTGTTAGTGGGGGGAAGCAGTGGGACGGGGGGCATCGTCTCCCAAGAAGTTCAGCAAAATTTTATCTTGCCTATAATAAGTCCCTCTTCCTCCTCCTGTCCCACAATCCCCAGCTTCCTCCACCACTGGGAAACTACGACACACCCAAATATTCCATTATGGCAACATTTATAGCGATAATAACTTTAATTACTTGACAGGGGACGAGTTCTTATACCGGGCGTTAGTGAGGTCGTTGTAAGTTTATTTGTCGTTGTAAATTTTTTAAAGAAATGTTTATCCAAGGTGTGAATTTTGTCTCTAGAATGTCGTATCATCAAAACCAGGAATTGTTGAAGGTGCTTTTGCCCCTCAATTTGTTGAGGCGAAGCCGGGGGAGCTGACTGTTCAGGGTATGAACAATTATAAAATTAGGAAACACACCCAAATATTTCATGTCTGGATTGAAAATGAAGATTGATTTGTTAAATTGCTTAAATCACGTATTTAATTTAATTTTTACAGGAGTTCAGAGCATAACGCAGTTTCAGGGATAGTAGTGTAAGTATTTTATCCCAGTTTTTTTTACTACGTGGCGCAATGTTAATTCGTGGTCTTGGCTACACTTCCGCAGGGCAAGGCAAGGGCTTCATCCTTAACGCAAGAGATCTGTAAGTTTTTTATTTACTGACATGGTGTCGATTTGAATAATTGTTTGGTATGCTCAAAGTAGTGAGAAGTATTTTTATTAATGTATGTAGGAGTCCTTTTCTTCCAACTATGATGACCTCGACAAGTCCTTCGACCATCCAAAAATTGACGGACACCGCATAAATCAAGTCTTTTTAAGTTTTTAAGTTAATTTTAACATTTTTGGAAAATTAAATCGGTAAAATTCTTTTGCTTTACACTTTTTCAATGTACTCGTATGTTGCCAAGTTTTTAAATGTTAGGATTACAAGGATAAAACATACCTGTCACCACTGGGCAGGAAAATCAAATTAATTTTAACCGTAAATATTTCAAATCACTGAGATTACCATGAAAATAAAATTCGCAATGCTTGGATAATTTTTTCATTTAATTTTGCAGATGCCTACTTTACATATTCCATCATGTTGATAAATATGTATGATAAAATAACGCAAATGTAATTCAAGGGTTACATAGAAACCTGTACTTTTTTATGGCTGACAATGTAATTTAGATAGTTCCTTAGGGAAATTTATGTGCGAAAACTATTCCACTTTCAAACATATACATAAATTTAATCTCCATTTGAGAATATTTATTGTTGTGGCAAGATCCAAAGTACGGTATTTTCAAGTCAATATCAATAATTCAAGGGCAGATTTTACACTGGACTCATTAATAATTAAAGAACTCTATTAATAATATAATCATGAATTTACATGAAGAATACACAAGTCATACGAAAATACAGGTTTTATAAAGAAATTAACATTTTCGCTCTGTCAAAACACTATTTTTAGAAACTCCTCTAAAATAAAGTGTTCTGACAGTTATAAAATACTACTTTCTTCACAAAACGAATATTTTCATATTCTCGACGTAGATTTTCGTCTTTTTGTCACTCCTGGAAATCCGAATTCTGGGAAGCAAGGAGAGAAAGATGTTATATTTTAACGAAGTAGATATTTTTGGCCATCCCTGCTCTGTATACGTACATGTAATTATTGATTGTCATGCAACAGAAAGATAAATCCCATGTGATTCTTAATTTTTGGCTTGATTTTTTTTATATAACTCGTTACGTTACACAATCTATATGTAGGTTGACAAAAGGTTCAATTCCATCATGGTGAGAATAATATATAGGTAAGTTGATTTACCTCATTATTTAACGTACACATATGTATGTCCTATGTGCGTTACGTACATATATTTAGACCGTTTTCCTCTAAACAAATACTTGCATAAATAAATATATCTCATGTCAAAACCAGAAAAAACAAACAACTTCAGGTACCAAGTCTCCATAATTATATAAGTTTGTCAAGGAAAGAGTGGAATATTATTAATTCGACGAGAATGAATACATACATATTTATATGTATATATGTATATATACATACATATATGTAGTTTTGCATTTTTGCAATTGACAGTGGGAACCTGATGCAATCAAGTTTCTAATGCAAAACTATATTCATAACGAAGGGCGACGAAAGCCTCAAACGTATTTTAACTATACTCTTAGAAAACTGGTATAGTTGGGCAGTTATTTTCTTTCTAGGTTTCTAAATGGCTACCGATTGGTATTAAAATTATACGGGCTCTTACAAATTTGCTACCGATATGGTAAAACTTTAATACCCAACTACACGGTACTACTTACCCATACAACATTAGTAGAGCCATATATGAATACCGCTTGGTATCAATTTAATGCTGAATTTCTAAGAGTGTACGTGTCTCTCTTATTTCGGTATATGTATGTACATACAATACATTGCATTTCCTCGTTGTTTGTTTCCTTGAAAGAACTTCAAGACACTTTGGACACAATCCTTACTTAGAATCCAGTCAGAACATGTTGAACTTTAAACTCAGCAACCCAGTTTTGCAGCACATGTACATGGTTAATTACATCTTAGTAAGTACATAAACAGGATGAAATTATGAATTTTACCAGTATTTGATTTTTTGCAACTTTTCCACATTTTTTAACTGAACTGCAAGAGAGATACTGCAACTTTGGTACAATCTACGCCAAGGGGGTTGTCCGTTAGATATCGCTTATTTCTTGCATTTCTTTCTATTGTTCAAGAAACTAATTATGTCTACACGAATTTAAAATGATTTTTTTTCTGAAAAACTCTGACTGTTACAATTTTGTGTAATACTTTCAGGACTATGTTGGCCCTTGGCAGCTATGAATGTTCACTATCGATGGTTTTGCAAATATTTAAATCCTATCGCCATTCCGATGGAGGGGATGAGACGAGTGTGGAATAGTGGCTGGGGTTTGGATAACAGAGCTATATGGACCGCTTTAGTAACGCCGATTTTCTGGCTGTTGGTCTTATCGGTGGCAGGTTACTTAATTAACAGACGACAAGGAAACAAATAAAACTATAATTGTTTAAGAATTAATTAGCGTGATAAACCGCCTTCATACTTAATTAGATACGTAACTCACAATGATTCCATTGTTATAGTAACTTACATACAAGATGATTACACGAGCTTATAAGCCACGTCAAAAATTCTCATACTTGAAGGCTTGAAAACGATATTTAATTTCAAATTATCTTTTCTACATCTTTCATTAGAATTTTAAGAACAATGTATTATGTATTGAAATAATGTAAAATTGGAGTTGAAAAATTAACTATGAATTTGGATCAATCGCAAAATATTTAATTAATTAGTCGGACGTTACACACACATTCCAATTGAAAGAATCGGGTATACTAGTGGTTTCCAAGCTTGCTCTCATTCGTTCCGCAGATTCCTCGTCCTGAATTTATTTACGTGAAAATATTACGGAAAAGTAAGAAACTTACATATGCAAATTGATAAGCGTAAAAGCACATACCTTTACCTTTACCTCTACTTTCACAGTTTTTAATCCCCTATTGTGAAGAATGATATGTTGAACGGCAATAGCAGATATTATGGAGAAATCGTAGCTTTCGATCACGAAGCGGACATTTTTTACGCCTAAAAAAATACGCCATAACTACTTTTTAGAGACAAATTTTTCACCATGATTATTAAACCTCGTCGTACCTTTCCAAAAAGACAGACTTTTAAGGACTCGAACTACCGAGGCGCACTTCTCAAAATACACGACAACGCTGGACTCTTTTAGATTCCACTTCTGGAAAGGTCCCATCTTCGTTTTGACTTTCTCCGAGTTCACGTCGCCCAGAATTTGCACCATGAACTCGAGTTTCTTAACGGAGGGGAATAATTGGACAATTTTTTGCCCGAAGTCGATTTCGCCCTCCATAAAATCCTGACCAAGTTCCAAGGCGAGGGACTGAACTCCTCGGTGTCGCTGCCACACATTTAGAAAGCTTGACAACTCCGTCGCACCGCATTCATAGTTGCCGAACACGAGATTTTTCAAGTTTGGGAGGTGTGCCTCATCAAAAAAGTTTTGAATTTGGTACGCCATTAAGAAATTGATGGTGACGGAGGTAAGTTTAGATAACACGGGAACGTCCAGATTCATGTCCTGGAAGTGTGGAAAAATTAAATTGCATGCAGATTATTTACCACGTTATTTTATGCATATATTTAATTTCTACCTGAGACACGGACTCAAATGGACCGTCAAAGTCCAACTCCAATTCGATCAAGGAATCCTTCACTTGCTCCAGCATCTTGATCACAGCACCCAACTTAAAATCAGGGCAAGTTGCATGAGCACAATTTACATAGCCAAATATGAACTGTATGAAGTAAAATTTCAAAAATTTTAGATTTTGGCATCCCTCCAAATTCGGGTAGAACGTGGCATTGACGAACAAATGGGTCAAATTTGGTGCAGAGTCGATCAAAACTTGCAGGGCGGTTTGCACTCCGTTAGTTCGGCCGGTGTCGTGCGAAATGTCGAAATGGAGTGAGGTCAAACTAGTTTGAACAGGGAGTTTTCGACAAGCTTGAATTTGACGTTCATCAAAACACTCGTTCGCATTTGTTTCATGCATGTAGATTAAAATGGCCCGGATTTTTGTGGATTTCAGCATTGTCATCCCGTCGAGAAAGGCGCGGATAAATTTCCTCTGTCTCGCGTAAAACTTGATTTCCCCAGTAAATTCAGGCAAAATGGTGAAGCCCTTGGCGATGACGGCAGCTGTCTTTTTTAAATGAATTGAGGCATCGAATTCACTTGAGATGATGACGTTCCGCATGAGTTTGGGGTGTATGGGGGCGATGAGGTGTAAATCTGAGGTGTGGTAGCAGAAAATGGGGGTGACATGGAGACAAGACTGTTTTCCTAAGACAGTGGTCCCAAGTTCGTTCCAATCACGGCAGACGAGACGAGTCGTCTTCAAGTCGGGGACGTCGAGATGGCCGAAAATAGCTTCAAGAACCTGATAGAAATGGTGCGAAAATTCGACATGAAATGGTGAACATAAAAATGATGAGGAATTACAAATTAAATATGTACGTACGATCGGATTCAGTAAGGCAGTCGACATTGCGACATTTTCAGACGTCTCAACTTCCATGCCTGCAATTAATGCGTAATTAAATTAAAACCCCGTAAAGCCTTGAACAATTTGTGATTTGTTACGAATTAATTAATAACAATAAAATATTTACCTAAAGTTGGAGAATTCGAAGGCGATAACGCCTCGGAATTCAAAACCAAATCCATCCTGAGCACTTGTCCTGGTCGAATTTATAGTCTAGTTTCTGATTCTTATGCTAAAAATTGTATCCACCTGTAGCATTGATAATTGCGAAAATACTAAATATACAGTGGACTGTCCACTGTGGACAGTTACCAATTCGGCTCAAATCAAATCAAATATCAATATCAATATTTACTTAATTAGAGTCACCCAGCGTGTAGAGACTTAACCAATGCAAGAAACAATTGTTAATATTAAATAACAGATAAAGATGACTTACCGTTCTTATAAAAATATTTGCAATTTTGAATTTCAAATTTGTGACGATAAAAAAATATTGTTGGATAAAAAAGTAATGTTGTAGTGCCCACCATCTACCATCTACCCTATGCTACCGTACAGCAACTACTTTTTTATCATCTATCTTTGTTTCATCATCTACATTTTTTTCATCATCTACCTTTTTTTCATCATCTACCTTTCTAAAAATCTAAAATTCCCCAGAAATGTTAAAGTGCCCCAAATCTCCGGTATTTATAAATCCACCCCCACAATTTTTATGGGGCAACGTGAGATTTTATTTCATATTGGGGTATCGTTCGTTTTTTAGCGAGCGAAGCGAGCAGGTTAGGTTAGATCTACTAGGTACGGGAAAAGTGTGAAATGCTTAGCTAGCTAGCACAGGTACCTAGCCCAGCTACCTAGGTTGTATCTATCCTAGCTAGCTAGGTTGTAACTAGCCTAGCTAGTTAGGTTGGCTAACTAAACATTTCACACTTTTACTTTTAACTTTAGGGGAATATTATTATGGAATTCACTACCTAATGACATTAAGGATGAACTGAGTTATGTTACGTTCAAAAATAAGTTAAGGACCTATTTATTGATGAAATAAGTTAAGGTATTTATTGATGAAATAATTTAATCAACTCGAACTATTATTTGTAAAACAATATATTTATGTTAAATCAAGATGAGCTTGATATTGTTTAAGCGACGTAGATGATCAAGATATTTCCTACTAGATAGGGTTTGATCATTTTTGTAAATTATTTGACAAAATTTGTGTGCTGAAATAAATCTATTATTATTACTTTTCCCGTACCTAGTAGATCTAACCTAACCTAACCTGCTCGCTTCGCTCGCTAAAAAACGAACGATGCCCCAATATGAAATAAAATATCACGTTGCCCCAATGTATCTCACGTTGCCCCATAAAAATTGTGGGGGTGGATTTGGGGCACTTTAACATTTTTGGGGAATTTGAGATTTTTAGAAAGTTAGATGATGAAAAAAAGGTAGATGATAAAAAAGTAGATGATGTACGGTAGCATTGGGTAGATGGTAGATGACGGGCGGTACAACATGAAAAAGAAATAGAGTTCAGCGGAAAGCTAAATTAGTCGCAGTTTATAGTCTCATTCATTTTTGTCAAGCACGTGGAATTCAATTACTGACTACTGTCATTTTTCACTCGCTTCTGAACAAAGTTTATTTATTTTGTGTTCGGTTCTGAAACTTTATCAGTCGTAAAAAATTAATTTTGAATTTCTTGGCCATGTCAACTCCACGAGTTTGTTTGTTTTGTCGTAAAATTGGGTGTCATTTAGGGTGCAAGTGCAGCTCGATTTACGTTCCGGCATTTCTAACTTATCTGAAGACTATCAATGTTAATGATGGACAATAGTTTTCTTCGTGAGGATTTCCATTGCTGCCAGGAATGTGGCACTCGGTTTGAAAAGATTGATAGGCTTGTGCAAAAATTGGGACGAAAACTGCTTAAGATTTACACCGTCACGTTCAAAAATCTCGATACAAACGAGGTTATCGATGGGGACGATGTTCTCGGAAAGTTGCGAAGACAGATTGTCACTCGTAAGACGTAAAAAAATGAGAAATTAATTTTAAATGGCTTATATTTTCATGGATTTCTAAAATTATTAGATTTTGACCGTTCGCCAGCTTTCGGTGAAGATTTAATCTGTGGAACGCATCCACCACAACTCCAAGGCTCGGGTAAGTGTAGCTTATTTTATTAAATTTAATACAATAATCTGAAACCGGAAATCAGGCAGAAGCTTGCAGGATTCACACAAATTCATTAATATAACCAATCAATGTATAAACTGCGAAACAACTTATGTTCAAAATTCAAAACCACAGATTAAAGATAATGTATATTGTATTTGTTGCGTAGTTTGGTTACGTGATTTTGATAAGCTTACCGGGTTATTTCTGTAGAAAGTGAATTCAAAGTTGAACTCGACCAGGGAATAAGTGGAATCGGCGTGTACGACGTTTTGCCCCCTATTGACCAAGAGATAAGCGATGTTCGGTTGCTTCAAAGTGACCACGCAGACGATCCTCTCACCCAAAAGGTACCTCCGACAATGACGACAACGCCTCCGTCGCCGAAAGGATCGGGCCGAATTTCACCAAAACAACCAGCAACAAAACAACGACAGGTAAAAAATAGAAAGCTGAAAGTTTATTAAAATTAAAATTTTCTTCGGAAGCAATTAGTAACATTTCTTGGACTAAAATTATATATGATTAATTTGCAAAATAAATTATTGCAGCAGTACATGTACTTTAGTCTTAACTATTAGCGGTGTAGCTGTTAGCTTATCAATATTTTTCCCAGGGCTCTAAACCTTCTTCTATGACACCCCACCCGATGGCGAAGTTGCTCTGCCCCCAATGCGGAAAGGAGTATGCTAATAGTGACTCTTTGAGAGTGCACCGACGCCTCCACAGTGCCAACCCGAAGCCATGCAAATGTTACGAATGCGGCAAAGCTTTTAGTACAAAATCAATTCTGCGCACCCACATAGAGGTGATTCACCTGATGATCAAGAAGGTCAAGAACATCCCCTGCCCTCAGTGTCGTAAGATGTTTTGCAGAAAATCTGGCATGTTGGAGCACCTGAACAACGTTCATCGCAAAAGCTTGCATCCCTGCTCCCATTGCGATAAGTCGTTCTGGAACGAATCAAGTCTCCGGAAACATTGGAAGCAAATTTATTCAGATGTCGGAGGTGAAATGGGGTTAGAGGGAGCTGCAATCAAAATTCCTAAAGCTGGTGACGATGATGTCAACGTAGTGATGGACGTGGAGGAAGGTGAATTCAAAATTGAAATCAATCCGTACGACGTTTTACCTCCTATCGACGAAGAGACGGGCGATGATCTGTTGCTTCAAAGTGATAACGAAGGCGATCCTGTCACTGAGGAAGCACCATCATCAACACCCTCGCCGCCCCAAAGATCGGGACTAATTTCACTGAAAAATCAGACAGCAGGAATACAACGAAGGGTAAATAAGTTAATTAAAACTGCTAAATAATTGGTCCATGGTCCATTGATGCACCATCTCGTGACATGGTCTATGGTGTTTTTTCCTGATTTTGATATTTTGATAAACCTGATTTAAACCCGAGGACAAATTTAAAAACTAAAATTATGGCTACAGGCATTACAGATCGACCTGAAAATGGAAGAGGAGGATACTCAACTTACAAACCTGGAGCCACCAACTCTTCAAAATTCTGATTTTAACGTTAGTAAGGGATAGCTAATTGACCTTAAGATTACGGCTACTGTACCGTGTAAATGTTATCTTGTCAATATTTTCTCCAGGGCTCAGAAACTTCTTCTATGACACCCCACCCTACGGCGAAGCTGCTCTGCTACCAGTGCGGAAAGGAGTACGCTAATAGTAAATCTTTAAGAGTGCACCAACGCCTTCACGGCGCCAACCCGAAGCCATTCCAATGTGACGAATGTGATAAAGCTTTTAGTCAAAAACCGGATCTGACCAAAAATGGGGTCCACCGGGGAATGAAGAACTTCACGTGCGCCGAGTGCTTTAAGAAGTTCGACCGAAAGGGTGGCATGTTAGAACACCTGAAGAGCGTTCATCTCAACATCAGGCACCCCTGCGATCACTGCCACATATCATTCATGGCGAAATCAAGTCTCCGGAAACATTTAAAAAAAGCTCATCCCTCAGAATTGTTCCATGATCTGGCAAATGACCCCCCACCTCGATTGTAAACAGAACCAATTGGCGTTTCAACTTCTTGATTTTACTGACTGAATATTTACTATTCTTATATACTTATTTTATGTTTTGAATTCTGTATGCAAATTTGTGTTCCAACTTCCAACAATGTTTTTTTATTTGTAAGTGTTTTTTATGTAGATTTTCTATGTATTAGTAAAATTTAGCCAGCCAAATTTTCTAGCAATACAGAATTTCGAAACGAGAAGTACATATGTTTGAAGAATGAGACATTCCACGATAAAATTATAAACATTGCATTATTGTTATATTTTTAAATTATTTGACGGATTATTAAATAAGACCAATGTACTTGAACAAGTTTAAAGTTGCGCATCGTACAGGTTACCGTAGCTAAGCATGTAGATTTAAAGAGGACATCCCAGTGTCACGTTGTGACCTCATGTAAAATGTGGGAGCCGGTAAATCATCCTACGCAATAGATGATGACAGCTGTCTATTACGGGATATCCTGTGTTAATTTGGGTCACATTGACAAGACCACATATTCATTTATGTAATATGTATGTAGTTATTTTTAAGGACGTAATTTTTAAGTCGGGATTTATTTTGATTTATTTCTTCTTGAAATATTCCACTTTATATGATAAATAAATATCAAATTCTGTTTACCTTATATAAGTTTGGTTGCAGAAAATGTGACCGAAGAATAGTATGTCATGCAATTTTGCAAGCTAAGGTTTCATTTTTGCTGCATATTTAGTTTCAAAAATGTGTGTAAAGTGGAATCCATCGCAGTGGAATATTTACTACATATTTGCTTTAACCATGTAATAATGAATGTACAACTATGCAGCATAACGCATAACTTCTGGTCAGTTCTGGTGACTTGGGAAGTTACTTTTTGGACAAGAACAATTTTGCAAATCTTGCTTGTGAATGTAGATGCATGCCAAATTTGCAACAACTTCTGCCACAACGTAGATACATACATATACATATTTACATAGATTTCACAAAAATTGGCATAACCATTTTTGTTCCATGGGTTTAATAGTCATGTCCTGAAATATATATTTGAAGCCATACATACGCAATACACTACTGCTCAACATCCAGTCCTACGGTAATGCTTGGCATGGTTATCCCTTCATTTTAGTCGGACACATTGAAACTCGAGACATGATAAAAATATCATCGTTAATCCAAAAACAACAGATCCATGAGACAAATAATTAATCCTTGCCAGCTAAATTGGTCCGTTTATGTATGTTTCTACAACTGTGGAACAGGGTTCGACAGAATCGCAAAGTATTTAATTATTTCGCCTATGTATGTATATTAACCGGTTCCAATTTGGTAGTGTATGTATGATATAACTGGACTGTGATTTCGTAATTTTCGAAAAACAAACTAACAAAAATAGGTATGTATGTGTGCATGTAAATCATTTTAGAAATAAACATTTTGGATGATGAAATCGAAATTCTGGGAACCCTGCACCGAGATGATTCTGTTGATGGAACAAAGTATTGGTTTAATTGAAGTAACCTTTCGGACTAGAAATTTATGTAGCCAGATCATTTTGGTCGTTGAAGAAGCCAAGTCAAAAATTTTGTATCGGGTGTCATTACGTATCTTTCGCTGGAAAATTTCAAAGTTTTAGTGTTGCTAAAAAAATCGGTGTAATAATGCGTCCCCAACTTAACATATCGATACTATTGCTGGGATTATTCCTAATGGCATCCTGGTATAAAATTTAAGTTTTTTTGCAGCAAAATTAATTTTGAAATACAATTTAAATCCGAACTTAATTATTTAATTATTCACACCTTATTCAGCAATGGACTAACACATTTCGAAGCGAAACAGCTCCTGGATAAGGCTGGTATATACACTCTAAATAAATATGTGTAAAATTTACTCAAGGCTGAGTAAAACAAAGAGAATGACAATAATTGGGCAAAAATTATCCAACACTCTTAAAAATAATGTTGCCCTTTTGAAAAATAAATAAATTCACTCTTAATTTTATATTAAGCAAGCTGTACTAGATCCAGAGTAAATTTTACTCTTTATCAAGTTAGCTACTCTAGATTTACATATGTATCTAGTTTACATAATTCAGAGTGAATTTTTTTTTCAGAAGGGTAAAACTATTTTTAAGAGTGAACGGTTAAATAGATAAATTTTACGCCACGTTGGATAAATTTGTATTGTTATTTTTCTTTACTCAACCTTGAGTAAATTTTACACAAATTTATTTAGAGTGCAATGTTAATGTTAGACTTAGAATTTATCATGCAAAAAAGTTTTCCTGGATTTTTAATATTTTGACAGGAATAAGAATTCAGAGCACGACAAGTTGCAGCAATCGGGCTAACAAGTTGTGCACATCGTTGGACGGTGTGCGCCAGGAAACGATCGACTTCCTTATAAATTTCCGAAAAACGACGCCACGATGCAGAATCATTGTTAGTGGAGGGACAGAGGTGAATAATACAATTAATTAATTAAAAATTTTCCTGTAAAGAAATCCAGAAAGTTACATTATTTTTTTGGAAATTTGATTTCCCAGGTTGGCCATGGTGACCAAGACGGCGTAGATACCCATGAAGGTGGATACAAATTGGACCTGAAATTGGGCTGGTGTATCAACAGATTCATAAAAATTGGGGCGAAAACGGATGAAAATCCGAATTTTCGATTTGTTGAAAATGTCGAACAAACTTATCCCAGCAACAAGAAGAAGTACAACGCACCGCTGTATCGTCACAAATCGGGGGCCTATTTTCTGAAACAGTACAACCAGTGGGATGTGCTGTATCCGCAGAATCCTGTGCCGAACTGGGAATAGGAGAGTTTGAAAGATGTTTTTTAATGATGATGTATTCTTGTATTTATTTAATTCGTAGACCTTAACTCATTTATAAATGAAAAATAGGATATATGCATATGTATGTGTATATGTTTATGTATTTGTACAAAATATTGTAAAAAAATATGATCTTCCTTAATTAATGGACTTGAATTCAAAGATGCATAAAAGTTTTGAAATGACATCTTACTTTTATTTAAACTGTAAAATATTTACATATTTATCATTAGAAATTTTGATTCAGAACAATTCATCATTCTTGTAAATTAACTACTCTCAATAAAGTCGTATAAATTTCACATTAAATATATGAATATTCTGGAATTTACGGATTTATTTAAAAAATCTCAATTCCTTCATATGATGCTACATATATTTCATGGATAAATTAATTTATGATAGATAAATATATGGCTAATTAGTTACAAATAATTTAATATTAAGTATTGAAATTGGGTGAAAAGTATTTTTGCTACAGATGTCTATGCAGTTCGTGTACATTAGAAATCCTACACACATTTTTGCAGTTATTAAGTATTTTATCGCCAAATTAGTAATTACTCCTCCAATAATTTTGAGAAATATGCAAATCCATATGTATCTAAAAATATGTCTCTGTTTAGGCGTCCCTACGAGATATTTCAGCCCTCAAATCTTTCCCCAAAATCTCCATAAATTCCAACAGCCAGTCCACAAACTTAACACTGGTTTCGAACTCATCCCCACAAATTCCATAGCGTTCCTCCAACCTATCTCTGACCTCTTCTTTACCCAACAAATCTTTACTAATTGGGCCAAATTGACTCATTGCTGACTCCTTGTTTAGCAAAAACGGCTTAAAATCCGCCCTGAACCTGTACCACGCCAAGTTGTCGGGTGTATACAGTAAAATACTTTTAATTATGGCAAACTCATTGCTCGAACTGGGCTGACTTTCCATTATTTCGTCTATGGAATTTTCCCCAATTTGCAACCGGAAACTGCGAATAAGCATAAACACAATTTCCAGCGTGGTCTGCGTCATCGGAATTACTGAGAGTCCACTTAACGCGAACAAAACCAGAATATAGCGTGAAGTTTGGCCCCAGTTGAAAAATGTGTTGGCGAGAAATCCAAATAAATCTGTAGAACTATGCTCGAGACGGACGAGTTCGTAAAAACAGGACAAAATGTCATCATCCACGCCACGCGTGGCGATTCGGGGTAGACTTCCGTCCCGAAGTTGGGACAAAATCTGGTCATCAGTTTTGACCAGTTCGTTCAGAAATGATCTAATTAAGCGACGCCCTATCTCTAGAACGGCGGATTTCCCGGCGACGAATAATTTTTGGGCGAAAGCACCATTTTCTCCGTCGCCATGGCGCCTCTCATCCTGGGAAAATTGTTTGAACGATTTGAAAATAAAATTTGTCACGTACGATTCTGCAATGGATCGGTGCAAAAATTCGGGTTTTGGCGACCCCTGGACCAAACCGATTCTATATATTTCTCTGGATGCGTCATCCTCAGAAATTTGCAAATTTTTTCTCTCCACCCTGTAAATTTCCCAGATTAAGGCGTCCCAGCCGTCGCGTCCAATTTCGAGCATATCGCCCCCCAAGAATTCCAATTCTCGTTCAAACTTCCAGGTAAGACTGGGCCTTAAATCGTCCCAAATCCCGGCATCCTTCAAGCCTAACTTGTTGAAGAAGAAAATCTTGTATTTCGTATCGATAAATTGATCAATCAAGATCCTCAAGCTGTACTGCGAAGGGACCGCTTCGTCGAGATTGATCAGACCGGAGGAAAAATTGCGGGCCGGGGTGGCAAACGCGACGCTGAGCATTTTCATGTGGAGCGGGATTCCTAAAAAGGAATTACTATTGTCGGTAACAAAGGAATTTTGAACTTTCCGCATCAGCGTGGATGAATACGTGGCGAGGCGATCTTTCTCGTCGCGAATTACCCCTTTCCAAATATCGTAGAGGAACTGTTCATATTGGCCCAGGGGGAGTAAATGGTGCGAAACTATGCCCAGGGAAGTCTCCACGAGGAGGTTGTCTCTCGTCCGCGTGGACATGGCGATATTAACGGAGGAATTTATTCGCAACCCTTTCAAAACCCGGGAGACGAGTTGCTTATTGGAATTTGCGAGTTCGTCGAAACCGTCGAGGATTAAGAATATTTTGGACGAATTGTGACCAGTCAGCATCGCTCGGAATGCGATACTCGAGATGGAATCGAGTTTTAAATTTTGCGCTAAAAAGGGTACAATACTGTCCAGTTCGAGATACGTTTCGGGCACGTTGTCCTCATCGAGTCGTTCCAGTAAGGATTTGGCGAGACGGTCGAAACCTGTGAGGTCGCGAAGTTGGATGAAAAATACCCACGCCCAATAATTATTTTGCGAAGTTTGCAAAATATTGGCGCACATGGTCATCATGGTGAAACTTTTACCCATCCCGGGACTGTCGGAGATGCACATTAGAAATCTCTCTGTGCTCCCGCCGTCGGGAAAAATGCCGTTTTCGTGAATGGGTTGTTTTCCTTCTAATTGAATCACTAGAGCTGGCTGTGAATCGATGAAATGCAAAACTAATTCGCAGCTCCCGCCAGTTCCTGGTTTTAGATGGACCGATTTAATATTGGCGGGATCCAGATCGGAACGCTGTGATAGTCCCAAATTTTCTAAAAGGTTATCTTTATCCGGAATTAGCAAACAGTTTATGGACAAGACTTCCTCCCAAGTTTCCGCACCGGGACCGGCGGCAATTTTGAAATTTACTGGCGCATCTTTTCCCCATTTGTGCAGACCCCTCGTGTCAATTGCTGGCGGTAAGATTTCTCTTGTCCGGTACAAATCTGGATTATAGTGCAATTTCCAGTCCAACGAATTTCCCTGGCTTCTACACGCCACCAATTCCACTACCGTTTCTGAATGATTTTTACAATATTGTTGAAAACTTGCGACAGGATCTTCATCGCTCGTCAGAATAAAATATTTCAGATCGTAATTCTGTAAAGAATTTTGCAAAAATTTTGCAAAATCTGGGAAGCCATCCTCCTCGTAAAATAATATGACTCCGGGTAATTCGAACCCTTCCAGGATGACTTTAAAAATTTGAACGGCTTCCTCCATCGAATTAAAGGTACGCTCAGGTTCCACGTAGATGTTGACATTGTCAAAAATCGAGGCTGGAAGAGTACCAATATCCAATTTGGCTCGTTTCTGCAAAACTACATACAATTTGTCGGGATCGTTGAAAAGACATTGCAAAATTTCTTGACAGCCTGACGCAGAATTTAGAAATTCTGATAATTTGACTGGTACGCCTTGCAAATTTATGGATTGGTTCAAAATTTCAGGAAAACTGGAGTCTGCGATGCGTAAATTTGTCCAGTTATTATTATTATTTGTCGTCCCGGTAGGATCGTGTATTATGAAAGTTACTTGGCAGTCAGGAATACTTGGTTTTTGCTCAATTTTATCGCTGAGATGATTAATGCAGTCGACAAATATGAATTTTACTCCGTCCGGTGGAGAGGCTAAATTTGTAAAGTTAACGTCTCCATATTTTAAAATGAGCGTATTTTTACGAGAAAGCCCACCTTTTTCTGTTTCTACTAATACACATATTTTAAGACAAAATAGTTTCAGCAAATTCCTATTTCCGTGTCGATATTCATCCCTCCAAGTAACAGGCTCTTGTCCCTCTTCGAATTCCAAACTAATAAACTTATCCTGTATCGCATCCCTATATCTGTCACTGCACGACCTTATCTGCGCCACAGAAAAGTTTTCCAGTTTCCCACACATCTCGGCAATCCTGCTTAAGGCCAGACCCGCATTTTGTAACATTACGAAATAATTCTGGCTCGGAATTAAGATCGGATTTCTCGTCGGGGACCTTGCCACGATTTCAACCAAGGATTGCAAAATTTCAAGGTTCGGATTTCTCAGGGTGCCTCCATTTCCGCCGAGATAAGTCTGCCAAATATTGACCGTTTTAAGCAGCTCGACCACCTCCTGGGCGCCGGCGCTGAGCGTGTGCAAATTAATTTTGAGGCCTTCCTCCCCACTCGAGGTGCCCACGGGGAGGGCAGATTTCATAAAATCGTCATACTCTTTCGTCGTCTGTGACCATTTCGTGGTAAATAAATGCTTAACTGAGGAACCCAGTAGGCTCAAAATGTTGACATGCTTATCAAGATACACGTGCTTTTTCGTGTCCCAGTTTCTAAACAGGATCAAAATCCATTCTTCCACGCGGACCAAGCGTGGATTCGGGTTGGATATGAGCTCTCTAACAAAGCGAGCCATTGCATGCGTGGTTTTTGTAAAGGTGAAATTTTGCCTGGTTAAAAAACTTGATGGTTTACCACCATTTCCGGTTATGATATCGTCATCCAACGGAAGTAGGAACATGTCTCCGATATGGTTGTTAACTACGTTGACGCCGTTCGGGGTGAACACAAAGTTGGTAATGTCCAGACCGAAATGCGGTTTAGTTTTGAGTTTTAAGACGCGAAATTGTTTGAGGGAGGATAAACCCTGAATGATTTCGAATGCTCCGGGGCTGTCGAATACTTCGCAGTGGGGGTGGAAATTTTCGGAGGGGAAATTATTAGCGGGTAATTCGAAAGTGGTTTCGTTTAGGTGCAAATATTTGAGGGCAAAGGTGCAAATTTGGGCTAACCAGCCGCCCAGAGAGTGTCCAGTGATGGATACTTTGAGAGGAGGGGTGCCACTTCCGGTGGAGAATTTTTGCACGAAATTGAGACCGAAGGTGCAGGCGGAATTGATTTGAGGGGTGAGACGGTTGTTGACCACGCCATCGTAGTCGGCTTGCCAGTCGCCGGGTTCGAATTTGGTTCCTGGGGGGATTTAATGCTTTTTTGGTATAAAATTTAAAAAATGTGGATATTTTTCAAGAGACTAACCTCCATGAGCGATAATAAGTTGCCCGTGCCGTTCTTGATTTTCCTTCCGGTAAAATATTGCACCTCGGTAACCCGTTTTTTCAGACGCTGCACGGCAAAGGAGGACATATTCCAGTAGCCAGAATTGCTGGGAGAGGTCTGGAATTTCAAGATATTATATGATTTGAGATATTTAAGGGTAATCACGTCAATTTTTGAAGTGTAAAAATAAAAAAAAAAATAAACATGAGAAATGCTCGTGCGACGTAACACACTCTTAGAAATCCAGTATTATATGTATTAATACCAGACGGTATTCAGATATGACTCTATCAAAATGGTATTGATAAGTAATATGTACGTCGTAGTACCTAATAACAAATACGTATCCAAGTTGTACCACATTCGTAGCAATTTTTTTCGGATCGGCAGAATTTTAAGAATATTAAAATTCTTGGTACATATTATGTACCAAGCGGTAGCAACTTTAACACCGAGAAATCAATACCAGATCTGTAACCGTGCAGTAATAAAAACTGCAAAAATTTGTCACGACAGATTTTCATGGTAATTTAATTACAACGTGCTAATTTTTTGCAAGTTTATTTGACAGTCAAAGCTATTTATTTATCTTACTATGCGGCAATTTTAATTGACGTGCATACACCTAAATATAACTTACATGTATGTATACGTAATTGGAAAATAAAATTAGTATAATTTCACTATAATTCCACTTACCAACGCCTCCCTTTTCCTTCTCACCATTGACCATGGCTGCCAATCCAGCCAGGTCTCTGGTATTCGGGTGCAATTCCAAATTCAGAAAATCTTGCGTCAACTCGCCAATCTCATGTCGAGACGAAGACTTGAGATCGGCGATAAATTTGGCGTACTCTTCATGATTCACGGTGTAAATCAGGGAAGCATCTTTTTCCAATTTAATCATCATATTTATTTCTTCCGTATTTCCTAGACGTAATAAATAGTTAAATTTGTTAAGTCACAGGTAAATCAGTAGTCAAAGTCAAAGTGTATGCTTCTCAAACATTTACTTGTTAACACGTTGTTCCTTGGTCAGCACAACTTATCGACTAGTTTGTTTAATGATGTGCAATTAAATAAATACTGAAGCTGAAGATCTTCTCAATAATTTGATTTGTGCAATAGAATGACAACTATTTAATATAAATGACGATAAGAATTGAACTGTCCAAATTTTGACTGAGTCACCAGATTTAAATGGAATTTAGTAAATATGTATGGTTGAGATCCCTAGTAAAACATCAGTAAATATTTTGTATACTGGGATTGGCAGTATACATACATATGTATGTACGTGACGAGCGTAATTGTGGTAAAAACCTTAACTCCTACATACATATTCAGTAAGTAAGTTGATCGTCATTACTACAAAATAAAGAGCGATTAAGGAAAACCTTCAACTTTTTGCTAGTTTCCTATTGTATATATGTATGTACACATACAGTATTTATGTATGTATGTATGTATGTACGTTACGTATGCGGCTTTTATACATATGCATTTTGTATGGTCACTCCATAAGCCGGCGAGGATGAGTGTGTGTATTTGTCTCAGAAACCGGTGATACTTGGTTGTGGGCCAGTTCTTCGTAATAAATATGTATGCCACAGAGTGGTTTGTATAATAAGGTAGCCAGGGTTATTTTTTAGAGTTTCTAAATTGTATGCACGTGTTTGTTGATGATAATAGTGGATAGATGTATAATTATATATCATTCACAATGGAAATTTCGCAGCCCATGCTCTCTTATTTTGACCAAATTAGTGTCAATTAATCAAGAAATTAATACATAAATATGAAATCTGCAAGAAGACAATGTTTATGTACCAATGCTCAGGTTTCGCAGAGAGACACTTGCATCCAAAGAAAAGAAAATGCGCCCTAAAGTATACTGTCTAAATTTACTGCGGGCTTTCTCCTCTTTGGATGCAAAATCTGCGCATTTTCGGATCGTGTCGTTTGTAAATTTCATGTTTATTAAATTTGAGATCGGTTGACACTATTTTGTTCGAACTCATACGCTTGGAGACTTCAATTGTCAGTGTTAAGTTTTATCCCAACCCAGGGGTTCTGACTGTCCGTCCATCCGACGTTAACTCTTGTTAAGCTTATCCTATCCAATTTAAATTTTGGAAATTTTTATGTTATGCAAAAACACAACTCCAGCTCGAAGATGAGCCAAGTCGTTATAGCGGAGTGAGTCTTCGGTGCAGAATATTCGAAGGAGTCGGTAAAGTTGGGCATGATGGTCCAAATGGAGGTACTACATAACTCAGAAAATAAAGTCAAATTTGACAATTCTACATTTTGGGAGACCCAACGAGGTGGTTCATACCGATTTTTAGAAGTTGTCTTAGATAAGAATAGAACACCCCAACAGATAATGAATGCCGTGTCACCTGTGGATATGTGGAAAATAATACCACGAGAGAAGATATAAATTGTGAAGAGGTTTGACGCCATGGCCCCATTTGTGCTCGCCACACCACTTTCAAGGGGCGCCCAATCCGCACTAAAACCTTCGCTAAAATCCAATTTTTCTCAGATTTTCATAAATAATCTTAGCACATTCTTAATCCCACGTACTTGCTTTATCAATATCATATCCACAAATATGTACATACATATGCAAGAAGTACAATGTTGTCTGTATTTTGCTAGATGCATAATTCCTTCATTTTGAGTATGTATATATATTTATATTAGTAATATGTAATACATATGTAATATAATATTACATAGGTACGTAGTAGAATATTTAAATGCATACCTAAAATAATACAATAATATTATCTACTTATATCTTTTGTATAATTAAATATTTTGTATTTATTTTGTCAACTCTGTTAAAATGCATATTTTTATCTAAACTTTATGATATTTATTGAATCTACAACGTACATAAATTAGTATGCATCATGCACAAAATCCGAACGAAAAAGCTTTACAGAGATCAATTTGTAAATACTGATGATGGCTCTTTCCAAATTTGAAGATATACTGCAACCTTTGTAATGCTGTTGCACAAGCAACATTTGCATTCCAAAGGTCAAGGGATTCAAACTACATAGATTTAGTTTGCATGAAGGGTAGTATGGATTTTCATACATCACTCCGCAATGAGAGTGAGAGTAAAAATCCATAACTTTGTATTCAATTTCCATATCTACCAATTATGTTAGTAAAGCAGATTTTTCACATTGTTTATACTTCATAATGTGGTCAACAATAATTGTGAAGTAATTAATCAATTTGATCAAAGGGTAAATGTGGAAATTGAAAACAATGAGAAACATATTTAGTATAAGTAGTGACTCGCCACTCATGGTTAACCAAACCGTAATCTTGAATGCACTCGAGTGCAGGCAGAGCACACTACATTATAAGCATAGGATAATAGATATATACGGTAAGCAGAGAGAAGAACGAGGAGTGTAGTTTTAGACACGGAAACAGCAGGTTTAACTTTTCCAACCATCAAGGTTATTAAGTTTTAAGATCATTAGTTTAAAGTAGAATAAGTTCCAAATTTAAGTAGTTTTAGGAAATATAAATATAACATTAGCTCTCCCACATATTTATTAATATAAGCATTTTGGTAAATCAATATTTTTCTGTCGGTATTGATATAAATAAACATATTTATAATATTCCTTTAAAAAGTGAACTTCTTCTCCAAATTTATTGCATTAAAATCACAAAATAAGGGACACCCACGAAAGTGGGTGTGGATCGGGACACGCAGACCCCATAGTAGAACAGGGGGCGTTACAATTTGGTGCCGAAACCCTCCTTAAGTGATAAAATAGTGCAAAAAGACAATTCAGTGAAAGAAAACCTCCTTTTTGTGTTTAATAGTGAACGCACAAATTGGCGAAAGGAAAATAAACAGTGAGTTTTTCGGAACAGTGAAGTTTGAACAGTTTTGAACAGTTTTGAGCCAAAGGGAGTGTGTTTTACGCATTTCGTTGAAATATCTCCTCAATTCGTGCCTGGTGCCACGTCCGACATCATGGGCCTACTCAATCAACTCTTCGGATTTGTCGACGTGACCCCACTGATTCATGTCCTTGGCAACGTTACCTTAAGGGAAACAACTTCCCTAGTATCATCATCATGGTGGCGTGGGGCGTTTCTCTGGACGATGGAAGTGTTCGGCATCGCGGCGGTCCTCCTCTTGTTCGGAATACTTGTAAATAGTTTGGTAAAGAAGTATATTCTACCTCACTTACCTTCTTGGTTAATTCCACGGTACGAAATCATGACTGCAAATCGTCGTCGATAGCGCATCAATTGAGCGTTTTGAATAGGGATATCGACATTATGTTCACAGCTCAGAATAAGAATCACGATCAATTTGTTAGGATTAAGAGGATTTTTGATTCTTTAACTTCTGAAATTGCTCACATTTTTCTTTTAACTTCCTCCCATCAGAATTCACAATTAATTGAGCAAACTGATTCATTATGGGCTCGGGTTAATGGCCTGGAAGTTAGGGTCAAACAACTTTTATGTGAGTTTGATATTCGTTGTGAGAATAGGCAGGAATATGTAGAACAAATGGTATCGCAACAGGTAGCTTTGCATAATAGTCCCTCTCCTGATCCTATCCTTACCGGAATTATTGGTCACGACTACCCGTGCCTTCAACAAGCAAGTATACCTTTTCAAGAATATGTTGATGAGAAGATAAAGACCCTGGGTGCAGTAATAGGAAGATACAAGAAGCATTTAGCATCATGCATACAAAGTAATCATGCTATTGTTGAAAAGGAGATAGGAAATTTCCAACGTCATGTTAAGTCGGCATTGGAGGATGAAGTTACTTGGATACACGAACAATTGACCAGGATGCAAACTACAGTTCAGCAGCAAGATGACCAGAAATCAGCACTTCAACTCGAGGTTAAGGGGATGCATGCGGAAATGAAGAATACGCAAACCACCATCCAGAAACTTGAAGCTCAAATCAGCATCAGTACTAATATGAATACTAGGGTTCAAACTCAAGGGAAGGATGTGGACACCAAGCCACAAACTCAAGGTGACCTCTCAGCGTGCATGGAAGATCTTAGCGTCCCTCCACCACCACAATTCTCAACATTTTCTCCACCACCACTCATCCATTCTCCTAATGAAAATAAGGAGGATGAAATTCCAGCATGGTGCCTTACTCGTCCCAACAAAGAGGATGAAAAACATGCAGAAATCCCAATTAATCCAATGATGCAAACCCAGTCTTCATCATCAGGACCAGTATTATTTCATTCAGTAGGCAATATTCCTCCTCCTAAATTTAATCCAAACATAGATTCCGCCGAGAATTTCCTCAAAGAATTGGAAAATCATATGGAAAGGAAGCGATTTATCCGGAAAGATTGGATACTCTCCTTACCTGCAGTCTTCAATCAGGATTCCAATCAAGCATTATGGTGGCAAAGAACAAAACTTTTTGCACATACATGGGACGAGTTCAAGCAACACTTCATCACCATGTACGCGTCTGATTCCGATGTTCATGCGGCGTTGGAAAAACTACTCTTGCGCCGGCAAAAAGAAGACGAACCTTTTCAGAAATTCGCATTTGAGATGGACCTCCAGTACAGAAAAGTACACCGGATGACCACCAATACCAAGGAAGCAGAAATTATCACCTTCATTTCTGAAAGAGCCCTCCCATATCTGAAAGCAAATATTCTTGGAAGTAGCGCTACAACTGTGGTGGACCTCATAAACTATGCATCAAAAATTGAGCGTCCAGTACAAGACAGGTCCCACCACAACAGCATCAAGTTCAAATCATGGCAAAAAGCTGACAAGAAAGTGGAGTCGCATCAGGCAAACTCTGCTAATTCTGCGAGGAAGACTCCACCGCCCTCAAATAACAGACAACAACAACGACAACCACAACAACAAGTTGCACCTTCTGCACAGCAAGCTCGGCCGAAAGTGTGCACATATTGTCCTCATCTGAATAATCACACCACTCAAAATTGTCGTCGTCGTCCGCCGCAACAAGTGAATTGTGGACAGGGGAGTGATCAACATTCTCAACGCCAACAATCATCGCAAGTTTCGTCGGGAAACGGGGGGAGGGAGTAACCATACATGGACTTGTGGTTACTCATCCTCTTCTCCAAGATCCAAACCGGCTTATTCCTATCCTTCCTATAACCTTTCCCCGTTGTAAATTAAATGCCTTAGCCGATACAGGTTCTACAATTTCTATTGTAACTTTAAAATCG